GCAGGCAGAAGGACCTAAGTACACTGCTGAGGGGAGCAGCGGGCGGCAGGAGAGGTCTGCGCACCATGTGGGACCCTCCTCCTGGTGGCCGGGGAGCAGCTGGGGATGGAACCGGCGCCTCCGAGGCCGCGGGCAGCTTCGCAACCCAGCGCTCAACCGCTGCGCCACCGGGGAGGCCCAATAAATAAATCTTTTTTAAAAAAAGAAATAGATTGAGGTTTTGCCCTTTTGGCTGGAATTTTCTCAGTGCATCATATTCAAGGAACACAGTTCTGAGTTGTCCCATTACAGGTGCTATTAATTCATCACTTGATTGAGGTGGGTCTGCTCTGCCTTACCACTGTAAAGTATCAAACCTTACTAGTTAGTCATATTGGCGTTTTATTGTAACGTAGAGCTTTTGCTTTTTCCCCATTTAATTATTTTTTTCAGTACAAACCAACGGTTTCTTTTATTCACTAAGTTAAAATCAAATGCTATTATTTATTTCGATACTCAAATTGTCCCAGATGAAGCCAGTGGGAGCACTTTAATATGGATTCCATGTCCTTTAGACTTGTCTCCATCATTCTTTGAGCACTTTCCGACTTTCTGGAACATCAAGATGCTCCAAGTTTATTTTGTACTTACCCTACCCCAGCCCTTAAGTCACTCACTTCTCCATGGGGTCCTGGTACCTTTTAGAGGAAAATGGCACTCAGAGCTGGGCTTGCAACTGGGGCATCATTGCTTCTAGACCTTCTAGACCCTTCTACGGTATATATGTGTGTACATATATACATCCATACATATATCTCACAAATACAACTACTATGTCCATTTTTATATTTATTACAGATACTAAAAATCATGAGTTCACCCAAATACCTTCAATTCCAACCCAAGTCTACAGAATTTATTCTGGTCTTTGTCCTTTTCGTCTTTGTAAAGTGATCGTCTGACAGTGACGGGCCTGGCTCGCATTATCTTCAGTACATACTTACACGTTCAGACTCCTGTGTAGCTCAGCCAAGGACTCCTCCGCTTTGTGGTGACGGCGTGCGCCACCTCGTGGCCAGGGCCCGAGGGAGCTTCTCGGTGATTTTACAGCTAGTCAGCCCTTTGAAGGATTTTTAACACTTGACCCAATAATTTAGTTGTCTTCGACAGGAAGAATATGTCCGGAATATGCCTGCAATAATCTTTTGAATTGAACCAAATGCTATTTTGTCAGGGTTCTTTGAGGAGAAAAAGTCTGGCAGCACTACTGCGGGAGTTGTTGGTTCTGCATGTCCAGTTTTGCCTGGATCAGGCAACTCCATATGAAATCAGCATTGAGCCACTTTCAATATTTACTGATAGAGGAGGGCAGCATAAGCTCAGGTTAATTCTCATCGAGAAAAGGAGGAGCTCTCGTAGCCCAGGCCCATGTGTCTCAAAGTTCAGGGTGCACGGGAATCACCCGGAGATCTTAAAATGCCAAATCCGACTCTCTAGGTCTGAGTGGGGCCTGTCTCTCTAAGTTCCCGTGAGATGTAACTCTGAGGTCAAGGACTGCTTTGAGTAACAGAACTCTAGAGCGTCCATCACCCTTATTTAAGGATCAGGGTGGGGGCATAGAAAATGATGTAAATAGCGAGTTTTAGAGGTGTTTTAATCTTTTATTTTTTTCATTTGCAAACATGCATACAACCAGAGAGTAGACTGAACCCCTAAGTGCCATTGGCATTTACCCATCTTACTTTATAACTTCCCCTATTCCTGACCTTTCTATTCCTGGAGTATTTTAAAGAAAATCCAGCCATTGTATCATTTCAGCATGTACTTCTAACAGATGAGGATTGAAAAGAAAAACACAGTATTAACACAGAATTCACAATCACACAGAATTAACAATACATATGACACAAACTTAGCCGTAATGCCTGGACATCATCTAACACTCAGTCCATCTTCATATTTTCAGATGCAGATTTTTGAGCCCCTCCCCTGGTGATGGGTATGTGCAGTGCCTGGATGCACCCCTCAGCAAACACCCTCTGTGCCAGGCCCCTTGAGTCTGGGGCTTTCCTTAGGTCTGTTGCTCCTTAAACTATGTTTTATGGCCTGCTAATTCCCTTTCTAGGGGAATGCTGCTGATAATGACAAAAGCTGTAGGGTCATGCTCATTGAGTTTGAGACCCTCTTCCCAGATTTTTGTCTAATCTTTCTGTAGTTGGGTGGTAAACAGGAGCCCTGCTGTGAGACCCGGAAGGCAAGCCCTGCCACGGCTGAAAGAGGTTGCTCTGGAGAGGCCTGAGGGTGTCAGGCTGCCCAAAGCCCTCTAACTTCTCCCAGACATTTCCTCCCAGTTGCCAGGACCCTTCTCATCAACTGGTGTCTCCCCAGTCCCAGGCCTTAGGCAGAAAGGGCTTCCCTTCAGGATGGCCTGAAGCTTGTCTGGCCCTGCGTCAGCCCACCGTGGCTCAGAACCCAGGCTGGCCTGTCCCTGGAGCCCACGAGAAGCAGCCAGCATGTTCTATCTGAATGTTTTCTTACAAGTCCCAAGCTTCTGGAAGACTCCTGGGCCACAGAATTTCCCTGCCAACTGCTTTATTACCAAAGGACTAGGGTTGCCACGTAGCCAACCTGGGGCAGGAGGAGATCCAGTCCACACCCCCCTCAGCCGCCGCATGTATGGGAGCTCTCACCGCGACACCCACTTTCCAGGTCCCACCAGTTCAGGGCGCCTTTCTGTGTCACAGAAATCAAACTCAACTTGGTCTCACCAAAATGGGGTATTTATTGGGAAGATGGAGGGCTCTCGCTGGGCAGCCTGGACTCAGGAAAGGCAGAGGGTGACAGGGCTTTCTTCCAGGCCACTTCCTGTAGGCACCCCCTCTCCCTCTGAGACCCTTCAAGAAATGTGACCCCATGGCCTGGAACTTCAGACCTCATAGAGGAGCCAAGGGATGTGCCACTAGGCATCAGCTCCCAGATGAGCACCCAGGAGCCAGAATGACTTCCCATAGCTTCGGGCGCACAGAGACTCTTGTAGTTCACATAATTCAGGGCCAGGATTCAGTAAACCTGAAACCTGTTTAGGGTCAGGTGCTCACCCTGTGGCCCGAGGCTGGATGGACTTCAGGAAATGGATGACTCGTCTTCTGAAGCTTCTCAGGAAGAAGCTTCCCGGGAGGTGCGGCAGCTGCCAGGCTGGAGCACAAATAACCCCAGGCCGCTCACTTCTCCCAGACCCCATCGCGGCCATCTTCATCTCGTCTGACTTCACCTCTCAGAGTCAAGCTTGAGGGGGAAGGCTGCGTCCTTGGGATTTGATAGATGATTCGGTGGGACATGTCACAAGACAGGTGGTAGAGCAAGCCAGGTGGAGCTGGTTGAGGAGTGCACGGGGAAGGCCAGGGACAGTTATATGCACTATTTCCATGTTGGAGAGCAAGATACAAGGTCCAGGGAGGAGGCCTGGGGTGGGAGAGGCCTGAGCAGAGCGGGGGGAGTGGGGAGGCTGGCACACTCTGTTTGGGGAGACCTTGGGCTGACCTGGGTTAACTTTCCTTTGTTCTCCTGAGGACTTCCCCGCCCTTGTATACCAAGGGGGGTTGGGGTGTACCTGTAATGCAAGACCAAAAGCCCTCCCAGCTCTGCCCACACCTCTGGGTGAGGCTGGAGCTCTTCCACCGCATCAGACCGCCTCTCTCTTCTGGTTCTAGGACAGGAATGTCACAGAAATGGTGGGTGTGGAGTGTGGAAAGGGCAGCACAGGGTGTGGAGCAGAGCGGGGGCCTTCCAGCCTGACTCAGGACGGTCCCAATGCCTGAAAGGCCCTAATTGTCCCCCCCAAGGCTTTTCTCCACTTAGTGAGCTCCTACAGTGACCCAGCACCCAGCTGCAGGGCCTCCCAGGGGGTATCCCCTCCCTCTACAGGGCTCCTGGGGGCAGGCAGAGTAACAAGTAGGGCTGTCTCTCTGCAGACCAGGGGCTCCCTCATTCCAGGGCAGGCTCCCCAAGTTGGGCCAGGTCTCAGGGTGGGGTCTCCCATCACGGAGGTCATGCCAACCTAAGCCCAGGCTGTGGAGGTTCCTAAATGGGGTAGGAGCCCTGGGTTCTTGCCGGCTTGACTTTGGGTGTGCTGTGTAACTGTCCTGGACCTCAGTCTCCCCACCTCTACGCCCAAGTACCAGCTCTGCCTCTCTAAGCCAGGCCCTACACGAGTCAGGCCAGGGGCAGATCAAAGGACACCACACATGGGGCTGGATGCTCACTTCTCTCCAAAACAGCATGCACACAGGCTAGGTGTGGCAGGGGGGCAGAGCCAGGGGGTAGGGTGGGGACCCGGACTTTACACACCCAATGGGCCCTTGATGGAGGCAGACAATTTAACAATTGGTCTGAAAGTCAAAAGAGAGAGAGCCGGTTAGTGTGTTGAGCAGCAGTGGAGGCAGGCAGGGGCTGTGGGGTTCAGGCCCAAGCACAGGGCCTGGCCAGCACCGTCAGACCTGGGCCCTCACAGCAGCCCTGCCTGGGGCCCTTCCCGGGGGTGAGGTGACACGGTCTGTCCTGACAATCTGTGTAGGTGTCCAAGCAACACTGAACTAGGAGAAAGCAGGGCCCCTGCTCTTGGCCCCTCTGTTTCCTTGTGTGTAATGCAGAGTTATCTGTCATCCAGGCACTGCCTCCTTCATGGAGTTGCTGGGAGGAACCCATAGGCTCAGAGGGTGGGGGTGTGAAGGGCCCTGGACACCAAGGTCCCTCTTTACTGCTGTGGGTCCCCAGAGCCCGGCACAGACTCACGAAGCCCTTCAGTGAGTAAGTAAGCGGCAGGTGAGGGATGGTTGTGCTGACAGGCCTGTGCCTGGACATGCCCCTGTGGGCCAGGTCCTGCCTCTGGCTTCTGAGTGTCTGGGTCTGGGTCTCAGAGCACAGGACGGTGCCATGTTGGGGATAAGCTTCTCAAGCCCAGACTGGGCTCGGGAGACACTCTGTACTCTCCTGGGTCTGGCCAGGGTGCTGCAGGGGCGGAGAGGGCTGGCGGGGGCCAGCAGGCGGGCAGGTGTGTGGGGCTCAGACGTACTCTCGGGCTGCAGCTGAGGGGCCAGGCCGGTAGGGCTGCGGGCTGCTGCTGGATCTCCCAGGCTTCGGGCAGGAGCAGCAGAGGAAGGAGCCCCCCAGCATGGCCAGGCCAGCAGAGGCCCAGCCCACAAACAGTGCTGGGCCAAACTCGTACCTGCAAGGGGTGGGAGGACGCCATCAGGTGTGGCTGGAGACCTGGCCCTGCCTCAGTGGCCCCTCAGGGCCCCTGTTCCTCTCCAGAGAGCTTTCCCAATCTGTCCTGAGAGGGCAGCAGGTGGGAGAAGCTGGGAGCCTCACACGCCTCCTCAGTCTCTCTGGGTTCTTGGGATGAATGGTGGGCCTTCCTGCCGGCGTAGGAAGGATCCCTGGCATCCTCACAGCCATGGTCTGACCCATGGAACTCTCAGTCCGGGCTCCCGCCTGCCTGGCACTGTGGGCTCTCTGCACCTGGGCCCTGCCGGCCAACCCAGCACTGCTCTAGGTCTTTCTGCACTGCTCTGCACTGCTCTAGGTCTCCCCACTCCTGTGCCTTTGCATGAGGCACCCCCTTCTGGAACATCCCCCACTTCTGTACTTGCCACGATTCTCCACCTGCCGGGCCCAGCTCAGATGCCACCTCCTTTGGGGGCTCTCCCTCACCCCCTCCACCCGCATTGCATTCTCACTGGGTGGCCCTTGCTTGTCCAGCCACCCAATTTGTTGGTGTCCCAGGGCCCAGCATAGGAGCTGCGGCCCAGACAGCACTGGACAGTGCAGAAGAGTAAAGAGCCAGATCCCTGAGCTGAGCTGAGCTACTCCTACTTGGCAGGTCTTTGTGACCAGAGCTGCCAGACCCAGGGAACAAACCTCACACCTGAGGTTGCCTTTTCCATACTGCTGCCTCTTCCAGGGAGTCCTCCTGACTGTGACAGCCCCAGACCTATTTGAATATCTGGGGTTGAAACTGTCCCATTCTCTGCTGGCAGGGCTGAGATGTGCAGGAGGAGCCAGGATGCCCCAGACCCCTCATAGAGCCCCTTATTTGTTCTCCACAACCCCAGCTTTGCAAGTCCTGACTATTCTAGCTTCTAGCAATCTCTGAACCTACTCTCCATGGCTACCCCCCTGGCCCCACACCCTCTGCTCCAGACCTTTGCAACAGCCACCTTTCTGGTCTGCCCCTCCCCACCATCCTGCACCCCCCTGCCAGTGGATGGCTGCTGCCTCCACCCCAGGGTGACTGCAAGGCCCTGCGCCATCTGCTCGTATCACTTGTCAGTCTCATCTCCCTGCTCCAAAGTGACGGGTGCCTCCTGCAGGAATAGCAGTGACTCAGGTTCCTGCCTCCTCTCCAGACCCAGGCACTGTGCTAACTCCATACCTGCATCATGTCACTGAACCCTCACAGTTGGGTGCTGAGGCCCTGGCTCCATTTACAGGGGAGGAACCAGGTGCAGAGAGATTAGGGAACATGGCTGACCCGTGGCCAGCATGTACAGAGCTGGGATTTAGACCCAGTGCCAGGACAGTGTGCTTCTGAGGTGCTTGCTGCTCTTGGATGCCTCCCCCCAGGCCTCTGCCCCTTCAGAGGGCCAGGCTGCACCCTTCCTGGCTCCAGAAAGCTCAGTGACCACACCCAGCACCCAGCCCCTATGTCCCCTTTCAAGTTCCCTGCTAGAACAAGGCCAGTGGCCCCGGAGGAGGTAGAGCAGAGGTCCATCCAAGCCACACCCTGGCACTCACCTGGCATTGACAGGCGTGCTTGGGTTAAAGAACTCCGTGGTCACCAGGGTGGCATACCATGAGACGGCTGTCAAAGTGCAGAGGCCTGAGGATGAAGGAGGGGAGCTCAGCTCTGCTCTGGCTTCCTGCCAAGGTCAAGATGGTGGAGGAGCCAAGGGTACTCACCCGCCAGGAGGAAGAGGGCGCCCCCTGAGATGGCGACGCGGCCCTTGGCGATGGGGTTGCTGTCTCCAACCCGGGTGCACTTCATGCCCACAACACTGAGGATCATGGCCACAAAGCCCAGGAGCACGGCCACCACCATGAGCGCTCGCGCTGACTGGATGTGACCTGGGGGGCAGGAGGCACTGAGCCAGGGGTAGGTGGGACCAGGTGGGAGGAGCCCAGGGTGGGGCTGGAGCAGGAGTGGAGGGTGAGGCTAGGGTGGATGCAGCTTCACCTCGCCCTCACTGTTCACTCTGGCATGCAGGCCCTTCGGGGGGCTGTGACGGCTGGTGACTGGGTGGACTGAGTTCTCTGCTGCTTTCCAGCCAAGGTTGGTGGGGAGGGTGAAGAGGGGAGTCCCTTTTGGGCCTGGTCCCTCTCCCAAGGAGCTGGGGAGCGCTGGGTCTCTCACATTCGATGAATCAATTGCAAGGGGTGGCGCTGACCTGAGCCCAGCCCTGTGGGTTCTTGGGCAGGGACATCCTGCCCAGCCATTTTGACTCTGGTCGCCTTCCCTCTCCCCATGGCAGCCAGGTGCCTGCTGCTCTGTGGGCCCAGAGTGGGCTGCTCTAGTCCTGGGCCCAGAGTCCCTCAGGGCGTCTGGGTCTCTGAGGGAGGCCAGCCAACTTGCCTGGACCAGCTTGATGGGCTCAGGCCTTTGGGGTGCCCAGGCAGAATGTGGGCAGTTTACCCCACACTAGGAGAGAGCTGCAGTGGTACCTGTTCACCAGCCCACTTCTCAGGCTACCAGCCTGGAGGAGGAGGAAGAAGAGAGGGACCTGCCAACCCAAGTAGCTGTGTGTGTGCCCGCCTGTGCCTGTGCCTGGGTGTGTGTGCGTGCATGTGCGCGGCATGTGTGTGAGTGACCGTGTGCTGGTGGACTTGTCCCGGCGGCAGCACGGGCTGGTTGGTGTGCGTGCTCGGTGTGGGGAGAAGGGCCGGGCAGGGTCTTAACTAGATCTGCTGAAAGCCAGGCTCTTTCTCATCTGACCCTCCCATGGTTCCAGAAGTCTGTAATTACAGATGAAGCCATCAGAACACAGAGTTAGGGCCCTTCGAGGTTAGGGTGGCAGAGCTGGTGTCAGGCCCCCCAGTTGTGAAAGCCTAGAGCACCTGCTGACCTTAGGACACCGCTGGTCTGGGTTTCCCGGTGTGCACGGGGCTGGGTGGGGGTATCTGGAGAGCTTGCTCAGGAGCCCCTCCCCGCTCCTCCCCGCACCCCCACCCCCGTGAGGGGATCCTACCGTCCAGGGCGAGCAGCGAGTCGTAGAGCTTGCACTGCACCTGCCCGGTGCTCTGGGAGGCGCAGGACATCCAGAGCCCTTCGTAGAGGCCCACGGCGGTGATGATGGCGTCGCCCGCGTAGGAGGACTGCTTCCACTGCGGGAGGACCGTGCTGGCGATGATGCCCACCCAGCCTCCCAGGGCCAGGAAGTAGCCCAGGAGCTGAAGACCGGAGTTGGCCATGGCCCAGGGGAGGGCTCTGGGGGTCCCAGGGCTTAGGCCCAGGCTGGGGCCTCTGAGGTCATGGCCAGGTGAGAGAAACAGCGGGGCAAGGGCGGGGGTCAATAGGCCAGAGGCTGTGAGGAGGAGAGCTGGTGGCAGTGGCAGCAAAGGCAGCGCTGGGGCTGGAGAATGCAGGGGGAGGCCCAGAGGCTGGAAAGGCCAGCGGCCCGCCCACAGCGGTGGACTAAGCCAGAGCAGGTCCCCAGCAAGGCGCATGCCCTGCCCACTGGGGGTGGTAGGCGGGGCTGTGGCCCAGGTGGGTCCCCCCCTTCAGGGCTAGAGAAGGGAGGGGCTGGGAGGAGTGACCCTATCACCCTCAGGGTTTTTCTGCTCAGGGAAACCCTTTCAGAAACCTGATTCAAGTACCCGAAAATTCTAATTCCTACTCCCAGCACCAGCCTTGAGACCATGGACTTTGCTCTTTGATCTGACCTTTGGTGTTTTCTGTCCTCTGACTGTAGAACTGAAAGGAAATGGACTTCCAGTTTGCAGCAGGTAAGACTAGAGTTAGACATCAGGGAGAACTTTTTGGCCAGGGCTCTGAGATCAGTTATGGAGAGACTGGGCTGGGGAGGGAGTGATGGGGGGCCCTGAGTATCTGGGGGTTGTATATTAAAAGTAAGAGAGCTCAGGCCAGGAAATATGCACTGGGAGAGGGGTTGTCTGAAATCTGAAGGGGGCAGAAGGACCCCCGTTAAGATTAGGCCAAATTTGGCTGCCAGCCAACATGGGCCAAGCTGAGAGGTGGGAGACAGCACCAGCCTGGCATCAGCTTGAAGGAAGGCAGACCGTTCACCCGCTAATCCCCTCGTTGGCTGGCTTAGTCACTCCCGCTGGGACTCAAGGCATGGGGCCCTGGTCCCAGCTCCAAAACAGCCTGGCAGGGAGCAGTGGCCTCTGCACATTCCTGGGGGTCAGGCTGCCCCCTCCTAGTGTTCTGCCTCCTTCTGTCTCCCATCCCAGCTCAGCCCTCAGGAGAAGCGAATGTTTAACTCTCCCCGGCCTCATTAACAATCCCCTCACGTTCATTTCAGCCTCCACGGGCTCCCTGGGTATGGGTGCAGGGGGAATGTCACGGCCCTGCTCCCACTTCCCCAGCCCCCTGCTGCCCTCTCCAGCCCCAGCGGCCCACCCACCCTCCCTGGAAGGCTCTGGAGGAAGGCAGGGTCTGCTGCCTGCTTGGCCCGCCTCCTCCCCCCACAGCCTAGTCCCCCGTCCCCAGCCAGCTCCCTCGCATTCTTCACGTGGCTATGCAAAGGACAGGGTGCTGGGCACTGCGCAGACAATGACAGCCCTGTGTGCCCGCCCAAGGCGTGGGCCCCTGGAATGGCCAGCAGCTCGGCTGCCCCGGAGCTGGGGGAGCAGCCTGCCCTCCCAGGGGTCAGGAGTGGGCGCTGTTTGGCCTGCAGCTCTGAACACTGCCCCCGCCCCACGGCCCTCCATGCGGGGAAGCACAGGGCCACGTGGACCTGTGTACACAGACCTGCTTCCTGCCATAGCCTGAGGGTCTCAAAAAGCAAATGAGGTCTAGGATGGTTGTAGGGAAGTCAGTCCTGCGTCCGGATCCCTCTTCTGCCACACAGTGTTCCCCCCTGTTCAGAGGAACCAGAACCTAGAGTGGGCACAGAAGACTCTGGGCATGTAGAGGACACCCCTTCTACAAATTAGCCATTGGGCCTCAGGACAGCACCCCACAAAGGAGAGGAGATAGGCGGAGTCTCCACACCAGGGAGCAGCAGGGGCTGTCTTCCTACTCAGATCTGTGTGGAGCCAAGTTCCCCCGACCCCTGCCTCTCTCAACAGGAAGACAAGGTTATCACATGCCCCCAGAGGTGATGCCCAGGCCTGGTGGTCGAGGGAGCAGTGCACCCAGGGAGGGCGGGGTGCTGGTATGGCAGCCCTCACACACAGTATGCCCCCTGGGCCAGCTGCCCTCCTCCAGCCTGGTCTTGGCCCCTTCTCCTGCCATCTGTGGGGACTTGCTGGAAGGAAGATCCAGGCCTCACTCTGGTCTTCAGCAGCACCGGTCAGGTCTCTGAGCCCAGATATTCAAGCTGCATAGAAACCAAGTGTCAGAGCCACAGTGGTCTCCAAGACCAAGGACTGCAACCCTCCACTGACAAATGAGTAGCTGAGGGCCAAAGAGAAGTGACCACCTAGAGTCACACAGCTGCTTCCAGGAGCACAGTCTTGGGACCCTGAGGTCTCAGAAACATCAGGTTGCCTGCATGTAGCTCCATGGAGATCCAGAGCCCCTTCACCCTGGGGGCCCAGAACCCTCTGAAGCTCTTGTTTGTCCCTCCTTGTCAGTTGAGGTTTTGAGTCTGTTCTACCCAAGGACACTTTCCTCCGATGGCCTTCCCTTTCCATGGTTGCAAAGCCTTTTGGAGTTCAGAGCCTGCTTTGGAGTGGAATTCCTTAGCTTGGCAAAGCTTCTCCACCCAAGCCTCCCACCACCCAGTGGACCCCGCGGCCCAGTGACTGCCAGGCATGCGGGGAGAGCTTGGATATGAGCACCCAGCCTCGGCTCAGAGCTAACTTGAGGCTGCCCCTGGGTGTCACACTTCGCTGTTTAAAATGTGCTTTCACATGACATGAAACTTACGGTGCAAGCCTTTGCCACTGAAAGGCTGTGTGATATTAGCAAGTGCCTTAGCCTCTCTGGGCCCTGGTTCCTCAAGTGAAAGAGGGATGACACCCCTTGGTTCATGAGAGCATGTACAAGGAGCAAATAATGGCCGACAGGTGCTTTTGGAAAGCATGGTATAACTGAAAAAATGTGGCGAATGAAAGCTTTGTTCCCAAAGTCTCCCTCCTGGGTGCCCACCTCCCACCCCATGTCCTCCCACCCTGGGGGAATGGACTGCCTGTGGCTAAAGACCCACTGCCACATCCCGCCGGCTTGGTAGTGCCTGGTGGGGAGGCCTGAGTAGGTATGGTTGGATCACTGATGGATGGTGTGAGGACTAGTTATTTTTTGTCTCCCTCCTAATGAAACGCTGGAGTCCTCTCCCACTGCCAAGGAGGAGCTGATTCAGCTGGTAGCCATCCAGCACATTCTCTGCAGCCACCATTTGAAACACTGGATGCTTGGGAGCTGGGGGTGGGGGGCAGGTCTTACCTCCCCAGCTTAGAGTCTGGCTTTCCTGTAAACCACAGGCTCTGAGGGGGGAGGACTTGCCACAGATCACAGCAGAAAGCAGTGCAGCCAGACCCATCCTGCCACCCAGGGAGGGTCCAGCATCCTGATTCAGAATCCTATAAAGCTCTTTGCACATTTCCATTCACTGCACCTTGTTTGCCTCCGAGTGCTGTGAGCACTTCTGGGCTCTCCCAGCCTCGCCAGGATGGAGGCGCTTCTGCAGCATGTGGGCAGCCTGCGGGGTGCCCTCTTCCAGGCCCCACAACCCAAGCACAGGCCCCACTCTGGTGCCCCTGCTGAGCACACCTCCACGCTCTCCCTTTGCCTCAAGCAAACTGACCCCCTCCTGCCCCCTGTGCTCACAAGTGTGTCACCAACGCAGAGGAATCAGTCCCAGGTGTACCTTAGTGGGGACCCCGCCATCACCCTCTGCTTCCAGACCACTCATCAGCCCAAATTATATGCATATCTCCTGGCCCTGTTGCCACGGAAAACATTTGGCCTTTCCGAAGCTTAACTGAGACAGTCGGCTGTCTCTGTGTACTGTGTTGAAATAGTAAAGGTCACTGCCTTCTTGTGGAAACTTCTGCAAGACAGACCAGAGGACAGGGCTTTCTGCTGAGCATCGTGCAAGTGCCGCGTGAGCATCCCTGTTTGTTTTTTTTTTAAGATTTATTTTATTTATTTATGCACACAAGAGCTGGGGTGTAGGCCAGAGTGGGCGGGGGGGGTGGTGGTGAGAGGATTCACCAGAGACAGAGTGGGGAGCAGAACCAGCAGACTGACTGAAATACACTGCTGAGGGGAGCAGCAGCCAAGATAGGAGAGATCTGCTGCGCCATGCAGGTAGTTCCCTGGCCGGGATCAAACTGGTGCTGCAGTGGCTGCTGATAGCTTCATAGTGCCGAGACTTAACCCCTTGTGCCACCAGGGAGGCCCTCATCCCTGGTTCTTACCCCACCATCCTGGGAGTGAGGAGTGTGCCCCACTGTGCAGGTGTAGTCACACAACTCCACATGGTGGGAGAAAAGGGGGCGAAACTCACGTCCTTTCCATTAACATGTCACCCAAACAGGTCATGGGGCCACCGATGAGACTGTCCCTAGGGGGCATGCTGTGAGTGCACTCACCTGTGCTGCTGTGTCCCAGCCCGAATTGCTTCACCTTCCTTCACCCACCTTTCCCTCCAGCTCATCTCTCTGCCCCAACACAGAGCCAAACTCCCAAGAAGTGTCTATGCTGACTCACTCTAGTGTGGCTTTTGTCCACACCACTTCCCAAAACATCTGCCAAAGTTCTTGCTGATCTGTGTTGCCAAGTCCGAAAGCGAGTCCTTGGTTCTTCTCTGGCTCAGCACATTTGATGCCACTGCCTTCGTGAAAGCTCTCAGTGGCTCCCAGGATATCATCCCTCCTGGTCCCCGCTCTAGCTGGCCCCTGTGTCCTCCGCTGGCTCCCATTGTCCTCTAGCTCCCTGGTTGCTTCCAGCTGGGCTGGCTTCTGATTTGTCCTCTGTCTTCCCAGACCTCGGTCTCCTGGCTTTGACCACCAGCCACATGCTGTGACTCCCACCTCCACCACCCTGAACTCCAGACTCATCTAGCTGGTCTTTGCACCTGGGTGTCTAATAGACTCCATGAGCTTAAATGCATCACGTGGAAAACCAGACTCCTGGTTCCATAGCAATGTCTCCTACAGCCTTCCCGTCACAGGAGAGGGCGGCTCCATTGCTCCAATGGCTCGGGCTAGAACCCTCCATGCTTGTTTCTCATACCATCCAACCCACCGGTGACTCCTGTTGGTTCTACTTTGATGATAGCTCCTGACCTGGCCCTTCTCACGACCCTCGCTGCCAACATCCTCAGGTCGCTGTGGCCCTCCATTCTGCTCTCCTGTCTCCATTTTTTTTTTTTTTTTTTTGTGGGACCCTCGCCGGTGGCCGGGGATTGAACTGGTGCTGCAGAGGCTGCGGGCAGCCTCACAGCCTAGCACTCAACTGCTGCGCTACCAGGGGAGGCCCATTTCTTGCCCCCACAGCCTGTTCTCCATATTCTTCACCGAGGCCTGTGATATGAAGTCAGATGTCATCACCCTGTCCTCAAAACTGTCCTGCATCACTGAGTCAGAGCCCATGACCTGCTTGCTTTTTCTGCCTCACAGAACCACACACACACACACACACACACACACACACACACACACACACACACGTTACTGATTTCCCTCTATAATGTAAGCTCTATGAGGGTGGGGACTTCTTTTCTTTGCTCCTATGTCCCCAGCACCAGACAGTAAGCTGGTGCTCAATAAACACACACTGGTTAGTAGAATGAATGAGCATTCAGGGTGCAGGTTCCCAAAGTTGCTGCCCCCCAGGATCTCAGGCCCAGGAGGGGAGATGGGCTTGTGGCCAGAGGTGCCGAATCTCCACAGAGATCCCTCTCACCCCAGAGATGTGTGTCCTTCTGCACATGGAGGCCTGAGGCACGGGGACTCTGAGGCCAGATGGCAGAGCAGGATGTGAATGGCTGACACGGGGCAGTATGCCAGAGCCCTGCTGACCACTGCTCCCTGCCAGAGGGGGATTAATAATAATTCCCACCATTTATCCAGAAAGTTCAGGCTTACAAAGTGCTGCCACGTCCAGTATTGCATCTGGGCCAGAAGTGGGCAGAGCCAGGATTATGATGCCCATTATACAGAGGACAGCCCTGAGGTCCCCGAGGTTAAGTGGCCCACCTGAGGCTGCACAGGAAGGGCTGAGCTGGGTACTGAGCCAGGCTTCCTCGCACCTGCTCCACTGCATCCTGCCCACCAAAAGCGGGTCTCAAGTGAGACCTTTGGTGCAGGTGGGCATATTTCCACTCTGAACAAACCACCGAATAAAAAAACATGAATCATTTATTCTTTGGTTATCTACACAGACACTTAAATACTGTATTGTTGTCCCGTGGCTGCCTAGGCCTGAGCCCCCAGCTAGGTCCCGAGGGAAGCAGGCGTCCTGCCATGTCCACTCCATGAGCAGTAGCACCGTGCAGACCGACGGCTGTGAATGGGTCCCCTCTGCTGGGCACAGCAAGTTCCCCAATGCTCTGTGGCCCCCAGAAACAGGAGTCCAGCAGGCATGACAGAGTTCCTCACGGCGGGTCTAGCGGCCCACCCAGGTGTGGGCTGGACATGGTCAGAGCTCATCCTTGTGACCTAACTCACTGCTGGAGAGAGGTGCCTCTGCGGGTTGGAGGGGGGCCTGCCGCGCTTCCTGGGGCAGGTCCATCTCTTCCGGGCTGAAGAGCATCTTCACCAGGTCGTCCGCCTGCACCCTGTCCTGCAAGGACAAACCCCTGTCTATTCAGAGATGCCCCTTGAGGAGGCTCTACACAGCTCTCAGATGCTACTTGCTATAGAACAAGAAGGCTCTTCCGCAGGGGCCTCTGAGCTTATCTCCTCCAGGAGGTCCTAGTCTCTGGGTGAAAACAGCAGAGGTGGTGCCCAATGAGGAACCAAGAACCGGGTCATTCTCTACTTGGCACTCGTCAGGGTGGACAAGGCAATATGACCACAGTGACAGGGGCTGGAGCGAGGCATCTCTCTGGATTCCCAAGTCCAGCGTGCCTTTCGTGACTAAGCCACTGGGCCAGGGCTGGGGGAGGAGGCAGAATAGGGCCCTGGTGGAAAGCACTGGCGGCTCTTACCCTCTCACTGTGCCGGGCGTCCAGCGTGAACCACAGGGCGATGGCACAGCGTTGCCCTCTGGTGACGGCCTTCACTCCGTGCGGGTTTTCAGTGCCCGAAGAGAATCCCACGGTCCTGCCGCACTGGGGCTGCACCTCTGCCTACAGGGAGGAAAGGGGACAGGAAGGACAGACGCTGGGACCTGCGGCAGGACAGACCTGCGGTCAGCAGGGACCAGGACTGGGGGTGCTCTTCAGCCTGGCTTCCTGTAGACCAGAGCTACGGAGGAAGGGTGACCAGTCAGAGGACCAAGAAGCATGCATCAGAGTCCCTCGGTCTGGGGGCCATGGAGGAGCTGGCTACTAGTCAACAACTGGCCATTCTGCCCACTGTACTTGGAGGGGTTCTGTCTCTAGGAGACAGGGGCACTCACGGTCACAGTCTTGGCGTCTAGTTCAGTGAAGTAAAAGTTTCCTCCATCGAAGTCTCCATTCAGGTAAAGAATAGCACTGAGAAAGGGAGAGAGGTCTCAGCACAGGTGTCCTTGTCCCCCCGCCCCCAACACACCACAGTGCTAGTGTCTGCGAGGACTCTCAACCGGCAGGAGGGGGCCTTTGTGAGGAAAAAGCCTCACAAACATCACTCCCAACCTTCCTGCCTTCCCCCCTTCCCTCAGAGATCTGCCATCCCCTTCTGGGGCACTTCTGTGCCAAGCCCACCCTCCCACTGTCTCCCTGGCCGCACTGCAGCACTAGGATTCCCTACTGTCTGGCTTCCTAGCCAGAGGGGCTACAGGACTGGGCTCTGGGAACAGCTGATCCCAATGTGTGTGTGTGTGTATTTGCACGTGCACACACATTGGGGAAGGGGCTAGGCCAGGGAGCTGGGGGCTCACAGAGCTGGCACCTGTAGTCCCGGAAGGTGTAGGCGGGGGGCTCCTTGATGCACACGAGGGTCTCGGCGTTCAGGATGCAGTTGTCCACGTGGACGGGGTGGCTACCGTCCTTCCTCTCAGCCTGGGCCTCTGGGGCCAAGGTAACACACGTCAGACTGGGGCGCCTCAGGAGACAGCACGGCTCTCCTGCTGGTGGGGTGGGTGCTGCTTCCCAGAACGCATCTGGGTCTATGGGAATGTCTACCCAAAAGGGGCCTCAGACTAAGCCACCAGCCCAAGAGTTCGCACAAAGCTGCAGGCTCTTGGGAGAGTTCTTGATAGAGTGAGCAGGTGCAGTAGACAGGGCTGTGGGGTGGACAGGGGCTGAAAGGCATAACCCAGAATCTATAAACAGGAAGGAAGGAGGAAGGAGGAAAGTGGACATGAGGATGAGGAGGTGGGGGGTGCAGGAACAGGGAGATCAGATGTGGGCAGCACAAAGGGAGCAGGTGCCCGGGGCTGCGGGTGGGTGGAGCAACTCTGAGGGATGAAGGCCGAGAACGGGAATGCGGGGAAGGGAGGTTACTGTAAGATCCCAGGCAGACTGAAGGCACCATCCCCCTTGCACGCCCCATGTGGGCTGGAGGCCCATCAAGTCACGTCCTGCCTGTCCCCACTTGTCCAGTCTCCAGATCCTGCCCCCTCACCTCCTGCATCTCCCTTACGGCTCCTCTCTATTCCCATCGCCATGAGTTTAGGCCTTTGTCTTCACCCACCAAGGTCACTGCTGACCAGATTTCCTTTCTCTGGTTTGATCCACGCTTTCCAGAACTCTCCACATGAAGCAGCAAAAGTAGTCTTGGGAAAGCAAGGCCTCACCAAGTCCTCACTGCTAACCGCTTCTCCCTGGCCTCCCAGTCTGTGGCCGCAGCATAGGGACGCCCTCGGGCCCCAGGTTACAGGGCTGACAGTGACTTCCTCCGCTGCACTTGCCACCCTGACTGGCTGCGTATTTGTTTGCGCTGGTTCCCAGCTGGGATGAAGGGACAGCTTCCCGTCCTTCAGTGATCTCAGTGTCCAGCAGGGTTGGGGGTGCCGGGCATGGCACTGCCCAAGCACAGGTGCGGGGTGGGGGAGGCCCACCTTCAATGGCAGTGCGGCACACCAGGTGGGAGTAGGAGAAGTAGAGGGGGGTGTCCAGGCGGAAGTAGGACTCCATGACGCGCCGCACCTTCTCTGTCACGTTGTAGTACAGGTGGGCGCTCTGCAGGGGGACTTTACCTTCCTGGCCCAGCTGCCAAGGACACTGTGGTCAGTTGGTCCAAATGCCCCTCTGTGGGCCACAGGGGCTGGGCCCCACCCTTTGTGCACCCACCAAAGGGGTTGTCTTCACTCCCACCCCCTGGAGCCCCCACTCTTCAGGAAGCACACCCCAGCTTCGCACACCAGCGTGGCTTGCCTGCCTCATTTTATTATACTTGGTCTAAGAGCCGGGATCCCAGGTTAATCATTCATCTCACCCTGTGGCGGCTCGAATGTCAACAGGCACACCCTACCTTTCCTATCACCAGCCCCGACTCCTCCCCAGAGCCTGAGCCTCCCTTCTCTACAGTCTGGAAGGTTAACTACTGATTCTACCTTGAGGGCTTTGAAGACAGTGACGCCGTAGAACTTCTCGTTGGGGGTGTGTGGGGAGGTCTGACCGCGGTAGCCGTCTCCCGAAGTGGCTGCTGCCTACGAGGCAAGAGCAACAGGTGGGGCTCGCCAGGCTGGAAGGGGGCACCCACCGCCCTCAGCAAGGGCAGGCAGGCCAGCACCTGGGAGGCACTGGGTAGGGGAGGCCGGGCCTCGGGGAGAAGGGCGGCCATTGGTTCCCCTTACGTTGGTCAGTCTCTGCAGCTCCCGGCACTCGTCGTCAGAGATGACGCCGTCCATCACCACCCTCTGGGAGCCATTCAAGACCTTGGAGTTCATAGTGAGACTGATGCCTTCATAGAGCAGGGGGCCACCTGCAAAGCAACACCAAGGCCAGCTAAATCCAGCCGCAGTTCTGTTCACACTCTCCCCTGGCACCCCCTCCTGGTAGGAAATAGAACTTCCTGTTGTTTCTTGCAGAGAAATTCCCTTTTCAGACATTACCAAAGGCAGGGTGTCCAAAGGACAGAGCCTGGAGACAGGAGGGCAAGTCCTAGTCCCAGCTCTACTCCCCGACAGCTGCTGCTCTTGGCCACCAGTCGAGAAAACATCATTAACACATTCCTAAGACCTGGTATCCAGAACCACAAAGAACTTGGGTTTGACTCCTGGATCCTCCACTCACTGGTTGTGAGACCTTGGCAGATTACTTCACCTCCCCAAGCCTTTCCTCCCAGCAGCTACTTCTTAAGTTTGATGTGAAGAACAAGAAAGCAAGTCAGAAATTGAGCACAATACCTGGCACACAGAAAATGTTCAAAATTTTAGCTACCATCATATTATCATCACCACCACGACCACCACCACCACCACCATCGTCATCTGTTTACGATGCTCTTGCAATCTGCCCAACTTGCCTCCCAGACAGTTATGAGAATCAAGAAAAATGACAGCACAAAAACTCTCTAACAAAGGAATGCCAGCCATATTCTTGTCACTTGCTGATCTTGTTAAATTAACCACTGCTAATTTAAGTAACTATAGAACAAAGACCAACATTTTTTCTCTTCTATTTCTCAGGTCTCTCTGTATTGTGGACACAGAGGCAACTTGATTCTACTCCATCTACTCACTGAGGCCTGTGTGAGTGCCAGGCTCTGTGCTAGACAGGTGAGGGGCAGCGCCTGCCAGGGAGAGCACAAACAAGCCTCTTGGAAGTTCAAAGCAGGTCTTGGCTGGAAGACCAAGAAAGGCTTCGCAGCTGTACCTCAGGTGCTATCATGGGCAGAGGTGCTGGGAAGTATATTAAGAAGCGGCACACTTGGGCCTCCCCGGTGGCGCAGCGGTTGAGCGCTGGGTTGTGAAGCTCCCTGCGGCCTCTGTGGCGCTGGTTCGATCCCCAGCTGCTCCCCGGCCACCAGAGGAGGGTCCCACATGGCGCTCAGATCTCTCCTGCCGCCCGCTGCTCCCCTCAGCAGTGTACTTCGGTCCTTCTGCCTGCTCTGCTCCCTGCTCTGGCTCTGGTGAATTCTCTCACCCTCCCACGCTTCTGACTGTACCCAGTGCATGTATAAACAAACAAACAAATAAATAAGTAAATAAATAAAATACGTGCCTCTTTAAAAAAAAAAAAAAGAAGCGGCACAGGCATGAACGAAGACTTGTGGACAGAGAGAGACTCAAGCACCAGGAGCAGCCCAGTGTGGATGGAGAGAGGGTGTAAACGGGCAGGGGAAGAGCAGAACGTAGCGTGAAAGAGGCAGGTGGGTGGATGGGGTCAGAGTCCCCAGATCTAGCCACCCAGTGGGAATGGGCCAGGACACACTGGAAGCGGAAGGAAAGACCAGTGCAGAGAGGAGGTGCTGGCCTGAAGCAGCCCTGAGGCAACAGGAAGAGGGGAAGGAGAAGCAGCAAAGTCACCATGGGCAGGCCTCCCCAGCAGACTGGAGGGGACAGGCAAGGGACAAAGAGCACCAAAGAAGGTGTAGGCTGCTGAGGCTACTGGTACAGGGTGGGAGATGGTCGCTGGGAGAAAGCAGTTTGCAATTAGAGACAGGATGAGTTTTGTCCTATGATGCTTGAACGATGCTAGCATTACTGCGACCCAGGAATCTTATTTATTAATGAAAGGCCAATTCTCAGCTCTTCCCAGGAGGGAGGGCTGTTGGCCAGCTACAAAGGACAGTGAGGCAAGCATAAGCTCTGACGGGTGGGGCCCCACCACAGAGGTTGGCCTGCCATGAGCTTGGTGCAGCTGGGGCGCAAGCAGGCCCAAAGGGTATCCTCTCACCTTCCCGGGTCAGCCTGCTCACATCCAGAGACTCTTTGGTCTTCTCTTCCACAAGGGTCTCAATCTCCTTCATGAGGTTTCCGATCTCCTGGGAGATGCGGACGGCCGTTTCCCGTTCTGACCTGTGAGCACAGCCACGCTGAGGACTGGATCTGGGGCCGGTCCTGGTTCCCACCCAGACTGCCCAGTCTGGACCTGCCCACCCCTTGCCAGGAGTTCACATCTGCCTGGGCTCAGAAAGCCTCAAGTGCTTCATCAGACCGATCCAAGCATGCAGTTTCTTCAAGGTCCTCACTTCTGTTTCTCTCGCAACCTCTTGGGAATCACCTCTTCTGGGGTCCATGAATCCTAAAAGTAGGCCAGGAAGAAAATAAACACCATTGGGTGACCTACTTGATCTCCCAGGTCTCAATGCAGGTAATAGGACCTACAGGAGACACCACATCACCTCCTCCCCTCAGGAGGTAAGGAGAGGCCTCTGACCTGAAGTCATCTCTGGCTGCCCCAGCCGCCCCAGGCTCTTTGTCCACGGCTCCCACAGATCCCAGGTTTAGTGCAACACCTTAAGGACTTTCTCCCCAGAGTGTACCACTCACTCCATCCCTTGCCCCGACTCTCCCCACCCCAGCTCTGCACCCTCACTCACCGGATCAACAAAGGGAATTCCAAAAACATCATAAGCAAAGAAAAGCAGTTCTTTCTCCAGTAGGCTTCGCTGCCGGTACTCCTGGGCACTCTGAGGAAGCAAGGCGGAAGAAAGCCCAGACTCAGCCCTGCCCTTGGACCCTCCAGAGCCCTGTCAGCCTGCGCTCGCCCCCCATCATCACCAGGTGTCTGTTCCCCAGTTTGAAACAAAGGCTCACGTGTTCAAGCATTCCTTTTGCCTGGCACAGCAGCACCACTGAGGGTGGTATAACCAGGCTTCCCTGGAAGGGAAAAACATCCCCCCTCCACCTCCCTGTACCCCTCCTCCAATTAATCTCTGAGACAGAAAATCTGGAGATCCTCAGGGGGGGATGGAAATGTTCTTCAGAGAAAGAGAACTCCTTCTGGACTTCTGCTGGAGTTCAATACTCAGGGAGGAAGCCTAGGTGTTAGGCAACTCAGTCACTGAATCTTTAAAGCCTCCTTTGAGGTTGATTCTATTTCTCTATTTCATAGATTAAGAAATTAGGTGCAGGGGGGACTGCAACTTAAAGTGACACTATAGAAAGTGGCAGGGCGGGGACCTGCCTCCAAACCCAGGTCTTTTCAAGTCTAACGCCCATGTGCTTCTTATTACACCACCTGCCTCCCCCCAGACTCTGAACAGACGGCAGCCTCCCCAGAGGGGTGAGAAGGGGAACTAAGTACCTTCCCGGGTCACATCTTCCCCTAGATGCCCTGCTAGTCTCCAAGCAGCAGAAGGAAGCAAAAGAAAAAGAAGATATCATCAGTTGAAGTAAAGGCGACGGCAGTAAGGAAATGTTAAAGGCATTAATGAGTCCTATGGCATCTTCACTTGCCCAAGAAGAAGATGCAAGTTTTCTCCGAGGAGTTTAAATGACTGACTCCCTTCACCCTGTGCTAGACACCAAGCTAGGTATGGCATCTTATTAACCCTCCAGCAGCTCTTTGAGGTTGCATATCCTACTTCTACTATATCCTACTTCTACCATCTTCCTTCTACCAAGTAGGTGCAAATCCTACTTCTACCATTTATTAGCTAAACACTGACTGAGAAACAGCTGATGTCAGGAAATGCCGCAGCCCTGGGATACAGCAAGGAAACAGATTCTGGTCACAACTGCCAGCCCAAGGCCCTTGTGCAGCTAACTCGTCTCCTGCAGCCCGCATGTCCTAACCTCTAAAATGGGATGTATAGTGTCTACCTCACCCGGCAGCTGGGTCCACGAAATGAGACTGTGGGTGTGAACCGCACACTTAGCTCAGGACAGGGTCAACAAAAGTTACTTTCTTTCCAGAAGGGGAACTTTGTTTAAAAAGGAAGGTAGACCACATGGGTTTATTTTTCTTTCTCTAACCCAGACTCACTAACATGACCACAAAGGGTAGGAGGTGTGTTAACCCCGCAAGGCACAGACCTGGAGAAAAGCCATCTCAAATCCAGATGGTCACCTCTGGCTCTGGCCACCTCCAGTGGCCAAGGAGGACAACTACAGGCAGCCCATCTCCACAAGGGCGGGGATGGCAAGGGGATTACGCCTCCTGCTCCCAGAGACTCCAGGCTCCAGAGCTAGACGAACCTCATTTTCTTTCTTCAGGATAGGCTGGTGACCCCACCACACTGGCTTGTTATGAGGATTGAATGAAAGAAAAACCAAGAAAGGATTCTGTAAACTGTAAAGTACCACAAACATCAGAAGGGTGGTAATTTTCACTATAAGTGCCACAACCAGAATGGAGGTCTGACACTGCCACGCCAACCACCTCCTCCCCGTGACCAGAGGAAAACAAACTCCACTGGGCTAGGAGAGCAGTGGGCCAGGTCTACCACTGGCTCAAGCAATTCCACTTCTGGGAAGTTACCCAAAAAACAAACAAGGAGAACAAGAACTTGAACAGATTTCTGTACACCCCATTTACTGCAGCATTGTTCCCATTAGCCACGATGTGGAAATAACCTAAGTGTCCTTCAGCGGGTGAATGGATAAGGCAAATGTGTTGTATCTATACAGTGAAATATTATTCAGTCATGAAAATATTATTCAGTCATGCAAAAGTCATTAGCAACAACAGGGATAGAACTTGGGTATTCACTAAATGAAGTAAGTCAGACAGGAAAAAACACTGTATGGCTTCACTTATATGTGTATTCTGAAAATACAAAACAAAACGAAAAAACCAAGCTCAAAGGACAGACGTGTTTACCAGAGGCAGGTGGGGGACAGGTGGGAATGGGTGAAATGGGTGAAGTGGGTCAAACGGTACAAACCTCAGTTATAAAGTAAGTTGTGAGGATATAATATTCAGCATGGCAACAATAGTTCAATAATAATACCGCAATATTATTAAAAATATTATTTAAATTAAAATATGCAATAATACTGCACATTAGAAAGTTAAGAGAGTAAATCTTAAAAGTTCATCACAAGAAAAAAAGTATTAACTACTGTGTGATGATGGATAATATTAACTAGACCTACTGTTAATATATATTGTATATATTTTTTGTGATATATCCAAATATCAAATTATTATGTGAGATATTGTGATTTATCAGAAATATATATTGGTCATTCATATATATTCATATATTCATAGATATTCCTCATATATATTTGGTCTTCATTCATAGTTCCTGGCTCACAGCTCCCAAAAGCCTTGGGATTTCCTAAGCATCGAGAGGGATAAAGGTGTGATTTGTAATGTGAATCAGGTGACTATTAAGCAGCACCTAAGGATGGGGGCCGCTTGCCAATGAAGCTAACACACTGATGGGGGGTTTGGAATTGCCTGTCTATCCCGGGAGGTGAGAGGGCCTGGAGATCTGAGTGTAACTGCCAATGGCCAATGATTTGATCAATCACACCTATGTAATGAAGCCTCCAAAAAAACCCAAAAGGTGGGGCTTCAGAGAGCTGCTGGGATGGTGAACGTGGAAATTTAGGGAGAAAGGCTAGCCAGGAGGGGGATGGAAGCTCTGTGTTCTTTTCCCATATTTTGTCCTATGTCTCTCTTCTTACCGGCTGTTCGTGAAAAATGTCCTTTGTAATAGTCAGTGATCTAGTGAGTGAACAGTTTCCTAAGTTCTGTGAATCTTCAAGCCAATTTATCCAACCTGGTGCCTGAAGAGTAAGGATAGGGGTCCTAGAAACCTCTGCTCTGTAGCAGGTTGGTGAGAAGCACAGATAACCACCTGCACTGTGGCTGGCATCTGGAGCAGAGGGCTGTCTTGGGAGACTGGGTCCTTAACCTAAGATGGATCTGGGGCCATGTCTGGGGAGAAACATGTCAGAAAATGGAGTTGAATTCTTGGGCACCTTGCTGGGGTCTGAGAATAGCTTGTGGTGTGGGCAATCTCTACACACTCACAGTGGCACTGTGTCCAGGAGCCCTAAACAACCTGAAATCAGTATTATGTTCCATGTCTTATGTGCCTCAATAAAACATATTTACATATGTAAATAAAAGTTCTCCATGGAAAAAAGAGAAAGGGTCTAGGGTCTGTGCAAGTCATATACACAAATATCAAGGTTCATAGCAGCAAACTTAAGTTAAAAACAGAGAACATTTCATGTTTTTAATGACAAATCTAATACCCATACACTGTAGGGAATTGAGAAAACATAAATGAGTAAAACACAAAAAAAAATCACCCCTAATGACACATCCAGAAATAACCTTTGCTACAACTTCAGTACATTTCATTTGGGTCACTGTATTACATAGATTTTCCCCTTACTTTGGAGTGAGACAGGACTAACGCTCAAAGAGTAAGAGATCAGACCACAGCAGAGAAGGGGGACAGGGAAGAAAATGGGGAGACAGAAAACAGGAGAGTGAGCAAAATTGAGCATGAAGTATAAAATGATACATCTTGGCCAAATGGCATTAAGTCTCAAAGTAGGGGATGCCAGAAAGAGCCTGCTGTGCAGTCCTGCTTTTCTTTGCTGACTCAGATAACAGACATCTGGGCCAGATCCTGCCAATTAAGGCTCTGGCACCTTCCCCAGGCTTCCCAAGAGCCCTTATTCCCTGAGTGACAAGCCGAGTCGCGCGCTCACACCCATCCAGGCTGCGCCAGCTTCCCCTTGGGCCCCACCCCTCTGCCCTCTGGGCTGTGTTCAGCTGGCAGCTGCCCTGACTAGTGGGAACCTCTCACCTCCCGGGGACCGATGGCTCCAGCTTGTTCTTCTCCATGCATAGCTGTGTAGTAGGCCAGGTTCTGGTTCATCACCTCATCGTTGGGGAAGAAGAGGAGATAGGTCTTGGCACACTCAATAGCCTGTGTGTAATTCCCAACTGCAAAGGGGGGAAAAGGCTGAGAAGAAAGGGTCTGATCTTGGGTACCAGAAACTGCAGAGCGTTTGGTTCCAGCACAGCCGGAGGTGCCTGCCACACACCACTGCCTGACTTGGGGGGAGGAGTTAAGGGACACCCACGGATACAACATTGACTTGAAGTGGCTGAAGGTGCTCAGGGCTGCCTACTATCAAAACAGACAATTTAGAACCCCTGTGTGCCCACATCTTCAGTATTCACAGATAATTCAAAACTGGCCTCAATGTCAGATCCATTTCGGGGATATTCCCCTTACTTTCTTTTCCCTATGGATTTTCAGAAGGTAGGTGGGGGAAGAGATTATAACAGCAGACAGTTCTTCACATATGTTAGTCTCCTCCGCTCAGTTGTCAGCTTGCAAACTCTTGACTATGTTGAATGCTCAGCACACTGATACAGTAATAGTAAAAGCTGGGCTGCTGTTGCAGTGTGCTTCAGTCCTTCTGCCTGCTCTGTTCCCCCCTCTGGCCCTGGTGAATTTTCTCATCCTCCCGTGCTTCTTTTTTTTTTTAAATAGAGGCATGTTTTATTTATTTATTTGTTTGTTTGTTTATACATGCACTGGGTACAGTCAGAAGTGCGGGAGGGTGAGAGAATTCACCAGAGCCAGAGCAGGGAGCAGAGCAGGCAGAAGGACCGAAGTACACTGCAGGAGAGGTCTGCGCGCCATGTGGGACCCTCCTCCGGTGGCTGGGGAGCAGCCGGGGATCGAACCAGCGTGGCAAAGGCCGCGGGCAGCTTCGCAACCCAGCGCTCAACCACTGCGCCACCGGGGAAGCCCCCTCCTGTGCTTCTGACTGTACCCAGTGCTTGTATAAATAAATAAATAAATAAATCTTTAAAAAAAAAAAAAAAAAAAAAAGGTGGGCTGCTGTTTTTCTGGATCATGATAGCCCCACGGCCCTGCCAGAGGGTCAGTACTATCTAGGAAAAAAAGTCTGGGAAATGTCCTGTGAGCTGTTTGAAACTGCTACCACTTCATTCAGATGAAAAATTAGATTGCAGAGGTCACAGGAGGGACAAGAGAGAGAGGGCCTAGAGTCTTCTCTCCCAGTTTCTCTGGCTGCTGGTACTGGCTTCCTGGGCCAGTGGCTAATAACCAAGCACCCAAGGGATCATTTGGCTCAGGGATTCCCACCACCAGAGGGATGCTAAAAGCGAGGTGCAGCGGTCATGACCGCTGCCTACCTTGCTTCTGTTAGCTAAAAGCAGCAGGGAAAAGAAAGGCGGGCCTTACTGTTATAGTAGGCAAACTGCAGATAATTATAATGTGATGGGAGGAAGTCTTCAAAAGGTTTCTCTCGACTTGGGTGGGAAGCCAGCTCAGTGACACAGCTCTGCTTACAGCTGAGGACCTGGACGTAATGATCTGAAAAGGAATCGAAGAGGGGGAATAACCACAGGGCCCATCTTCAGGATTCAAATTCTGGTTGAGATGAACAAGTTTCAGGAGAAGCCACCTTCGGTCAGATTCCCAGGTTCAGACATTTAGGTAAGAGGCTGAAAGGGTGGGTGGGCTCCGAGCACCCACCTGCGATGGCCTGGAAGAGGTCGGCGTTGTAGTCCAGGTAGTTGTAGCCATCGTAGTCATAAGGCCCTTCGCAGAGCACACGGCACTCCTGGTCCGCTGCCCAGTATTCCCGCAGCGCCGCCTCCAGGTGGGGCACGGCCTCCTGGGGCTGCTCCTCGGAGTAGAGTCGCACTCCCAGTCGAAACTCCTGCTACTGGGAGGAAGGGGTACTCAGTGGTGGGAAGGGGTACTCAGCGGGGGGGGGCCACCCTCTGCTATTTGCCTGCTCCTGGGGTCACGGATGCTGATGGTGGCTGCTATAGGATGAAGGTCTTTTGTAAGTGGTCTTGTTTCTTTTGCAATTTAAAAACACATAACTCTTTAATCTAGAGCAAAGTTATATTACAGGGAGTTTGGTGTAACTTTCTTGGACTTTTCTGTAGGGCTAAAAGTTCTCAAAATTAAAGTCTAATAAAAAGTTTAACTCTTAAACGCTAGAATGCGATGACACAGATGTTTCCAGCGGTAAGGGGTGACTAGGGCTGCTGCAACTAATTACAGACTTGGGTTTTGCTATCTGGGGCACAGTTCCCGTTCTCATAGACAAAAGCTATCCCTGCTTGTCATAGAATCACATGAAAAAACAAAAACCTGTGTGGAATGTTTTAGATGCACATAGTTTACTTTTAAAAGTCATCCTGATGTTGTTTCTAACATTTCTATTTCCGAGCTGTTAAAATATGAGAACAGAAGCTCTTTATGAAAATGCTATCGCATCACTGATGATCTTTCATGGAACATGGACTGTTCCTGCTGCACAAATAGAGTAAGAACATTGGGAATACCATGCCACTGAATGCAGTGAAAAATAAAAACCAACATGACCAAACAATGTGAATTAGTACAAGTTATACATAATATGTAGCCATTAAAAACTATGTTTTCAAAGACAAACTGGAGACAGAAGAGCAGGCTCAGGATCTAGTGGTAGTTCAAAAGGGCGGTGCGACAGACATGCACAACGTTGACACTAAATTAGATTTAAAAAGTGGATATGGGTTTGAAAAACAAGCCAAAATATCAACTACTGGTTTTCTTAAGGTGGCAGTATTATACACTCATCTGCATTTTTCTAATGTTGTACAATGACCATATATTATTTCTGTAATCATAAAGCAACCTTAGTAAATGTCCGTTTAAAAAGAGTGGTGAGGTGGGAGGGAGAGAGGACTGGAGGAAGGAGGGAGGGAAGGGACATTGACAGAGAGAGAGATTTTCACCATGTGGGGTCTGGCCTCAAGATCCTTGAAGTCTTCCTCCTTCACCCCAGACATGCTTTGGTAATAGTCCAGGTTCTGACGCATCTCCATGTGCTCAGGATTGCCCACAAAGAAGGTGTGCGCCGCAGCGACAGCTTTCTCCAACTTGTTGATCTAAGAATGAAGCACAGGAATGTAATTCTCACATCCAAATCCTGAAGGTTTGTGTCCAAATATGTGGTCCACAGTAAACAGGAAATCCCAGCTTCCCCAAGCCAAACAGGGAGCACCGGCCCCTGACAGGCCCAGAAAACACACCTACTGCAAGAACTACATACCAGAAGTTAGGAGCCCAGGGCCCTAGGTAGACATTTAGCTATTTTCCAGATCAGGTTTAGGGGGCTCCCCAAGAAATAGGAGGCAATGGTTCAACAGAAAGAAGCACCTATTTTAAAACAAAGGTCATATTGTAGGGAACTGCTATGGGAGACTGCATGTCCAAATAATATTATATATTCTCAAGGTTCAAATGTAGTGATTGAACTGAAGAAGATCTAAGATTCCAAGGATTTAGGAGTAGGCAAGAAAGAGTAGTTAACAATTAGATTATGCCCAAGAGTTTTCCTAGAAAATACTATTTTTGCGTAAAATAAAATCAAGCGGTTTGACATATTTAAAGAAAAAAGAGGTGGCTGAAAAATTCTAAAGTCCTATACAAAATCCAGACATAGAATCTCTGGCTTAAAGCCCAGGGCAGAAACAAGTGGATACATAAAAACCCGAGGAGGAGAATGTGCTACAGGTCAGAACAAAGTCCACAGCACATCAAAGTTACATGTAAAGTATGTAGATGCTTATGTAGAATCTAAGAGTCTTAAGTAGAAGTTAAAACAAATCACGGATAATCTAATGATTAACTATACAGTCTTTTGTGTCAGAGAGACTCATGACAAACCTAGGTTTACTCACCTGCTGGGGCTCTGGATAAGTGACTTAAAGTTCACTCTCTAAATTCAACTGCCTAATCTGTCTCCTGCAGATAGCACTCACTACTTCACAGGACTGTTGGAGAAGTTAACCAGACACTATATATGGTACCAGGCACATATTAAGTGCTCAGCAAATGTTGGCTGGCATTACTAATATGCTAGGGGGAAAACGTTTTCTTATCATTGGTGCTACTAAACACACACTGAACAAGGAGTCAGCCTGCACTCTGCCACTAAAATAGCTAGTTGCCTAAGGTCAATAATTCCCATCTCCATACCTCAGTTTGATTGTAAAATGGGAAATCTTCTCAAGTGTGTCTCTTTTATGGTTTTATTCTCTCATATCATTCAGCACAGCTCTTGCTTTCTGTCCTCCATCTCCTCACTCTCTATTCCTCAGTCCTGCTCTGTGTCCCACAGCACTGAGCACCTCACTTCCTTCCTCATGTGGACAACTGCGCTTGTCTCCTATAGGTTCACCTGCCGCCATGTCCTACTTCCAAGGCTTACTCCACACACGGTTTCCTCAGTTAGCACTCTAAGTCCCAATCCTGCTGATGGACCCCTGAAGCCTCCTCTTCCCAGTCTGGCCTCCCTCTATCTGGAATGGCCATCTTCCTCCCCTCAAGCAATATTTAGGGCTCTCTCCAATTGTCACATCTTCTCTCAACTCTCCATTGTCTCTGGACAAAGCTAGGCTCTCACTCCTTTGTGCGCTCACAGACCCTACCCAAATACCCTTTGAGAAGCCCTTATTATAGTGATTCTTGACAGCAAAGCAAGACCAAACCAAAAATACATATATACAAAAATATATATATACAAAACCAACATTTTAATTATCTGAACAAGAACTGAAATACAGTAAGTATTCAATAAACGTTTGCCAAAGAATTTTAGAAAGCAGGGGCCTCCCTGGTGGCGCAAGGGGTTAAGCACCGCATGATGAAGCAATCTGATGCCTCTACAGCACAAGTTCAATCCCCAGCCAGCCAGGGAGCGACCCATGCGGCAATGCAGACCTCTCCTGTCTTACCCGCTGCTCCCCTCAGCAGTGTATTTCAGTGAGTCTGCCTGTTCTGCTCCCCACTCTGTCTCTGGTGAGAGACATCACCCCCAACTCTGGCCTGTGCCCCAGCTCTTGTATGCATAAATAAATCTTCAAAAAAAAGAGAATTTTAGAAAGCACTGTTAAGTGATGTGACCAATGACACAGCACAATCATTTTGGCTTCTTCTGAGAAACTAGGAGGAATGGAGAGGAGCTATGCAAGCAAAATGTTTTTGGAAATCTGAAGTCCCCAACAGTCTCTACGTCTCTGCAGGTGGGAACGAAGATCTGTTAAACCACAGATTTAATAGGCCTGAGGAATAGAGAGAGTGAGAAGATGGAGAACAGAACACACAGTGCAGTAACTTCTCCCTGTCAAGAGCACCACCTACTTCGCTGCCACCTGAGCAAACTGGTAGCCGCCAAGCACTTAAAGCAGAGCCTGGAAGTAGGTGCTGGCTGCTCTCCTCCGCACCATGACCACCGCCACACACCCGCCAGCGTGCTCCACATCCATGGGAACGCTCGATTTTGGCATTCCTAAAAATACTCACTTTCTACGGAAACCTGACTGACAGACTAGCCAGGGGTCCCCCACAGGGAGGGGCCAGACAACCCCTACTGGCGACGTGGCAACCGCATGTTCTCCAAGGGAGTCGCTGCACTGGGGCAGCAGGAAAAGCATCATTAAAAACCGAAGCGGAAGGCAGATGCAGAAATGTCCTGGCTTCTCGCTCGGACACTGACAATGAAATCAGGATGAGAGAACCAAGCCACCGCTTTCCTTCCCTCCAGGAGGCGTCCTGGGGGGCGCGAGACCAAGTTTTGCTGGGTGGGTGCCATAACCTCCGGCTGGACCTTTGGCGTGACCACCTCCCGATCGACCCCGGCGAGCGGATCACGCGGCGGGGTCTCTGCTCTCCCTGAGTCCCAGGGGGGTCACCCTCCCGGGGCGACCCTTCCTCGCCCCCGACGCTCCCCGGCCCCCCCGTTCCCCGGATCCCTGCGCAGCCACCCCAGAGGGTCCGGGCCGCCGGGGCGGCGGCAGCCCCGCACCTTGAAGTAGGCGACCTGCAGGTAGTTGTAGGGGCTCCGCTTGCGGAACTCCAGCTCCAGCTCCTCGCCGAGCGCGTGGGCGGCGGGCGGCCCGAGGCAGCGGCGCAGGCAGGCGGCGCGGCGCAGCAGGCCCGCGAAGAAGCGCAGGTCGCGCAGGGCGGCGGCGCCCGAGGCCTGCGCGGGGCCCGGGGGCGCGTCGGGGTCCGGCGCCCAGGGGAGGGCGGCGGCGCAGCGGGCGCGGCAGCGCAGGCGGAGGGCGCGCAGGGCGGCCCGCGAGCGCAGCGCCCGCTCCATGCTCAGCACCACGGCGGGCCAGTCCCCGCGCGCGTAGGCCGCGGCGCCCTCGGCGAAGAGCAGGTCGGGCGCCGCCAGGTCCCCGGCCGCCTCGGACTCGCCCTCCGCCCGGCAGGCGGCGGCCACGGCCAGCAGCGCGGCCAGCAGCCCCAGCGCCATCGCCCCGCAGACCTAACGGGACGGCTCGCCCCCGCCACCGAGGCCGGAGCCCCACCCCCGCGGCGCCCCGCCCTCCGCGGGGCTCCCCCCACGCCCCACGCCGCGCGCGCAGGCCCAGGAGCGCCCCGCGCCCCGCCCGCCGCGGAGCCGGCCAGACGGGCGGGGCCGGGCAGGCGGGCGGGGCCGGGCAGGCGGGCGGGAGGGCGGGGCCGGGCAGGCGGGAGGGCGGGGCCGGGCAGGCGGGCGGGAGGGCGGGGCCGGGCAGGCGGCAGGGCGGGCCCGGGCAGGCGGGCGGGCGGGGCCGGGCAGGCAGGAGGGCGGGCCCGGGTAGGCTGGAGGGCGGGGCCAGGCAGGCGGGCGGGGCCGGGCAGGCGGGCGGGCGGGCGGGGCCGGGCAGGCGGGAGGGCGGGCCCGGGCAGGCGGGTGGGCGGGGCCGGGCAGGCGGGTGGGCGGGGCCGGGCAGGCGGGAGGGCGGGAGGGCGGGAGGGCGGGGGCGGCTCCGCGCGCAGGGGCCGGGGAACGCGAGCCCCGCCCACGGCCCGCGCGCACGCCCTTCCGGCAGGGGCCCCGCAGGCCGGGCCGGGCGCTGTCATGGAGGACGCCGCGACTCCCCGGCAGGCGGAAGGCGTCGCTGGGGGCCCCGGAGCGCCGTCGGCCGCGGGGCGGGGAGGTACGCGGGGGGGGCGGGGACGCCCCCTGGGCGCGGCGGGGCTCGCGGGAGGCCGGGCGGGCGCTCACGCTCTGTGTTCCCCTTGTGTGTCGCAGCGGCGCTGGTGCAGCTCACCTCGACCCCCGGCGGCCTGGCCCTGGTGAGCCCCTACCACACCCACCGGGCGGGGGACCCTCTAGACCTCGTGGCGCTCGCAGAGCAGGTGCAGAAGGTGAGGAGGCGCGGCTGCGGAGGAGATAACCGTCTTCTTTCAGGTAGTTTAGCCCTGCTGCTCACGCCTCCAGCTGACAGCCGCTCCGGGCGGGTGGCGTTTGCTCTCGGCCGTCTCCGCTCGGACACGAGGATCTGATTGTCTTTGTGAGTGCGTGTCTGATCTCCGAGAGCACGGAGAGGCTCCTTCGGCTGCAGCTAGAGTGCCCATAATCTCCAGGGATGGGCAGTTTTGCACAGCACTTTGTGTGTGTGTTTTTTAAAGATTTATTTATTTATGCATACAAGAGCTGGGGTACAGGCCAGAGGTGCAAGGGGGTGAGAGGATTCACCAGAGACAGAGCGGGGAGCAGAACAGGCAGACCAATGAAATACACTGCTGAGGGGAGCAGCGGGTGAGACAGGAGAGGTCTACTTTGCCGTGTGGTTTCTCTCTGGCTGGCCGGGGATCGAACTCGTGCTGCAGAGGCTGCGGATTGCTTCATATTGCAGCGCTTAACCCCTTGCGCCACCAGGGAGGCCCTTGCACAGCACTTTGAATAGTCCTTATTTAATTCGGGCTTTAGGACGGTCCTGTGAGGTAGGCAGTGCACATGAAGAAACCTTTCAAGATAACTCTAACCCAGACTCCGCAGGCATGCCTAGTCCACTTATTTAATTTATTATTTTTTTAAAGATTTATTTTATTTATACAAGAGCTGGGGTACAGGCCACATGTGCAGGAGGGTGAGAGGATTCATCAGAGACAGAACAGGGAACAGAACAGGCAGACTGACCAAAATACACTGCTGAGGGGAGCAGAGGGCAAGACAGGAGAGGTCTGCTGCACCATATGGGTATCTCCTTGGCTGGCTGGGAATCGAACCCGCGCTACAGAGGGTGTGGACAACTTCACAGCGCTGCGCTTAACCCACTACTCCACTGGGGAGGCCCTAGTCCACTTCTTTTAAACTGCTTCTCATCAGGTCTTTATTTGTTAGCTAAGAGTTGTAGAATTAAACATCTTCTCAGAGGGTAAGAACTCTAAGTTTTGTTCTATGTCCTCAGTGGACCCAGTATTCCCAAGCCCAACATTAATTTAGGCATTAATTGTCAGAGAAGTAGAGTAAGTAGGACATTCAAAATAATGGGGAAAAAACACTGGAACTTTGCATCCAGGAGTTTTTAACCCACTTTGCATATTAACTTACATTTTGACTTTTGGCAAATTGCTTCTTTCTGGACCTCAGCTTCCTTATTTGTCAAATAAAGGATTTAAACTGAGAGTTTCAAGATCTGAAGTTCTGAAAAATCAGATTCCATTTAACCTCTTAACGGTCCTTACTATTGTAGAGCCATTTTCAGTATGGACAGGTACTGAGCCCTGCTGCTTTAGAGTTTATGCTAGCCTTACATTCTTGTATACACCGCCACACTTGACCTTGGTTTAAGGTCTTTATTTCCCTCTAAATACTTAATAATTAATGAGCTAAAATTCTCTCACATATACATCTCTGTACTTCAGTTGATTTTTAATTAAGAAAAATTCAAGCACTTAGGAAAGCTCCTTTGACTCAAACCTTGTGTCTTCTTTCTGTTGGGGCGGGGAGCAAAGTACAGGTTTTTTAGGAGAACGTCAAGTATCTATTTAATCTGATCACTCTTATTGGGAGAGTGGCTGCCAGGGACAAGATCTTAGGTAAACATTTTCGTGGGTTACTGAGTGACCATCCTGTTTATTACATGATCTGAAACAGAAAGAACTGCAGTTTTTGTCCTTCAGCCTATAATCTAGTAAAATATAGAAAGGATGCATTATTGTGCTGTCTCCATTTTCCCAATATTATCAGTCTTTGCGAAGCTGAAGAAAAACACTGTACAGACCAAAAAAGTGAATCAGGTACACTGTGTACTAAAATGTACCTTCTGGCAGGACTGACCTCTGACAGGCCACCTAGGTAGTAACGTGTGTTCAGAAAACTTGGGAGGCCTAGTATTAAGGCATGAAATTTGGAATCATTGATCTGCATTCAGATCTTCAACTGCTGTTTACTAAACTGTGAAACCTTGGACAGGTTGCCTTATCTCTCAAAGTCTAATTCCTAAAATAAGGTAATGAGGATTTCTCTAACTTCAGCCGTGTTGTGAGGTTTAAATGAAATGATGGACGTGAAGGGTCTCAGAATGGTTTGGTGCCAGGATTTGTGCTTAGGAATTGCATATATCCTTCTCATTTCTGTTAATTACTTAGCCTCCTTTATTTAAAAGGAACAGATTTGCTGCTTAAGAAAAGAGAGATTTGTTATAAGGCCACTCCTGACCTGGAACCACTTTAACTCTGGAAACTACTGACTTTCTCATTGACTAAATGGCACTGTTGTCCTTGGAACAAATGCAAATTCTTTTACTGTGGGGTCCTACCCTCTTAACTTGATTCTGTACACACCCCCTCACTAACTACTCTTCAGCAGCACTACCTCAGAAATGCCCAGAAACTCCTTCAGTTTTTTTGCATGGTGGGTCCTTTCCTTTCATCTGGACTCAAGTTAAATGCCACATCCTCAGTGAGACCTTCTTGTCTATAGAAGACTATACCCCACCCCATCCAAATGACTTATTAAATTGAATTTGAATGCCTTTAGGCTACATAGGACTTCCATTCCTGCAGTTCTCATCACTCCCTTATGAAACAGGTTACTTCGTTCATAGGTTGTCTTTGATCTGCTTTTACCACATAATTATGGTTATTTCCTTCATAATAGTACATCATTATTCCGAGTACATATAATAGTAGCTTTAATTATCTTTCTTCCTGGGGTCTGTACTACTCACTAGAGCTGTGCTGTACAATAACAGTAGCCTCTAGCTGCCACATGTGGTTCTTAGAACGTATGGTTAGTGCAACTGAGTACATTAAAAATTATGTACAGTAATCCCCCCTTATGCCTGGTTTTGTTCTGAGAGAGACCACATTCACCTACCTTTTATTATAGTATACTTGTAAATTATTTTATTATTAGTTGTTGTTAATATTGGTGTACCTAATGTATAAATTAAAATTTATCATAAGTATGTGTGTATAGGAAAAAACATAATGCTTATAGGGTCCATTGGTTGCAGGCATCCACTGAGGGTTTTGGAATGTATCCCCCACAAATAAAGGCAGATTACTGTAATTTAATTTGAATTTTAAAATTTGCTAATTGATTCAGTTATTGGAAACTTTTAAATATATTTGAAACAATTTGAGTACGTGAGTCAACTCTTTCAACTAAACTTTATGAAGTCTGAATATCGACTAGTGGGCCTCCTCGGTGGCGCGGTTGAGCGCTGGGTTGCGAAGCTGCCCGCAGCCTCTGCAGCGCCAGTTTGATCCCCGGCTGCATCCCGGCCACCGGTGGAGGGTCCCACTTGCGCGCAGACCTCTCCTGCCGCCCGCTGCTCCCCTCAGCAGTGTACTTCGGTCCTTCTGCCTGCTCTGCTCCCCTCTCTGGCTCTGGTGAATTCTCTCACCCTCCCGCGTTTCTGGCTGTACCCAGTGCTTGTATAAATAAATAAATAAATCTAAAAAAAAATTTATAAAAAATAAATAAATATCGACTAGTATTTCCAGTGAAAATTTAGCATCCAAATTGATAGGTGGTGAGTATAAAATAGACATTTAATATAAAGTGCTAAATATCACAGGTTTTTATAATTACATTGGAATTAATGTTTTTTATATGTGGGGTTAAATGAAATATTAGAATTAATTTTGCTTATTTCTTTTTACTTTTAGTATGGCCACTAGAAAATTTAAAATGACACATGCAACTTGTTTCATATTCAATTTTTTTTAAGATTTATTTATTTATGCATACAAGAGCTGGAGTACAGGCCAGAGATGCAGGGGTGAGGGGATTCACCAGAGACAGAGTGGGGAACAGAACAGGCAGACTGACTGAAGTACACTGCTGAGGGGAATAGTGGGCAAGTCAGGAGAGGTCTGCTGCGCCATGTGGGTTGCTCCCTGGCCTGACAGGGATTGTACTTGTGCTGCAGAGACTGCGGATTGCTTCATAGTGTGGTGCTTAACCCCTTGCGCCACCAGGGAGAACCCTTGTTTCATATTCTAAAGGGCAGTTGCATTAGACTGTAGTCTTGCTGTCAGGCGGACCTTTCATACTACCGGAAGTCAATAAACTTTTCTTGAAAGTGAGCTGGAAGTTTTGGACAGATTTCTAATATCTGAGTGATGATCCTTCCCAACATATGAATTGGTTACCCAGTTTATCCTAGTTTTGAAAATTATTTAATCCATTTCCAGCCATTTTAATTGCCTGGTTCATGACAGATAGTACTCTATATACATTGTAACTTTGTTTGAGGTCTATGTCACAGTGTTAGAATGAAAACACATTAAGTAAACCATTAGGAATGAAATCGTAGTTTAAAATATAACTAGGTGTAATGTGGATGATTCAACGAGGTAATGGTCAGATGGATGGATACTATCTGTAGCCTACATTTCCAGCAAGTGATAAGAGTCCTATCTAGTGTGTTTGGATTTTCACTATAAGGCCCATCCATGATTTCAGATATGTTTAAAGTTGAGAAAACAATTGGACATCTGAGCCTGATTGTGGGGTTTATGGGACAAATAGCAAGGGGAAAATGTATTAGATGAAAGAGAGGGCATAGTTAGTAAATTTGGTGGGAGGAGAGTGCAGGTGATGCTGAAGGATCAGACAAGTTCAGAGTGACTTAAGTGGGAAAGACAGAGAGCGGTGAGAAACCAAAGAAGGAAGCCCTAATTCTGTGGCGTGCGGTCATGTGAGGGTAGGCTTCTCATAGGCAGTGCTGCTTGATCTGAGCCACAGGGTGGGTGCAGTTCATGGGGGAATGTCGAGGGTGGGAGGGATATTTAGGCATAAGCAAAGATGTTGCCATCACTCTTCCCATTGGGATCTAAGTAAGAACATCTTAGTCTTACCCTTTCTCGACCCACAGTTAGGTTTTCTCTTCTCTGTAGGCTGATGAATTCATCCGAGCAAATGCCACCAACAAGCTGACAGTTATAGCTGAGCAAATCCAACATTTACAAGAACAAGCCAGAAAGGTAAGTAAAGGGTCTTGTTTTCTTTGTTTGGTTCACAGCTTTGGCTGAGCTTGCTTATGGTGATTGTAACTTACTTGTTTGTGATACCTCCTAGACATGTACAAGTGTTGAGCAAAATACACTTAGCCCAAGAGGTTAAGTGTAAGTTTTTCCCACTGGGAAAAACTTTAGTGATGTAGAATGTTTTGAGAGTAAAAAAATATCTTATAAAAGAAACGTTCTTGGGCCTCCCCTTTAGCGCAGCGGGTTAAGCTCAGCACTGTGAGGCTGTCTGCAGCCTCTGCAATGCTGGTTCTATTCCCGGCCCACCAGGGAGATACCCACATGGTGGGGCAGACCTCTCCTGTCTCGCCCTGCTGCTCCCCTCAGCAGTGTTTTCAGTCCTTCTGCCTTTTCTGTCTCTGGTGAATCCTCTCACCCTCCCATGCCTCTGGCCTGTGCCCCAGTGCTTGTATTAAAAAAAAACAAAAACAAAAAACAAGAAACGTTCTTATTGTAGAAAAATAGGAAAGAAATTTAAAAACCACTCAAAACCAGTGATGATCAGCATTTTGAAATGCAGTTCTTCTAAAGGCATTTTTACAGCATAGCAGCATAGTCTAATTTTTGTCCCTTCAGAATAATCTGGATCCCAGCAGTGATTCATTGCTATGGGGGTGCCACATCCTAAGTGTTGAGCAGTTTCCAGATTTTGATTAGGATGACCCCCCCTCCCTTACTGGACTGTTAGCTCCAGTACCTAATTGGTTACATCTCTGCGGCTCTTAGGTATTGGAAGATGCTCACAGAGATGCTGATTTGCACCATGTAGCTTGTAATATAGTGAAAAAGCCTGGCAACATTTACTACCTTTACAAGCGGGAGAATGGTCAGCAGTACTTTTCCATTATTTCTCCAAAGGTAAGAATATTTATCTCTTGCACAAAGACTCACTGTAGTCTTTGAGAAATTCTTGGCATGTATGTGTGAAAATGGAGGCATAGGGGTTGGTAAATGGTTTCCTAGAAACTGGAAAGTCATATTTTCCCAGACATAACTCTAAAAAATATACTTGTGCTTAAATTATTTCATAGTTATTATGTCTGTTAAGGGAGATCTTTGATGTGTAATATAATGATTTCCAAAGATGATTCTGGCTGGTCTGAAGTGAAAAGCCAAAAAGAAATTTGTGGCATAATTAGGGAATGAGCGCAGTGTCTTTATCTCCTACCCTTATCAGAATGGACTCCTTTGCCTTCTCTAGGAATGGGGCACAGGTTGCCCACATGAGTTCCTTGGTGCCTTCAAACTGCAGCATGACTTGTCCTGGACTCCATATGAAGACATTGAGAAGCAAGATGCTAAAATCAGCATCGTGAGCAAGTTGCTAAGCCAGCCTGTGGCCCTGCCTCCATGTGCTGAACCCAACCTCCAGGGACTGACCCACTGAGTGTGGACTCTGACAGCCTGTTCTCACAGCAAGGACCTGCCGCCGCCGCCTCCTTGCCCCTCTCTGCTTTGATGGGAGCAGCGTGAGAATTGAGGGCATGTTGGTGAATCATGATCTTCTTGGAGCCTGCGTGAATGTAACTGTTGTCATTGTTAATCACTTTTGGGTGGGATGGTAATGATCCACATCACTCTTTGGGGATCCTTTCTGGGCCACAGGTACCTACCCGGGCCAGTGTATTCTCCCCTTCTCTTTTGTTGCCATCTGTTATCCACAGAAGTCAGAGCATTAGAAAAAGAAGAGTTTCTTCTTGCCACAAACAAGTTGGCAATTCATCTGCTGAATAGGGTGATTTTAGTCTTTATGTAACTGGAAGTGTTTAAGATTAGGGCTGGGGCTATTTAGCAATTAGTGCAGCTTCAGCTTCAGATTGATGTGGAACAAGAATGTTGGTTCGAGGAAGATTATAAACAACTTCACTTGCCTGGACTAGAGAGTGTGATGCTGATAAGTCTGCACCACCGGAGAGGTTTGAGCTGCCCTTTCTGTCTAGAGTGACTGGAAAGCCTGAGGCAGCAGCAATGGCCAGAATTTGGGAGGGTCAGCTTCTACACTCACAGAGTTTTAGACTTGGAAGATAAGTGGTGTTGGTTGTAGATACCACTAAGCACTGTATGAATGCACTCAGTAGCCTCGCCAAGGAGGAGGTTGAGTCCAGCAGCAGCAGCAGAGGAGCAAATTGTGTACACGACTTCTTTAAAATATTATGAAAAAGAAACTAGAGCAATAGCTGAGAAACCAGAAAAAACATCCATCCTGTTAATTATAAGTTAATTCACACTGAAACTCAGTTTGACCTGAAATATTCAGGAACTTAGAACTGAGGCTTTTTGGCTGATTACTCTGTTCTGCTCTGGCTGGGCGCTTGTGAGACTCTACCTCGTTTTCTGTTTGTTCATAAGTTTTAACTAACTTTATAGCCAGGCTGTACTTCCTCCAGTACCATATAATCTTTAAGAACATACTTTAATGGGTTGAGAGATGTGTAGTTGAAACCATAGTTGACTAAGTTCCTTTCCAGGGATGGATGTATGTCGTGCTGATCTTCTTGATGATACCCTAACCCCCTCCTGGTATTCATGGCCTCACTTTATAAGCCAGGCTTCTTGTGAGTTATACATGGCCTGCAAAGTCCGAGCGTAAGATAGGGCTTGAACCTGACAAGGTCCCACAGGTGATGTGGGTGACTCAATTCACAGGGCAGTGTTCTGCTGAGCCTGCTGCAAAAGCCTCAGTGGGCTGCTGTGGGACACACACACATACATCCCACATTAGCCGATTCTGACTTCAGAAAGCACCCCAGGTTTTCAGAAGGTTCTGAGCTATATGTTAATGACACATTTTGTGTAGGTGCTTTATTGCTGCATAAATTACCACAAACTTAATGACTTAAAACATACTTTTTTTTTTTTTAATAAGGGAAGAACTTTCCATCTGTTGATACTAGGAAAGTTAACATTTGATTGTCTTTTGGTGTTTCTTTCTTTTTTTTTTTTTAAAGATTTATTTATACAAGCACTGGGTACAGTCAGAAGCGCGGGAGAGTGAGAGAATTCATCAGAGCCAGAGCGGGGAACAGAGCAGCCAGAGTGACGAAATACACTGCTGAGGGGAGCAGCCGGCGCAGCAGGAGAGGTCTGTCGCGCCATGTGGGACCCTCCCCTGTGGCCAGGGATCGAACCGACGCTGCAGAGGCTGCAGGCAGCTTCGCAGCCCAGCGCTCAACTGCTGCGCCACCAGGGGAGGCCCAAAACATACATTTATTATCTCATAGTTTCTGTGGACCAGGGGTTCAGCTTTACTTAATGGGGTCCTCTGCTTCAGGGTTTCTCACAAGGCTGCAATCAAGTTACTGGCCAGGGCTGGATTCTCATCTGAAGGGAGACTCAACTGGAGAAGGATCTGCTTCCCAGCTCACTATATTGTTGGCAGAATTTTCTTCCTCAAGGGTTGTTGGGCTGAGGAGCTCATACTACTGGCCAGAGGCTGCCCTCAGTTCTCTGCCACATGGGTCTAGGCAAAATGACAACTTTCTTCATCAAAGTCAGCAGGAATGAGGGTCTACTAGCAGGATAGAAGTTTTATACTTATGTAGTGAATTTTTAGTTATTTATAGCTGCATAAAATTGCCACAAATTGTGGGAGTGACACAATACCCTGAATACCATGTATTCTATTGCTTAGAAGCAAGTCACAAGGTCAGCCTATACTCAATGGAAGGAATTACATAAAGGCATGAACACTAGAAGGCAGAAATCATTGAATCATTGAAAAGGTCTTATTATCACTCACTCTTTCTGTCACAGTGCACAGTGAGGGAGAAAGGAAGGTCTGGGGTAAAAGGCAGTATTACAAAGTGGTTAAGCATGATGGTGTTGAAGTCACACATCTGGACTTGCCTCTCAAGCCTGACAAAGTAACCTCCCACTTGGTATCCCTGCTTCCTCCTCTCCAGTCCTTCCTGTGTATGTCATCAGCTTGATGTTCTGAAAATGAAAATCTCCCTCATTCTGGACATTGAACACTGGAACAGAAAAACTGATTCAAAAGAGAAAACTTCCTTCTGTTCAATAATGTGCACTCCTACCCTGGCCACCAGGGTATATCATTGTTCTTTTCACAGTTAAGCAATCACAAAGCTTAGGGAAAGTGGATATAGCATCTCGGAATGGGGAAGTAGGATCCAGTAATACAATAACCATTTTTCATTCACTTATCCATCTATCCATCAGACCATTTCCTGAGATTAGGTACATTGTAGGTTTTGGGTTCTGGAGAATAAACACAGATGAGTAAGACAGACCTCTGTAAAGATCTCATAGTCCTATAGCATATGAAAGCAAGTCAAGTTAAGCTGACAACATGGTAGAAGAAGGGCTATGACAGGTATACATGGAATATGGGGTCCTGGGGAGGGGTGCCTGACATCTTGGAGAATTTGGCAAGACTCCTTGGAGTAGCTGATACCTGCTTAGATGTAAAAAAACAAGATAAAGCTTGTTTCAAGCCTACAACCTCCCTCTCTAGGGAGAATGTCTTTGGGGGTTGAGTTAGGGTTTATTTTTGGATGGAGTTTACTTGTGAGTAGAGAAAAGGATTTCCACTTAACAAGCCATATCAACCAAAGTAATCTTGACAATCAGGACGGGGGCGGGGGCGGGGGTGGGGGGTGAGGAGATGTTTGTGCTAGAAAACTCTTTGCTTTTCACAGCTAAGAGATAGGTAAGTGAAGGATGGGATGAAAATTGATTCCAGACAAAAAAATAAAATGTGAAGGATGTTGACAAGGCAATATGACACTTGGGGGATTGTAGCCAGTTTAATGTGAAGAATTTTGCCAAGGGTGATGTGAGAAGAGCTAATTAAGGGATTTGGGGTAGGGTTTTGGTAATATTGCCCTTTTAGAAACCTCATTTTGGCAGCAAAAGAGGGGTGGAGCAAAGACCATCAGCGGCCTCCATCCCTAGTCCAGACGAGATAATGGAGATCTGAACTGAGATAGCAGTGGTGGAATGAGGGGCCTTATTTCATCAATTTAAGGTGTACTTTTCTTTCCTCATATTTTAATACTTCTGAAACTTGGATGCTTCTAAAAGATGACGGCCCATTATAATATAAGTGGCAGCATATTTTTCTTCTTAGAATTACATATAAGAATGATGTGTCTTTGAATGGTATGTTAGATTTGATGAAATACGGTATTTTGAAAGTATAATAGATTGCTGTCTTGTTATCTAATAAGATGTGGGAGGATGAGTGAGAGAAGGCATCTTAGATAATGCCTGAGTACCAGCTTTAGTGTCTGTGGGTGGTGGGGATATGCTCAACAAAATATAGAAGAGGACCACATCCTGATGCTTTCCAGGATGATTAGCAGGCTATATTTGCTGCAGTAATCCACCTTGCTGGGTGTGAGTAACACTCCCTTTCTCCTCCCCTAAGGGTCTGGAGGGAGGAGAAGAGGATTTGCTGGTGTCAAATTGTCAGTCACTAGGTGTCAGTTTCAAACAGTCCTGTTGGATTTAAGTCTTATAACCATAACGCCATTTTAGCCAGTTAAGACTGTTCTAGAGTGTCTCGATGTTGAGATGTTAAGAAGTTAAGCTAGAAAAGTGATAGAGTAATGTGTATATGGGCTACTGTAGGAGTAGTTCACTTGAAAGTTCGGTGAAGAGCCTACAGAGGGTGTTATCAAGACCCAGAGGAGTTCAGTAAATACCAAAGGCCTCTTCTCATACTGACAACACCTCAGTCTTTGATTCCTTTCTTTGGATACCAGTCAGCCAGCCTGTCTCCAAAATACATCTCAAATCTAACTGCTGCTCACCACCCTTACCACCATACCCTTAGTCCAGGCCACCAGCATCTCTTGCCTGGACTTACACAGTAACCACCAAACTGTCCTCCCTGCCTCCATTCCCAGCCTCTGTCAGTTTGTCTCCACAGAGACTGTCAGCATCATCTTTTAAAAAATATGAATCCGATCATAACACTATATAAAAATGACCCAGGATTTTATCATTACACTTAGAATAAACCCATACTCCTTGCTAAGATTCTGTGTGACCTCACCGTGTTCCTGCAGACCTTGCTGGTCTCACACACCAAGTTCACTCCTGCTTCAGGGTCTCGTGCTTGCTGTCCCATCTGCACAGAACATTTCCCCCAAGATCTCTGCACCCTTTGCGTCTTCTCATTTAGCTCCTGCTCAGATATCAATTCACTGATTACCCTGTCAGAAATACCAGCTTCTCTCAAGTCAGAATAACTTTTGACTCTGCTCTGTTTTCTGTAGCACTTATCACAGCCAGGAATTTATTTCCCACCTTCCCCTATGCTGGAGTGTAAGTTCTATAGGACAGAAGCAGTGTCTGTATTGTTTACTGCTATGTGCCTAGCCCCTAAAACAGTGCCTGGATGGATGGACAGATGGACACCTGTAGCTCTGCAAAGGACCTAAGTCAGTGCAACTGACGGATATACTCTAGTCACATGTGTGATTTAGAAATCTTAACCTGTTTACTTAAACAGGTGAGATTAATAATACATTTGCTGTAACCCAGTATATCCAAAATATAACTATTACATTTCAACCAACTACACAGAAAATAGTGAGTTAGCATACATTGTTTTTTTTTTTAACTGTTGAAATTCTGGTGTGTATTTCATGTGTACAGCACATCTCAATTCAGAGTAGCCACTTTTCAAGTGCTCTGGAACTGTGTGGTTCCTGGGAACACTAGTAACTAACCCCCACCCATTGCAAACCCTGTGAGAAGATGGTAAAGTCTGTAAGGCCATGCCCCGGGGCTAGTAGCCCAAAGTGCTGGATCCTACACTCTTCTTTCCCCTTGTGCTTGAAGAGAGAGGCAAAGGGTCCCTTGTTCTCCCACCTCTACCTATCCCCCTTTGCATGCCCCCGGCCCTTCGCATGCCCCCCCAACCCCATGTGCAGGGATGAGAATGTGGGGCAGGTATTGGAAATGGGGCCTACCCACTACCAACGAGTTTCTCCCTGAAGCACGCTGTTCCTGCAGCTGCCCAGTCTAGACACTCAGCCACTCTGACCTCCTCTCCTCGTTCACACCAGGGATTCCAGCTCCCAGCTCCCTAGGCTGACCACTGCCTCTCCTTCCTTTCTGTTGCTGTCCAACAACATACAGCCTTGCGCCAGCCACCTCCTCTCTCATGCTGTCTTACAGATTCGCCTTCCACCCTGGCTGCTGGAATAATCTTTCTAAACCAGTGACCATGTAACTTCCCTACTTAAACCTTCTGTTTTTGTTATAGGACAGGGAGAGGGGCAGCCCAAGCCCCGCAAACCTGCCTATTCTAAATGGGTTCTGCCATCTGCCGCATCAACACAAAACATAGGAGACTTTAATGAAAAGGAACTTTAATAAAACTAGGAAACAATACAGGTAAGGCAAAGAATCTAGTTTCTAAATCAAGCACCCAAATTTACCCGACCCCTCGTGGGTAAAAGTCCATCCAAATGGGATTGGCCCAGAGCAAGGCCCCAAGGCCTGCCACAAGTCTAAAGCATCTTCCAGTGGGGACCCACCCACTAGGGTCACAACCGGACAAGCCCGGAAGGAAAAGAGCAAAATCAACATCAAGATAAAAGCTGCCATTGTCACCTCCCCACAGGTCTCACCCACATCTGTGTCACCCCGTCCACGACCAAAAGACAAGCGCAGTTTCTTCACGTGTCTCTAGGCTCCATGCGCCTCCTCCAGGTCTCCTGGCTCCATCCTGCTTCCTACCTCAGTCTCTTCTTCAGCTTCTCCTCTTCCTGCTCAGCTCCACTCTCCCTTGGGTGGGGCAGGGAACCCCCTCTCCTGGGGACCACCCTGTTACATTTTCAGGACAGAAGGTAAACGACTTAGCCTGTGATTTGGTTAACAAACATTGGGATGGAGTGGGGGTGGGAAGGGTTACTATATACCGAAGCTTTCTTACAGGCACAAAGACACAATGAAACAAGCTCAGGAAAAGCCCTGCCGGCCAGAGCTTACATTCTAAGCATCCATGGCCTCTGGATCCAGCATTCCTCTACAGCCCAATCTGCCCCAAGTCACTTCTGCCCCCTCTCTCAAGGAGCACTCGAACCTCTTCACCTGCCAACCTTCCCACATTCTCCCGATGGAGACCCTAGATGCCTCCTCCCAGAGTCCTCCATTCCTGCGAGTCCCCTGGAAGACCTAGGGACCCCCTGCAAAGGAGGCCCCTCCTCCTTCCCCCTACAGCCCTGCTGCCCCACCCCTTCCTCAGGGATTGTGAGCTAAGAGCCTGGGCGGAGAGGCTTGGGACCTTTGTAGCTCCACCTCCTCACCTGGGCTGACCCCCTCCAGCACGCAGGAATTGGGGAAAGCATACACCCCGCCCCATCGGGGAATGTCCTGTCCCAGGTAAGCCTCCGTCCCCAAGAGCAGTCAGCTGCCGGCCCACGTGGAAGTAGAGGCTGCAAGTGCGCGAGCTCCACCTCTCCCATCTCTCCATCGGGGTGGTGCATTCATCCAGCAGGCGGGGAGGGGAGAGTGGGAGAGCAGGGGGGACTCCAGACCGACTTAGGGAAGAGGCTGGGTCTCCTTTGGGGCTTGCTGGCCTCTGGCAGCAGGTGGAGGTGGCAGAGATGGAGGGTGGGGGTGGCTTCCTGTTTCTCTTCTCTCCCAGGGTGGAGCTGGGCCTGCTGTCCGCTTGGGGCCTGTCAGAGCCAGGACCTTGGGGCATCTCAGGTGCAGCCTTGTCCTGAGGCAGTGAGCTTGGGGCAGTGGAGCCTGGACTTGCAGCAGGCCCCCTTTATGCCCCATTCCCCTTAGTCGCCTCTCCTCCTGGGGCACTCCTGGAGGTGAGGGGGTTACCCCACCCCAGTGCTTTTTTTATTCCTTTAGGGTTTACCACAAGGTATTAAAAATAGTTTTGTTATTAATTAAAAAAAAACAAACAACTTCTTGATGACAAAAGACTCATCTCTCAGATTGAGGAAAGAGCCAGGGCCCCTTGTCCAACCCCGAGCCATGGAGGTGCCAGGAGGGCCAATCTTTGGGCTGGAGAAGGTCTGTGCTATGGGCAAGGGGTGCAGTCAGAGAGGGAGTGGAGACTGTGGCCACATTGTGCACTCGCTTTGCTGTTGAATGTTTCCAAGGCGCTTGCCTTCTGCACCTTTGTCTTCACCTGTCTCCCTCCTTCCAGTCAGTGATACAGTGTTGGGAGGTGCACTTCTGGGATGAGGTCTGGGGGAACAGGAGATACATGGTCCGGGGGGGCCCCTTTGGGGACTCTAACCTTGAGAACTCCTTGGCCTTCTCCTGGATCCCAGGTCAGTGCACCAGTTTCTTCCTGACCAATGACCAGAGTCCCTCCCAGATGAATGAATTTTCCTGCAAGGATGTTGCCAATGCGTTATCCCTGGCCAATATGATCCTGGGACTCTTCTCCATCATCTGCAGCTTCTGCAAGTAGGTCTGGGACCCAGCAAGCTCTTAGCCAAGAGCTGAAGCCAATGGCATGACGGAAGGGAAGAGGAGCTTAGAGAGCCAGGCAGGGCCAGGCTGGCATGGGGGCCAGCTGGGGCAGGAGAAATTGCAGTGGATTGGAAGCCAAGGGGCCAGTGTCCTAGCCTCAGTTTCACCACAAACCTATCTGTGACCTGGTTAGGACACATCCTGAGACTCAGTTTCTCCATTTTTAAAACAAGGAGCTTGTACTATGCCCTCTATTGTCTTCCAGCAATGCCAGTCTAGAATGTTTTTTATGAGAAAAGCAAGAGTGTTCTGGCAGCCTTTATGCTATCCCTTATGCAATCCTTGTTTAAACAGGCTACCACTCATATTTTTTTAATTCTTAAATATGGCAAAATAATTGAAATTAGCACTGTTCTTTATGTTGTTAAGAAATTATATTTCTATAATTGTATCATATTTCAATGCCTTTGGGAAATCAGCTCTCTAAAGATAAAGATGAATCCTTAAAATGCCTGTTATGTCTGCCTAATCTGTTTGATCTCTATAACATCAGCAAGTAACTTCATGGGATCTGTTTCACATATATAAAATAAGATGATTTTACCTGAGATGTTTAAGGTTCCTTCTAGTTTGAAAGTTCTGTGATTCTCTAAGTTTTAAGTCTCATAAGCTATGGCAAACATGCAGCAGAAAATCTATTAGTTCAGCCTAATCTTCTAGGGTTACAGTTTTCATGCCATAATAGTAGAACCAGAATTTTTATTTAGACTCAGTTCCCCTTTTGACACAAAGGATGAGTCTAAGCAAAGGAAATGCAGAGGCTGATTTGAGGACAGCGAGGCTTGGGATGAGGCTCTTTTTTGCTGCTGCTAGGCCACTAAACATTGCAGTCAGGGTATAGACTTGGGAATAATCTCCTCGGGTAAGTATGTAACCTTGGTGGCTGTTTTCAGAAAGGTCTGGAAGCATGTGCTTGACAGAAGCATAGAACCCTTGACTATAGGGTCTGAAAGAGCTTTTGAAAATCATTTAGAGCATCAAATGAGACAAAACTGATAGAATTGCAAGGAGAAACTGGTGAGTCACTCTCATAGTTGGAGGTTTCAATCCTCCTTTCTCAGTCATTGATAGATCCAGCAGGCAGAAAAGCAGCAAGGACCAGCACCATCCATCAGCTGGACTCAATAGATATTTCTAGACTACTTCATCCAACAACAGCAGAATACACATTCTTCTCAAGCTCACGTGAACCATTCACCAGATAGAAGGTATTCTGGGCTATGAAATATAACCTTAACAATTTTAAAAGAAATAAATCATTCAAGTTATGCTTTGAATGGAATTAAACTAGAATTAATAGAATTAACGTGGAATTAAACTAGAAATCAATAGCAGAAAGTTAACTAGAAAATCCCAAAATACTGGACGTTAAACAATACACTTCTAAATAATATATGGACTAAAAAAAGGAAGTATCAAAAAAAAAAAAAAACAAGACTTTGAACTAAAAGAAAATGACAAAGCAGCTTGTCAAATTTTTTGAGGTGCAGTTAAACATTCCATAGGAGGAAATTATAGCATTAAACCCATATAATAAAAAAGAAATCTGCTCTGTGAAAGACAATATCAAGAGAATTAGAAGACAAGTCATAAACTGGGAGGTAATAGCAAGAGATACAACTGTTAAAGAATTATAACCTAAAGTTTACAAAGTTTAAAACTCAGCAATAAGAAAACAAGCAAGCCAATCAAAAAACGGACCAAAGACCTTAACAGATACCTCACCAAAGATGATATACAGATGGTAAATGTGCATATGAAAAGATGCACCAACTTTTTGCAATAGGTTTTTTAGCTGGAACATAGGTGTCCTGAAAGCCACAGACAGAATGGAAAAGAAGAAGCCTCTTAATATGGTCATGACTGGACCCGTCGATCAGAGCAAGTCCACCACAACTGGTCATCTGACCTACAAATATGGTGGGATCCACATGAGAACCATTGAAAAATTCCAGGAGGTGCTGCTGAGATGGGAAAGGTGTCCCTCGAGTTCCTCCCTGGTCTTGGGTAACCTGAAAGCTGAACAGGAGCATGGCGCCACCATCCCAGTCTCTCTATGGACATTCAAAACCAGCAAGTATTATGTGAGCATCATTGATGATCTGTGCCCCAGGACACAGATACTTTATCAAAACACAATTACAGGCACATCTCAGGCTGCCATACTGTTCTGATTGTGGCTGCTGCTGTGGGTGAATTTGAAGCTGGCATCTCTAAGAATGGGGACCCATGAGCACGCCCTTAGGCCCATGCTTTGGGTGTGAGATGGAACGCACAGGCCACTCGACAGCCAGGAGAAGTACGAGGAAATCGCTAAGGCAGTCAGCACCTACTTTAAGAAAATTGGCTTCAATCCTGACACGGTAGCATTTGTGCCAGTTCTGGTTGGAATGGTGACAGCATGCTGGAGCCAAGTGCTAACATGCCTTGCTTCAAAGGACGGAAAGTCACCCATGAAGATGGCAATGTCCGCAGAACCACGCTGCTTGAAGCTCTGGCATGTATCCTGCTCCTAGCGTGGCCAACCAACAAGCCCTGCACCTGCCCCTCTGGACATCTGCAAAATTATTGGGGCTGGGGCTGACTCTGTGGGCCGAGTTGAGACTGGTGTTCCCAAACCTGGCAAGGTGGCCTTGACTCCAGACAGCGTTACAACTGAAGTAAAGCCTTGAAATGCACCATAAAGCTTTGAGGGAAGCTCTGCCTAGGACAGCATGAGCTCAGTGTCAGGAATGTGTTTGTCAGAGATGTTCTGGTGGCATTGTGACAGCAAAAGTGACCCACCAAAATTGGAAGCAGCTGGCTTCGCAGTTCAGGTGATTATTCTGAACCAGCCAGATCAGTGCACCATGTGCCCCTGGGCTGGGTTGGCACACAGCTCATACTGCTTGCAAGTTTGCTGAACTGAGAAGATTGATCATTGTTCTGAGAAAAAGCTGGAAGATGGCCCTCCAAGACCCTGGCACAAGTCCAAGGCCCAGAAGCAAGCACAGCTTCTTCACCTGTCCCTCTGCTCCAGGCGTGTCCTCTAGGTCTAACTCTCCTTCCCTCTTCCAGCTCGGCATCTCTCTCCCAGGCTCCTCTTCAGCTTCTCTTCCCTGCTCCTCCTTCCCTTGGGTGGAATCACCCCTTTCCCTGGGCACCACCCTGTTACATAGCCTCTCTGGAAGACAAGCAGTTTCTCATAAAACTAAAACCTACTCTTTAGCATATGGACCAGGCAATCACACTCCTTGGCGTTATTCAGATGAATTCAGAACTATGTCCACACAGAAACCTGCACTTGGATGTTTATATTACTCATAATTGACAAACTTTGAAACAACCAAGATTTATTGAGTAGGTGAATGGATAAACTGTGGTTCATCTGGACAACGGAGTATTATTCATTGCTAAGAAGAAATTAGCTATCAAACCACGAGAAGATATGGAAGAACCTTAAATATACATTATTGCATGAAAGAAGCCTATCTGTAAAGGCTACATATTAAATTACTCCAACTATATGACATCTTGGAGAAGGAAAAAATGGAGGAAATATATCTCCGAAACTACGAAGATATTAAAAAGATCAGTGGTTTCCCAGGGAGAAGATGGGAATAGATAGAGCAGAGAGAGCTTTTAGGACAGCCAAAGTACTCCATACAATACAGTCATGATGGTGATATGTTAGTATACTATTGTTGAAACCCACAAAATGTACAACACCAAGAGTGAACCACTAGGTAAATTTTGGACTTTGGTTGATTATGATGTATAAGTGTAGATTCACCCTGATATATACAAAGAGCCAGAATGCACCATTCTGATGAGTGATGTTGCTAATAAAGGAGGCTTTGCAGAGGTGGAGGGCAGAGGTACATGGGAATCTCTACCTTCCTCTTGATTGTGGTATAAACCTAAAACTGCTCATAAAAATACTAAGTTTTAGAAAAAAAAAACAAAAAGATCTCAAATGAATACTGTAAGCCTCTACCTTAGGAAACTAGAAAAAGAAGAACAAATTAGATCCAAAGTAAAAGAAAAGAAATCATAGAAATGAGAGCAGCTATCACTGAAACTGAAAACAAGAAGTCAGTAGAGAAAGGCAGTGCAGCCGAAAGCTGGTTCTTTGAAAAGATCAATAAAAGCGATAGGCCTCTAGTCCGACTAGCCAAGACAAAAAGAAAGAAGACCCAAGGCACCCATATCATAAACGAAACAGGAGCCATGGCCATGGATCCCACAGCCTTTAAAAGCTTAATAATGGAACGGCTCTGTGCCCACAAAGCTGACAGCCTAGATGAAATGGACCATTTCCTTAAAAGACATAGGTTACCAAAACTCACACTTGGGAGAAATAGCTCATCTGAACAGTCCCTATGTCCATTAAAGAAATCGTTTGGTACAAGCCCCTCATTTTACAGATGGAGGAACAGAGACCTCGGTTGGGTGGGAGTGATTTATCTGAGAATTCTCAATAAGATGGTAGCAGAGGCTGGGAGAGAACTCAGGACTGCTGTGCTCTTGAATATACCTGGGATTTAGACTTGGAAGAGACCTTAGTGATTACTTTGGGGGTTCAGGGCACCCCTTTAAGATGGGTTGAGATCGTAGCAGGTATGCTGGTATATGCGAGGTGTGAGGGTGGAGTGTGAAAAGCAGTGTGGGGTGTGAGTGGGGAACATGAGGAGTGTGGGTGTGTGTACATGCAAGTGTAGGATGTGTGTTAGTGTTTTGGGTGTGTGTGGCGTGGCTGTCCAGAGGAGACGACGAGAGGGCTGCCCTGTTTGGGTCTGCTGCCCACACTCTAGGAGATCCCATTGCGCCTGCTGGATGCTTCTTGTCAGCTTTCTGATAGACATGGCAGTTGGGGCTATAACCAGACACCTCAACATCTGCTCCAAATCAGGTGAGTCCAGGCCTCAGACCCCTAAGCCCTGACCCCAGGACACCCTGTCTCGGGTCACCTCCTTCATCCTCCAGCATCAACAGGCTTCATGAGCTGCTGTTCCCGGCCCCATCCCTCCAGTAGCAGAAGCAGCCCCAGAGCAGCACCAGGAGCCCCACATCCAGACCTGGCTCCTGTGACCTGGGACTGTCCACACCCTGGTTTTCCATTTCGTTATCTTCCCTGCCTCCTGTTCAGGGCCCTTCTGGGAACTGGGAGTGGGAGTGGTAGGTGTGGAGAGTGGTGGCGTGGAGGAGTGGGGACATGAAACATTCTCCCAAACAGAGCAGTTGGTTTAAAATACAATAAAATATTTCCATGTAAGCTACTGCTTGAAAAGAGGTTCCAGAGCTTTTCAATTTGTATCCATAGTAGTCCACCCTTGGAGAGGGAGAGCAATTGCCTGAGTCACATGGTCAGTATGAGGCTAAGCCAGGAGGACTACTCCCCTCTTTGATCTACAGAAACAGGGTGAACAGCTGTTGATCTCTGGGACTCAGGACCCTGCTTGTTGCCACCCTGACCCCCACCCCCACCCCAGGGCTAAAGTACAGTATGTGTGCGTGTTAAGTTTTAACCATGGGCCTTCTGCAGCAGGAGTTGAGCTGAATGACTTTGCCGTCTTCACCACCTTTGGCCTGGCCTCAGCCATGCTCCTAGGTGTGAACGGAACTCTGAATGGATTCCTGGCCATCATCTATATCTTAACTACTTCTTTCCGCCTGTGTTCTTATTCAACTTGTGAGTGCAACTCAGGTAAGTCTTAGGGCTGGGGCAGGGAACCTCGGAGGGAGGAGCGTTGGATGCCCAAAGCTTAGGGCTCAGTAATCGACTCCTCCCTCTATGGAGTCCCTCTTCCTTCTCCTGTACCTGTGCCCATTGGCAGCTGCAGGCTATACTGGCACACCTGCGGTCTGGGGATCAGGACCCTTGGTTCTTGGAACAATTGTGCCTCTTTCTCACTGTGTGACCTTTAGATGGAGCATGTCAATTCACAGACTCCAGAACTATATGTCACAGTCCAGTTTCCCAAAACACATGGAGAAACTGAGCTCTGGTGAGGACAGTGGTCTTGCCTAAGGTCACAACACAAGGGACTGCAGATGCCAACTACAAGACCTCAAAGCACCCTTTATAGAGGCTTCTCTGGGGCCTGGGCATGTGACTGGTCCTAGTTTGTTGCTTGAACTCGGCTATGCAATGCAAACCCAGACATCATTTCTGTGAATAGCTAAATGTTTTATGGTTTGCCCCTGCCCTGGGATTAAAGGGATTTGGAGCATAATCATGGGCTGAGGGTGGGGGTCGGGGGTGGGGGGAGACCCAAAGAGAAAGGAACTTGCTTCACATAGATGCCTTTAGCAGAGTAAAACAGCTAATCTCCACCTTTTCTTTCCCTGGCAGACATCCCCTTCGTGTACAAGGGCCTACCCTGCCCCTATGCATCCTGTGTTTTGGCCTCCACCTCCCTTCTTACGAAAGGCAATCCTTTCATTCTCTCTTGCATGGCCTCACTCATGGTTCTATTCATGATGGACCAGAGTTACTACCCACATGATGAAATCCTGGACTCTGAGAATTGGAAAAAAATAGTTTATTTAGGAGGTGAGTGAAAATGCTGCTCTGAACCGTCCCTGTTGGTCATCTTTAGGGCTGCTCACTGCCACCCAGTGCCTTCCCCAGCATTCCCTAGTTCTCTTACCCTGTTCTGTTTATCTGCATGGAAAGTGAACTAATTTATGTAACGTACATGACAGAATACCTAGAGCAAAGTAAATATTCCACAAATGTTGATGCCCTTTTATCTTTTGGTAGTGAATCTGAAATCCAAATGGGGTCCGCTAAGGCCACCCCAGGTTCGAGGATTCTCTAGAACTCACAGCACTCTGCATATTGTCACACACATGACTCAGGTTTATTACAGCAAAGGATACAGAGCAAAACCAGTAAAGGGGTGAAGTCTGGAGGAACCAAACTTCCAAGAGTCCTTGCCCAGTAGTCACGCAGGACACAATTCCTGCAGCAACATATTAGGACATAAGGCATGAGGGAAGTGCTTTAGAGACTTAGTGCTCAAAGCTTTTATAAGGACTGGCTACAAAAGCACCCTCTGGCAAACACATCCCGGAATTCCAGATTCCAAGAAGGAAAGCAGGTGTCAGCATAAGCAATCTTGCTTGTACTGTTGAGGCGCAGTGAGCCACTCTTCCCAGTTAGGGAAAGTTTTATATTGGTGTAGGGAACTGTTTACTCTCCAAGTTCCCAGATACTGGTCATACATAGGCCAACCTCATAAGCAAGCATTACTAAGGATAATGGTTTCAGGTGTGCTATGTTGTTTCTTCTCTGCATGTCTAATATTGTATAGGCCATTATCACATGTTAAACTTGAAACATGTTTACACACACATACATATGTATATATTGTGTATTTATACGTATATTTTTCCCTAAAAGAAATCTGGTCAACTCATATTTATTCTTGGCTAGGACTGGTTTCTGATCTAAATGAAACCTGACATTGCATTAGATTACAAGTCCAGCTACATACAGACAAAACTTCCTAAAGGCAGGACTCATGTCTCATTTGTTTTTGTTTCTTAGGCACTATGAATGAGAACTAAGGAGGGGATAGGCAAGCAGAGGGTGGGCGCTACTTACAAGATAACTTCATGACCATGGCATGTTTGCCTGTTTTCTTCTTCCAGGTGTCATCATGCTGTTTTTGTTTCCATTCTCCATAACTGCTTTTTACTGCCTGATGTGGTCGCTCTCCTACATCTTCTTTCCAGATGCTCTATGGGGCAAGGCAATGTGTCTTAAGCTACAGCAGGGAGGAAACTGAATAGTTCTATCAGTACCCACTTGCCTCCGTGGGGTTTATGCCAGCATGTTGGGCCACACCTTGCTTTATCTTCACTAAAGCTCCCTTTTTCACTGTGTTATGCACGTGTTATGTACGTCATCAGTCTCTTACCCTGAACCAGAGCAACTTGCAGCAGACCATTGGCCTTCACTCCCTCCCCTTTATTCAGGGTTCTGAACTGCTAAGGGAAAATAATTGTTTATATCACAGAGAACAGAATTTTTCCAAGTTACATTTGGGCCAAGTTTGAGTTCCAGCTGTCCCCAGCTTGTTAACTCCTTGGAAAGGAGTGAAACCTCTCAACACTGGCATTGCCTCCATCTTGGGCCTGCCTGATGGCGATTAATCTGGAGGGAGGTGCTTACTGAAACACTTCTTAACTTGCAGACTGTGACTCTCCACAGCAAAACTAATCAAAGGACCATCACATCACCCTGTTCATTGCTGTTTGAATGTGCAGAGACTTGAAACTTACAATTCTGTAGTTCAGCAGTCAAAATTCATGCCTTTTGCTTTTTTTAGAGTAGACACACTGGCAGCTCGAGGACATGGTTTGGTTTTCAGGATCTCATTATGTGTTTTTGTCCCTAATCTCAAAAATGCCAGACATTCAAATGTTACTTCATATGCTAAAATACAAATCAAAAAAGAATAGTTTGTACAGTACCCTAAAGTTGCACTTGACGAAGACCTTGAGTTCACTGGAAATGATGACTCCTAGCACTGCCTCTGGACTTTCTGCTCCAGATGTTATACTAAAAAAGATTTTTGGTTAGTCTGCCCCTTCCCTAACTAGGTCACCAGATTACCTTTTCTCTAACTTCTTGAGGTCTGCAGTTCAAAGTATGTGGCAAATATGCATTAAATTTAAATTTAGGTTTTAAAAATAAAAATCCAAAGAAGTCCTCATTACTGTGATTTGACTATAAAGGAACAGATAGCTCCTTGACCCCCTTACTCTGTATTCATGTAATATATCATTTATGTTTTCATGCTTAGATGAGTATGTCTGTGCCCCACTAGATCTTAAACTCCTGTAGTTTACTTTCTGCTGCCTCCCACAGAGCTACCCTTCAAAATACTTTGTAGATGAAGTGATTTCACCATGTCCTCTAGTGAGTTACAGACAAGCTGACTATGATGTGATGAGAATTTTATAAATATACCTGGGGTCCTCAATGCTGTACTCTATTTTCAGTGATGCTACCCTTTATCAAAATATTTTAGGAACTCCACTTTGAGAACGTCTCCACATACAGTCTTAAAGCCAGCACACTGTCAGCGCCTGGACATAGTAGGTGCTCCAAAAATACTAAATTTTGAACTGACCAAATTCAGAGAAGACCTAAAACAAGTCCAGCAATGAGAACATTATTCACAGTGATTTCAGAGGCAGCAGGGGTCAGAGGAATGGATTGGGGATGTTCCCAGCCACAGTAGGGAAAATATTGTCAGTGTGGAGAGTAAAGGGATGGCGGTGTTTGACTCTTTTGCCCTAAGTAATCTGCCTCATCCCCCTACATAGTCCACTTTCTGACATCATTCTCCCTACTCCTGAGGAATATATGGAAATGAAATATCCTGAATGAATAATCTCTCTTATTGCTCAGCATTAAATTCATTCTGCTGCTAACACTGAGGTATGAACCACCACCACTCCTGATAGAAATGTTTGCAGCATAAGTAACCTGACATTTCTGCACTTGGAGATGGTGGGTGGACGGATGGGTTCTCGAGGAACCGATCTGAATCACATATTTATATGTGTGTGGCAAAAATTTAGGTTCTCTATGGTCTGCAGAGCTTTAGCTCCAGGAAGAATGAAGAATGGTAACAGTTAAGTTCTTTATCTTCTCTCCTATCCTCTACATTCCCTTGTCCTCACCTCCCTTCTTACCTGCTGCAGTCCTTTGACTACTTTTTACAGGTAGGCATACCCAAACTAAAGTGAGGAAGGGAACATTTCATTAGTATTTTATTTGTATTTTTGGAGATTTACAGTTTCATAAGAAACACTGATTTTTCTCAAATAATAGAAAAAAGTTTTTTTTTTTTTAAAAGAATCTATTGCCTTAGAAGAATAAAATAAGTCTCTTCAGCAAGTGCTGGGCCAATTCATATTGGAGGAACCAGTGACGCAGAAGTTACATATAGGAAGTTCAGATTCATCCAGATTTAGGAACAACACAAGTGTCTTCTCGTCTAGTTCTGTAAGGCTCCAAATGGGCCACCTCAGTTTAAAACTGGGTACAAGCTCACAAACAAAGCCTCCAGGGTCCCGTGTCCTTTGAACGTAGGTGGCTCACTCTCCAGGAGGCTGCATTTGTTTGCAGAACTCATCAAACTGCTGTTGCTCCAGCTCTGTCATCACTCTGTTGAGGGCGTAGATCTGAATGGGAGGAAAAGATGCGTCAGCAATGGGAGCAGCTGCTCACATATCTTCAGACACAACATGTGTGTCATCTGAAGATGCCAGAATGGCATCTACCCACATCAAAGGGGTTCTGGTCCAATCACTTCACTTCAAATGAGGATAACACCGCTACCTCACAGAGGGACATGTGTTTGTTATCTGGCTTATTCCAGGAAGGCTGACACGGGAATGACAGTAGCACCTGTCCTAAAGCCCTATCATGAGAAAGCCCTGACGGTGGTGCATGTGCAGGTTGGCCCCGTGCCTGCCACATCTGAAGAGCTCCACAAGTGCCAAATTCCCTACTACATGTCAGCAAACAACATACCATGATTAGCTGTTCAATTTATGAAGTCCACACAATGAAAGCACAATGTGATTTGGAACAGCCTGGAAGCACAATGATTCTTGATAACAACCACTGCCATTTATTGTGTGTTATCTCCATGGCAGGTACTGTGCTGAGTGCTTTACAGATAACATTTCTGTTTCTTATAATAATCCTGTGAGGTACTTATCACCCTCGTTTTACCAAGAAGTTACTGAGGAACTGAGGTTCAGAGAGCTTAAGTATCTTGGCCAAGGTCCCATGGGAAGAACTGGGTTGTATGGAGAACTAGGATTTGAAGTCAGACAAATAAATCCAACTTTCGGAATATCATTGGAAGAGTGAGTGTCACTAAGAACATGAACAATGTCCTCAACATCTGTCCCTATGATGTACACAAAGGATAGCTTCCTAGGCTGGCCCCTGCAGCAGCCCTCACAGCACAATGCAGGCCCTCACCTGGGGGCCTGGATGAACACAGGAGAGGTAAAGGAAAAGGGACAATTTGTGAGGTTCCAGGTCTACCACTCACAGATGGTAGGCCTTAATCCAGAGGTAGATTTCACCTCATGGATTAACTTCAAATACACTATTTAATACGAGGTTTGTCATCTGCCTTCCCCCACTGAATGCAAGCTCATGAAGGTGGGGGTTCTGCTCTGTCTTGTCTGGTCATGCAACTCTGGTTCCTACAACAGTGCCTGGCACATAATAGCAGCTCAGTATTTAATAATGAATAGATCAGGTTATCAAAAACGTAAAATGTGACACTGACAAGTGTTGGAAAAGAGTGAGGAATGAGAACTCTTACACTGCTAATGGGGGTGTGAACTTGTATGAGCTCTCTGAAAGCAATATGGCAACATCCAGCAAAGCTTTAAATGTACCCAGTAATTCTTCTTCTAGATTGATATCCCTGCAGAAGTCGTATCACAGGTGCCAAAGGAGTCACTGAAAAGTTTTTCCTACAGCAGTGTTTGTAATAGCCAAAAACAAAACAAAACTATGAATAATTTAAATGTCTATAACCGGAAGACTGGGTAAACATACAAAAGTGGATTCAGAAAATAGATTATTTAAGCAGTGATGAAGAACAAACTAGATTCTCGAATTAACATGAATTGTTCCCCAAAGCCTACTGTAAGCAAATGCAAAATAAAACCTGGAGTTCTATTAAAGTAAAAACTAAAAACACAAAGGGATATTATATATTGTTAATGGGTATCAATGAATATATTTGAATATGAAATTATAAAAAAATATAAAATTATGAAAAATAATAGTGGTTTCCCAAGGAGAGGAAACAAAGGTATAAGGCAGGATATGGACAAAGGGGCCCACAAATTTACATATAATTTATTGTTTAAAAAGACTGCAGGCAAATATGACAAAATGTCACCACTACCAAGCTGGGGTACTGAACACCCAGATGTCTGTTATAATAATCTATTATTCTGTATCTCAAAATTTCTCAAAAATTAAAAAAAACAACTAGGGTGCAACAAGCTTTTCCCTGATATTAAATACTAAAACTACTCGTGTGCGCATGTGGTTCCACAGAGACAGTGTAAACAGTTTAAACTTTTTATTCTCAAACTGATAGTAAATGCTGGCAGAACAAAGGAACACACTGGTGGGTTAAGCTTGGGCCTCTCTTCCTGGTTATGAGCAGCTCCTTTGCAGGACAAATCCAAGGCATGTGTTGGGGGGGGGGGTGTCTGATGCTCGCTCTCTTTCACACTGTCCCCTCCCTTACATGTTCCTTTTCTTCCACCTTTCTTACTTCCCTCAGCACCTCCCACCCCCACCCCCACCCACTGTCGGAGGAGTCCTCCGGAGACCAGGTATTGGTTGGGGTTCTGACACTAACTTTGCATGGGACTCTGGACTGCCACTTTAGCATTCTGGACCCTTAGTAATACCCTCTCTACACCTGGGAGGACATGTTTGCTAGGAGGCAGGTAGGGCTCCCATCACATTTCTCTTTCACATTCTCTACTCTAGCATCACCTCCTGCAGACTACAGTATACAAGCCCCTCCTTAATCTCACCTCTGCTCTTTGTCTTTGCTTCAGCTCCTGCTGGGCTGATTTCTGCTTGGCCTTCTCAACTCTGCTGACAGGTTCTTTAACTTTGGATTTTTCTTTACGTGCAGGTGTATCCATGGCTCTTCGTCAGCTCTTAGCGTCTGAATACTTCTTCGTCAGCTCTGACTTGGATGGTACAGAAAGAGGCTGGTCTTAAAAAACAAAAGCATGCACGAAATAAGCCCCAAACAACTGCCGTCGCGGAACGAACCCCCAGCGGAGCGCCCTCCTTTGACAGGTGGGGCAGAGAAGCCCGGCAAAAAGGGTGTGGGCTTGGGAGCTGCATGACCTGCGCCCACAGCCACGACCCCGCCGGACCGCCTCAGGCAAATCTCCCCACAATGAGCTTCTGTTTTCTCAGTCTGCAAAATGAGCCCCTGGCCCCTTCCCTGACCTCCGCGGGGGCCGCGTGAGGACCAGACGCGAAGACCCGAGGGAAGGCGCTTCGCCCCCGGCGGCGCGCAGTCCCGGCGCGGGGCTGCAGGATGGCGAGGGCGCCGAGGCCAGAGGGACGAGCGGCCGCAGCCCCCAGCGGGCAGCCGGGAGGCCGGGCCTGGGGCCGGCCGGGCAGCCGCGTCCCGGCTCCGCCCGCACAGCGCCAGGGTCCCGGCCCGCCGGGCCCGCCCTCCGCCGCCCGACCCCGCCCTGGGCCCAAGCCCGGCCCCAGGGGAGGCTCCCCCTCGCGCGGCCGCTCTCTCCCGGGCAAAATGGCGGCGGCGGCGCTCGGGATACCGCCTTGGCTCCCCGGCCTCGGGACTCCGGGCCCCGCCGCGCCGCGGACAAGGCCCCGCCGGGGGACCCTCGGGTCTCCTACCTCCCGGCCTCGAGTCCCCGGCCCGCCGCGCCTCGGACTGGGCGGGGCCGGGAGGGAGGCGGAGCGCCGGGGGCGGGGCGCTCTGGGGCCCCGCCCACAGGCAGGACTGCGCGTGCGCAAGGTCTGGCCGCCACGTGGACCATGAGGTGGGGCGCACCGGGGCCCCGCCCACAGGCAGGACTGCGCGTGCGCGGGGTCTGGCCACCACGTGGGCCGTGAGACTGAGGTGGGCGCAGTTGCCACAGGAAAAAGCTGTTCGCAGCGTGAGTGGTTTTGGGGACAACTGCTAGAATTTGAAGGGTGAGGCCTGAACCCTGGGCCTAGAAATGTAACGTTGTGAACCTCGGTTTTTTAACTCGAAAAGTGGGCATGCTGCGCGCCGGTTTCCTGGTTCACGAGCTTATCAGGACAGATCCTGTTTGCCTCAGTATTTTGAAAATGGAAATCGTGATGAAGTGTAAATAGCCAATATAAACAGAGAGAGACGTTCAAGTTGAGACACAGGGCAAGCTAGGAATTAGGCAGTTTTAGGGACAGTGCAAGAGGGGACCTCTGAAGAATTTAGGGAGGCTTCAGAGATGAGGACAAACAAGGGAAAGTAACCCATTCCACTAGGAAAAACAAACATCTCAGGACCAAGGACAACATTGTTAACGCTGGTCCTGGTTTCCTTCAGGTGGTAAAGGGAGGCGGAGATTGGAGAAATGGAGAGTGGTTTAATTTATGGACACCTTAGAAGGGCAGCTGTTTAACTTCAATGCAGGGATGCCCATCCAGAGGACTGGGCCATAAAGATAAAGATGTAACAAATGGGGAAAGAGAAAGCTGTTAGGAAGATCCCCCACTCAGTAGCAAATTAAGTGAGACAGCCGGGAACTGACCAATCACAAAGAGATGGTGGAGCTTTAGAATAATGAGGGAAAGAAGGTCTATGTTCCCTGAGACACGACTCCACTTTGGCTTCCTTGCCCCTCCTAGGCCTGGTTTCCTGGCCTGGGAGTCCCATTTTATTTCTGCTCTTTTTTTCTCCTCAATAAACTTTTTCTTTCTCTAAACAAACCTGCCTCTTCTCACTTGCTTGCCTGACAGTCTGCGAAGTCCCTGCTGCGGCTTCGTGAGACACCAACCCGTGGGGGTCTAGTGGCTGGGACTCAGCCCTGCCCCTGCAGCCTGGGCTCCGTTCCTGGCTGGGAGACTAGGCCTGACAATTCCGGTATCAAAGTTCACTGATAAGCGATAATTTTACAAATACAAATTTTTACAGTAAGTTTACAAATTCAAATAACTGGTTATCATTTTTCACTTAACAGGACTGAAGGAAATGCGAAGTAAAAGCTTTACTCATTCCTATGTGTAGCATAGCCAGAGTTTTTAAAAGAAAAAAAGTGGAAGCGTATAGATAAAAAATGTTAGAGTTACCACTATAGTCAGGGTTATGAGTGACATCTATATACCTGTGTTTTGTTTTCCACTTTTGGAGCTAGAAGTCCAAAAGTAAAATTGCAGAGAAGAAATCCATTTTATAACGCGAAGTAGATTATTTGATAAAGTTCTTTCTGAGAAAGCAGTAAATATATTACAGTGAAAATTGTTTTAAAATAGGTACAATCACGGGCCTCCCAGGTGGCGCAGCGGTAGAGCGCTGGGTTGCGAAGCTGCCCGCGGCCTCTGCAGCGCCGGTTCAATCCCCGGCTGCTCCCCGGCCACCGGAGGAGGGTCCCACATGGTGCGCAGACCTCTCCTGCCGCCCGCTGCTCCCCTCAGCAGTGTACTTCGTCAGTCTGCCTGCTCTGCTCTCCCCTCTGGCTCTGGTGAATTCTCTCACCCTCCCGCGCTTCTGACTGTACCCAGTGCATGTATAAACAAAACAAACAAACAAGCAAACAAATAAATAAAGAAAAACATGCCTCTATTAAAAAAAAAAAAAAAAAAAAAAAAAAAAATAGGTACAATCACAAAAAACAATTTAGCATAATTTCTAGTTAATGTATTCTCACTCTTAAAAAGTAGCATATTCACACACTTAATAATGACTGAGGACCCCAAAGAGTTTCCATTATATTTCTAAAAATTTGCCATATTATTAATGGAATTAAAACAAATTTTAAATATAATTATGACTTCATTGAAAAAGGTTATTGCAACATGGAATCTAAACCCCACCAATGAACTTTTTGTATTCTGTTACACTAAAATGCTGGTTTACCTTGCCTTTTGAATGGATCTTTCACTTATTCATGATTTTTGTCAAGATATGTATTAGTCATTTGGAAATTATTGGTTCACTGAATTATGTAGATCTTTCAAAGATGAGACATTTCATTATACAACATTAAAAAAAAATTCTCTTTCTTTAATGTCACTGCCAGGCTTTCATTAATGGGAAGCTGTCAAGCATACAGTAGCAGATAAAGTTTTCCAAAATTTGAATTTTCACTCAGATATCGAATTTTCTTTTCAGCCACAAAAACTGTCAGTTGTTTTCCTTGAAGTGACAAGTGCACTTAATGCCAAATAGTCTGTCAGTAAGAATGGTGTTCGTGTCTCAATTGTCTCACCCTGCCCACACTTCAGCTATTGAAACACTTTTCCTAGAGAAAGCCATCATTCTTTGATATGCACTGGAACTGCTCTGCCTACTTCCCGTGTTGTCACACCAAATATTCAAAAGATAGGTATTCAGTGGTTGAGATATAATGAAATTAGTACAAGGGAGCACCCCCTTGATGTAAACTGCCAGCAGTTCCCCCATCATCGTTCTTGAAGCATCATCGAAACTATGAACATTGAGAAAAGCAAATAATATCTTAGTGTTATTACAAACATATTGTCAATAAGGTGTGGTCACACAATGCATCCTGTGGGGCATGGATGCATTCTGTGAATCAATCCAGCATCTTCATCTGTGAATTTCAGCATCTTCATATATACTCCACCAAAAGCAGAGTATGATATAAATCATTCAGTACAAGAGTTTATTTCGGAGGTGATCCCAGGAATAAGAAATGGTGAATAAACAAAAAGGTAAGAAAAAATGATAAAGTGTACATTATTAAACTACTCATGACCTTGAGCTACTGAGCTCCACCAGCTGAGAACCCTCTGGATGCCAGATGATTCAGAACTCTCCCCCTGCAGGTGCCAGTCTGGAGCATTTCCCACAGTCCCATCACTGCAGGTTGATCCTCTACCATTAATTTTCCTGAACTCCTGGGCACACAGGTTAAACAGCCCCCAGGCTTTGTAGAGTGCCCAGTCAGATGGACAGAGAGATGCTGTGGCCTGTGAGGTGGCCTCCTGGCAGCCTGCCTGCAAGTCACAGCTACCTTGCAGTCGAATAGACTAAAGGGACTTGATGTGGCTCCCACAGCTGTCTGCTAGACTCAGAAACGTATGTTGAGTGAAAAGAGGAAACCATGGAGAACGATGTACAAGGTGCTCTGTAACTTTATGAAGTTCAAAAATATATAAAAACATAATGCATCATTAAGGGTACAATTATGGAGCTTATGAATATATAATCATGGACATTATGATTACACAATTACGGATATTATGAAAGCAAGACAGGCAGGCAAGGGCTTATCACATGTGGGGAGACAGTAAGCAAGTCCACTTGTCAGAAAGCATGAGTCGGGGCGGAACTGGAGATATAAGTAGTGAGTAAAAGAAGGTGGCTGATTGGTGAGTGTCTTGGATACCAATCTTCAAATTTACTCGAATTTGGAAAGTGAGGGAGCAGGCTTTCAGAAAAGGTGTGGTAGAATCAAAAGGTATGGCATAGAATATTACTGGGCAGATAACTTGGGAGGGAAAGGGAGCTGAGGGGCCAAGGGCCCTCATAGCCGATGGCACCTGGAGTTTCCCTCGCTTTTGGGGAGCCTCTTCTTTGCGCCATTCCTTTATCAGGAGTAGACAGGCAGGGCGGGGCTTGTTGGTATATAGGGTCAACTAGAAGACAGTCGTTGGGCAGAGGGAGCCCCTGAGGGCTTTAGAATAAAATATGACCTTTTCCTAGGCCCACCTCCAGAGTCTTGCCCAAGACCTGGGCTCCCCGGATGGGGGGAGGGAGCCTTCTCAGCTTGGAGACCCCAGCTCTGCCGGTGAGGGACAAGGGCCCCTGATTCTAAAGGTGGTGAGTCCCCCATTCCTCTCTCTTCATTCTTCTTAGTGTTTTGCTTTTTCAAGAACCTTAGGTTTGATAGAGAAGAGATCCCTTTAGTGCTTACTCTCCAGAAAGTTTAAAGGATGAAATGGGGCAACAGCTAACTGTCACTCGAGGAACATAAAGGGGGACAAGTGACGGGTCTGGGTGGGTTTCTAAAGACTCTTACTTAATTATTATGTTCCTGCTATTTATTATTACAGCTAACATTGACATATGTGACTGTGTAGCCAAGTTCTGTGCTGTGTGCTTGTAAACTAATCATTCGAAGATTTGCAGAGTTTTCTTAAGCTGCTTAGAGTTATCAAGGGAACTTCCGCTGTGTGTTTTATTTCTGATTTAGAAATTTTTGAGGGCCTCCCCGGTGGCGCAGCGGTTGAGCGCTGGGTTGCGAAGCTGCCCGCAGCCTCTGCAGCGTCGGTTCGATCCCCGGCTGCTCCCCGGCCACTGGAGGAGGGTCCCACATGGCGCGCAGACCTCTCCTGCCGCCCGCTGCTCCCCTCAGCAGTGTACTTCGGTCCTTCTGCCTGCTCTGCTCCCCGCTCTGGCTCTGGTGAATTCTCTCACCCTCCCACACTTCTGACTATACCCAGTGCTTGTATAAATAAATAAATAAATCTTTAAAAAAAAAAAAGAAATTTTTGAAACTAAACTGTTTTAAACTTAAATGTAAGTGACTGGGGAAAATATTTTCAACATATATAGTAGGAAAAAAATGTTACTGTATGAAGAATTTTGCAAAGTATTGAAGAAACAAATACCTACATAGAAAATGGACTAAGTATATAGACAGGTAATTGACAAAGCCTAAAACACAAATGAATAACCAAAGAAATGCAATTTAAAATGAAACACCATTAACTCTTTTTAAAGGGGTACCCATTCTGTTGCTCATTAAATTGATAATGATTTTTCTAAAAAGATGTAAGATGCATACACTGAAAACTGGGAAATGCTGCTGAGAAAAATTAAAGAATACCTACATCAGTGGCTAGTAAGCCAATCATTGGCCAGAACACTCAATAATTGTTATGATGTCAATGGTCCTGAATTTGTGTCATGCATGTTGAATTTTAGGAAATGAAATCATATTTTGTATTTACTAGGAGAACTTTCTTCATAAAGGGGTTCCATAATCACTCTGGAAATTGAGGAAGTCATTTGTCCACTTTGTAACTCATGATACAGGACTATGCATTCCTTTATCCATTCATGGGTCTGTTCCTTTATGTTTTACATTCTACCCACTTCCAGAAGGGATGCTGTTAGTTTGGTTGCATGATATCTGCTACGTGGGTGATGACCTTTCCTGTTCTAAGTATAAAATGAGGACAATAACCCTACTTTTAGTAGTATTATCAACACGGAAGACAATATATGTAGAATATCTACAGATGCAACAAATAGGGACTTACTAGTGTAATACAGAATGACATTAACAATCCAAAAATATATTTATGATTTAGCATTAATTCAATAATGCGTTAATATAAAGTAGGTTATTATGAAGTTGATATAATATATATGTTAATGAAAGCATAAGGGAAGAAGGAGCCGTCCTGGCCAATGAGATCAGAAGAATAAATCCTGGAGCTCTGTATGGTGATCAGATGTTTATTACCTCCATGTAGAAAGTATGAAATAAAAGACCTAACAGCTCTTCTTCATTTTCCAGTCAAAGCTCTGAGCAAGGGACCCTGCTGAGCTGCTGTGGCTGCAGCTTCATTTGGTGGCCCTGGGAGGGGTTGTGCAAGGACTTCCAGCTGTGCCTTTGCCCCAATAAACTGTTTCTTCTCCTTCACTTCCTGTTCATCCGCCTCCTCTTTCTTTTAATATATATGCTTTCTGATCACTAAAGTATACATATTCAAAGTAGAAAATTTGGAAAATATAGAGGAAAATGTGCAAGGAAAACCATAAAGATCACCTTTAATTTCCACCCCACTTCTCATCTCCACCCTGAAAAGTAGTCACTGTTTAATGTCTACATTCCTGCCTTTATATCTAAGCATATTCTCCCTAAATTGTATATTATATACAGTTTTTAAGTTATTATTTGTGTCATAGTTAACATTTCCCAAAGCAATTATGATTATGAAATGCTTCAGGGTATTTCATTGCAAGAATGTACCATAAACCATCAATAACTTTAATGGATTTTTAAGTTATTTTCATTTTTTTCCTTTTCATATATAACTTTGTGATGAGCACCCTTTCCATCAAATCCTTATGTACATCCTTATTTATTTCTGGAATAACTATGCTGCATATTCATAAATCCTCTCCTGAAACCACCTCAAATGCCCTCATTACACAGAGTGACAATCTGATGAAGGGACTTCATTTTTGCTTTTTTGTTCTCAGAATCTGGTGCAAGTCATTTTGCTTGTATTTTCTCTGATTCCTCACTATTGCCCTTTCTACAGGATTTAATTTCATGTGTGAATGACAGGTGTCTTGGAGAAGTCAACTTGCCCGTCTAAAGTTACATGGCTAGGAAGTGACAGAGCCTGGGCTGAGTCTAGAGCCCATTTTCTTAGCCATGTAATGATTTATCTGCATGTAGAGAGAAGGGGCTTTTTCCTCTTCTTTGGAGTCTCCTCTTATTTAACTTCTGGCAGCCCCAGTTCAGCTTGGAGTTCTGTGTCCTTCCAGGCATGTCTACCCAGGGTGTGTTTTAAAAACTCCTTCTAGTTGAGGATTTGGGAGTTAGGGCAACTCCAGAGGACCCTAGGCTCTGCCTTCTTCACCTTCCCATCCTCAGTCACGTCATCTCCACCATCATCCTTATAGCATTTAGAACCATGACGCCAACCTCCATGTTGGGTACTCACCTCCTTCGATCCTCACAATAATCTTGCAAGAGGGCACAGTGATTATACCTGTTTTAAAGATGAAGAAACAGAATCTGGAAGGACTTCTCACCATGTTACCCAAAGAGCAGAACTGGGCTTCCATCCCTGATTCTGGAGCAGGCAACATGCAGCCTCCGTGTCTACCCACCTCCTAGTTTGCACTCTTTGGCAAATCACACTGACCAGCCCCCTCCACTGTCTCCCCACATCTATCCCCTCAGCCCTGATGGAGATGGCAGGTTCCTCCAGCTCCTGGCTCTCTGGCTGCCTCATCACACTCATCTTCCTCCCGCTGCCAGTGCACATGTCAGGTAAGAGTTTCTCAATCTCTTTCTCTGCCTGTGACATCTGATGATGGCATCCCCAAAATAAGAAGGCTTGGGCAGGGGCCTTATTTCTTCTGGGTTCTGTTCTTGCCCTAGTCCTTTCCAATGCCCTTTCAAGTGCTGTCCTTCCCCGCCTCGACACCTCCTTCCTGACCACCAACAAGCTCTTGCTCTCGTCCCTCCCTGTTGTGTCCGCATTCACAGGGGACAGCAGGCTCTACCTGGTCCCGCTTGGGGGCACTGCCAATCTGCTCTGCCCTCTCTCCCTCTGGCCGGTGCTGGAGCCCAACCAGGTGAGGTGGCTGCGGTCCCCGCAACCCGGGAGCTCGCAGGCTGTTCACATGTTCCGGGATGGGGAAGACCAGGAGGAAGGTCTGATGGCAGAATATAAGGGGAGGACGGCGCTGCTGAGAGACAAGCGAGAGGGAAACATCACTCTGGTGATCCGCGACATCCAGCTGGAGGACCGAGGGCTCTACCGATGTCAGGTCCGGGTGGGAAACATAAGCCGAGAGGGCACCGTGATCCTGCAGGTTGCAGGTTAGTCATTTTTTAAAGGGCATGAGGTTCCTCCAAGATCTGAATCATGGAGTACAGTTGCTGCTCCGGGTGGATTTATAAAGGTGTTAGGGTGAAGCCAGACACCCTCACCCCATTGGGAGGAGAATGGAGGGTGGGAGAAGGCAGCATTCAAGTGCTGTTAACAGCTGTGAAACTCACCAGGGGAGGCTGTGGGAGGGGGAACACTGTTTGGTGGGGGCATGAGGGGCAGCTTGCTAGAGATGCCAGGACATCTCTCCTCTTCAGTTCTAGGCTCTGACCCTTACATCCAGGTGAAGGGCTACGATGCTGGGTGGATCCAACTGGTGTGCAGGTCGGTGGGATGGTTCCCAAAGCCTTGGGTCGAGTGGAGAGACCCTCAAGAGAGGGTGCTTCCGTCCCTGTCTGAGGACCACTCCCTGGATGAAGCTGGCCTCTTCCGAACAGCTGTGTCCAGCAAAGTCAGGGATAGCATGCTGGGGAACATCACTTGCATTATCCGCAACACAGTCTTCAGCCAAGAGAAGACCACAGCCATGGTCATTTCAGGTAAAATCTAGAGCAGAAAACAGGCCTGAGGCACCTGATGATTCCAGAGAAAATGCTTACCCTAGTTTTATGTTTGAATTCTCTGAATAACACATACTTGTAGAAAGCTTTAAAAAATACACACAACATTTTGAAACTGAAAAATGTCCTATAAACTTATCCATTGAAAAGAACTGCTGCTAACATTTTGAGGTATTTCTTTCAAGATTTCTATGTGTGTATCTCTGAGTTGTATGTTTTTACATGCACATGTTCTCGTGCCTAGGGTTTTATCCCCACTTACATTGTCATAGGCAATTTTTGCCTGTGCCCTTAAGTAATTCTGTACAGCATTTTTCAGAGCTGCATAGTGTTTCACTGTGTGGTTCTAGCATAATAAAACTAACCAAAGCCCTATTTCTTAACATCTAGAAGGTTTTCAATTCTTTCTTATATTATGAATAATGTGCATTGAAAATCTGCACATATTTTGGGAAGTGATTTTTTTTTTTAAAGATTTATTTATTTATTTATTTATACAAGCACTGGGTACAGTCAGAAGCACAGGAGGGTGAGAGAATTCACCAGAGCCAGAGTGGGGAACAGAACAGACAGACTGATGAAATACACTGCTGAGGGGAGCAGTGGGGGCGGCAGGAGAGGTCTGCGCGCCATGTGGGACCCTTGTCAGTGGCCAGGGATCGAACTGGTGCTACAGAGGCGCGGACAGCTTCACAGCCCAGCGCTCAACCGCTGCGCCACCAGGGGAGGCCCAATTTTGGGAAGTGATTCTGATTATTTTCTTAGACTGTTTCTAGAAGAAGAATGAATCCAAAGGCATACAAATCTTTTAAAGACCCTTGAAACATGGAGCTGGGTGGCAGAGAAGGGTGGTTTTAGAGCCAAGAGAGATGTTGGCCTGGGGTCTCAGGTGGAGAGGCGTCATGGATCTCTGCTTATACTTTCCTTCTTTTCTCTCTCTGTCCCCTTACTTCTCTTACTACTGCCCCTATCTCTCACTAAGTGCTAAACACTTTATATGCCTGATGGCTAAATCTCCCAACAATCCAGTGGAACAGGACAGGGATTATTGTCACTCCCATCTTGCAGGTGGCAGACCAGGCTCAGAGAGGCCCTGTCTCTTGTCCACAGTCCCACCAGGTAGAATGTGGAATCCCACCCAGCAAAGCCTCTACACTACCTGTCATAGCACCTCTTTTGCTCTTTTCTAGTTCTTTCTTGTCTCCTTTCTCTCCTCCCTAGACATTAGGCCTGCTGCTATGGCCTCATAGAAATTGTTTTGTCCCTGCTGACAGAGTTCAGAGAAAAGGGGTGGTTGACTGCTATCCCATTGCATGGTGAGAATTCTGAGGGGAGGAAGTGGGTGCTCATGAAAAGACTGTAGGTTATTACTGGGGATGTGCCTCCAGTTTTCCAAAGTCCTTGGATAATTTTTCCATTGGATTATAGGCCAGGGCCAGGTTGTGGTTTAACCCATGGTCCTCAGGCAAGACCATTGAAGCCACTCCTGAGAAATGAACATCTCAAGTTAAAGTCATCCCTGGGTCATCCAGGGTTTCAGTTACTGGGTGAAGCAAGAGCCTCACCGATCTTGGCTGGAGGCGCCTCCCTGGAGGTTATGGAGACACCCATAACAGGGTTATGGGTGCGCCATCTGCCTGCAGAGGTGGGACCCTGTGCCTGGGTGTCTCCCATGGGTGGTCATTAGTGGTTTCTATTTCAGCCCCCTCTGCAGGGAGGGTCTCCTCCTCGGAAGTGGCTCTTGCTGTGATCCTGCCTGTCCTGTGGCTTCTCATCATGGCAGGCATTTACCTCATCTGGAAGCAAAGAAGATCAAAAGGTAAGTAAGTGGTCAGGGGGCCCAGGCTGGTGGGGGTGGGGAGATTGTGGCTTGGTCTAGACACAAACAAGACCACCATCTATAGGTTAGAGACCCTGCAAGTTGGCTGGGAGAAAATTGGAGAGCCGTGCTCTGGGGTCTCACATTGCAGCGGGGATCAAAGAAACTGCAGAACACTCCTAGGAAGCGCTATGAGCTCTTACCTTTTGAGACACTAGAAGATCTGATCATGTCAGCCTTCTAATTAAAATATCCAATTCTATGCATTGGACAAAAACTTCATAATATGGTTGAATTTCACAGGATCTCAGGCTTGAAAGGACCTTGAAAGTCATGTAATACAATAGTCCTCCCCCTACCTGAAGGTTTGAAGCCCCTGTAATCCTCCCAAAGAGTCACACACCACTGTGACCAGGAACAAACTCTTTCTCAGGCAGCATGGGCCATCTTTGGACAACTCTGCTCTTAGAAAAAGTCCTCTGAGTTGCGTTGCTTCCATAGCTTAGATATTGTAAATAGTGCTGCTATAAACATAGGGGTGCAGGTGCCCTTTGGAATTACTGTTTCTGCAACCCAAATGCCCAAAAATAGATGACTGGATCAAGAAGATGTGGTACATATACACCATGGAATATTACTCAGCATTCAAAAAAGATAAACACATGCAGTTTGCAGCAATATGGATGGAGCTAGAAGGGATCATGCTCAGAGAAATAAGTCAGAAAGAAAAAGGAAAATACTGGATGGTCTCACTCATAGCAGGAATTTAGAAAACCTAAATAAGAGACCAGGAAAAAGACTGATCAATACAAAGTAAAAATCAAAATCAACAAGCAACTATAAACCAGAGACACACTACGGGGTAGGGGTGGGTAGGTAGGGGGGGGAAAGGAAGGATTAGAGTCAAAATAAGGGGGGGGTGCAATTGTATGGGGAACATCACCAAAATGAAAATGCATACATTGTGCAAAGATGAAAAAAGATGTAAGAATTATATAAAATATAATATTTAAATAAAAAGAAAAAATAAAGAAAAAAAGAAAAATGAAATAAAATATATAATTGAGCTAAAAAAAAAAAAAAGTCCTCTAAGCTGACTTCTCTCTGTCTCTCTTCTAGAGAAACTTCTCTATGAACAGGTGATGGAGGTAGGTAAGTGTCTGGGGCTGGGTGGGATATTTCTCTGTTTTGCTCAGTTCTGTCCCCCTAGCATCACTCACCTAAATTCTGCACCTGAAAGTCCCAACATCTGCTGTCCTTGATGGTGGTGATGGGAAACTGTTGTTTCCAGTTTACAGGCTCTTAATTGTGATAACCTTCTCTCTGGTATATTTGGTGATTTTTTGTCTGTGAACTCACGGCTTGCTCTTATCCTGTGGAAGTCATACAGGTTTAACATGGGGATACTTTTATTCATTCCGCAAATAATTGATAATTACCTACTAAGTGCTGGGGGTACAATGGTGAGTAAAAGCAGACACGGCCTTTGCCCGCCTGGAGCTTTCGGTCTAGATAGGGAGGTATATGTGAATTAAGTAATACACAATAGGTGTAAACTACAACTGTACAAACACTACACGGGAGTTCTGAGGGCGGTGAAGACTATGGCGAGGAGGAGCCAACCCTGATCAAGGCAGGGGGAGGAGACCCCAGAGGAAGTGATGTTTGACCTGCATGGTGGGCAGGCATGGGGGGAGAGGGATTGGAAAACCATCCACAGCAGAAAGAAACAGTCAGGGAAGAGCAGGGCTCTTTGAAAAGCTAAAAAGGTACAGAAGTGAGGGGACAGGTTACTGGGGACGAGGCTACAGACTTAAGTTGAACTCAGGTCATGTGAGGCTTTGTAAATCAATGTCCTTCAAGATCAATGACCTTGTAGGTCAGTGACCTTGCAGATCATGTGAAGGATTCCACTCCTCAGTGTAGCAGTAAAGCAGTGAGAGGCAATGTCCCCGTAAGAACTGTGCTTTGAGCTGTAGTCTGGAGGAGAAACCAGAGGAAAGACAGGATGTGGGGGACCCATGGACCACTATTTCTGTCATCTAGATGAGAGGTGATGGCCTGGATCAGTAGGTGGAAGTGGGGTTAGAGATGGACAGTGACAGGGGCAGGTAAAATCAAGGTAATGGCACAGAATCTTATTTTCTTTTCCTTTCCTTCCTGTAGAAAATCTTCTCTCAGACCATGCAAAAGAAAAAGGTAATTGTATGTTTAGAGTAAAGGAACAAATAACATATACCATATTCTTTCGCTTACGACGTAAATGCTGACAGTCTATTATACACACACACACAACTCATTAATATTGCTGGGATTTACTTTCCGGTATCAAGGGACTGTATAGTTGATGGTAGTGGGTGAAGTGAAGGGATGTCCATGGTCCAAATTTAAAGGTCTGGGTTTTGAGGAGCTCCCCCTTTCTACCAGTCACCTAAAAAGGTCTATCTACTATTTAAATATATATTACTATGGACATATGGGACATATGAGCACTCAAGGATCCACGCAACCTTTGCATTGAAAGAGACACTGTGAGACAATGGAGGTGAGGAGGGGGGCTGCAGGCTCCTGCCTTAACAAAGCCTGCTCAGGTCATTAGTCTGCACTTAATGACCTTGGATTAGTCACTTTACTGTTCTGAGCTCTGGTTTTCTTATCTGTAACATGGAGACAAAAAATCCCCTTACCTGATTGTTTTCAGGATGAAAAGAGACAACTTAAAAAACCTTCCTCCTACAGTGCCTGCCTTTTCCTTATTGCCGAATTTGCTCTGGGCCACTGAGGGTAAAGATTAAGACATGGAGGATTGGGCCCCTCCCCTGCAGCCAGCAGGCAGGGGCTCTGCCCTTTAGAAGTCCAGCTTGGAGGACAAGTCACTGGCTCAGGAAGGGCTCCACATACAATTATTTCACTGTCTCCTCTCTTCCTCCTTGACATATCCATGCTGGTGAAAGTGTGGGTGCACTCCTCTGCCCAGAGCAATGGAACAGTAGGGGGTGTGTGTGTGGTGGGGAGGTGTGGTGGTGAAGCCCTTCTACACAGACTCAGACAGACCAGGGTTTGAATCCTGCCTTCCAGGCTACTTCTAGCTGCCTGACCTGGGGATGTTGCCATGTCCCTCCGAGCTGCAGTCATTCTGTAAAATAGAAATACTAATTATATTCATGTCATATAGTATTATATTAATAATATAATATTATATTATTGAGAGGATTCAGTGCTTACCTCATTATAAGAATAGGACATTATAAATGGAAGCTATTAGTAGTGGAGATGGTATAAGTAAACCATCCATTCTGAAGGGGTCATATCCTATTCAGCCTGATCACTCTAGTGCCTCGTGCCTACCCACGGCCCAGCTCTGAACACAGGCCTGGCTGGGACCTCAAGGGCATAACTTAAACTCTGTGCTCACTCATGCATCTTTCTCTATTTTTTTTTCCCTTTCAGGAAGGCTCCATAAAGCCCTCAGTAAGTTTGGCTCCTATCCAAGGCACAGCCCCACTGCTGCTGACATCTTTGCTGTAGGATGAGTGGCTCAGTTTCACTTCCCCCAGGCAGAAGAGAGGGGCTGGGGGTACTTCAAGCTATGGGAATTTGGGATACCTTGGCTCTCAAAAGTCCCTTATCTCAAATATTCCCTGCACAAACAGCTGTCATGGAGTCTATAAATGGGACATATTTTATCAAGAAGAGATACCCCTCCTATAAGTGATACCTGGCATGCGGTTCCCTTAGGCGGGATTCAAGGTGAATGCATCCTCACTAAGCGGAATACAAGCTGTGCTTCTCCCCCATGTAAATTCACATCAAAGTTTTTTATAACAAAAAGATCTTCAGACAGGGGGCATATTTTATTTGACATTGAGAAACTCTACATTAGAAAATCTCATAGGAACTCAGTGAGAGTTTTAAGTGAACTTGTTTTTATTCTCCTGCAACATCTATAGACACTGATATTAGCATTACCCATCTGTGTGAGATATATTATTTATTCAGTCTGCAGCTCAGGTTTGGCTCATAGGAATTTGCTGACCCTCTGCCGTGTCTCTGAGACCCATGACCCATGCCTGGAAGGCATTGCCTTTGCAAACACTGCTGTGGGAGCTCTCGGGGCATTGTAGTGATGATCTGCTGTAGGGATCTGGTTGGGATGGGACTGCAGCGTATGGGAATGTGGAAGCCCTTGTTCTGATCTGTCTAACTGTTTTTATTCTTCAGAGAAACTCCGGAGTGAATTGAGTAAGTTCCTCACATTCTTACATCTTCCATACAAACTTACCTCCTGTTTGATTCTGTACTTCTAGTGAGAGCTAACCCCTCTTGTTTCTTCCTTTACAGAGCTGAAAAGAGCTGCAGCAAATTCAGGTGAGATGCGCTTGCCCCGAGCTTGACCCTTACTGCCGGGAATTCTCAGCTTCTCCATCACTTTAACAACCCCTTCTTACGTCTTTCAGGCTGGAGAAGGGCCCGGCTACACTTTGGTAAGTCGCCCCCGTTAAATCCATCCGTATTTCAGAGCCCATTGCTCTGTTCCTTTGGAGTGTGGACTGTAAAGATCTTTTAAATCATATCTACTTATTAGCTTATCAAATTTTTAAAAATCTTCATGATTTTTTGGGTGTCACATTTAGAAAGTCTTCCCTCTTTTAGAATACTGATAAACTTTTTGATTTGATCGTCTTGTCCGGTTTTTTAAGATTTTTCTTAAGTTTACCAGTTATTTGCATTTCTTCTTTGTGATTTGTCTGCTCCTGTCCTATTCTGGTTACTTTTTGATTTGTGTGGATTCCTTCTGTGTAAAGTATATAACTCTTATATTTTTCACAAAATGCATTTCTGAGTTTTTCATTTGAACTGTAATTTCCTTAGAGTTTTTTTTTTTTTAACACATAAGTGTTTTACTTTTATCTAGTCAGATTTACTAATCTTTTCCTGTGTAGGTTCTTCTAGGCTTTTGGGTTAGGGAGTGAAGAAGTGAAGAAATCTCACAAGTGAAGAAATAGGCAGTGCTCCTATCTACTCTTTTTCTGTAGACATTTCCCTGGGGCTGGTTATTGAGAGTCTCAGGGAAGAAGGGAATGTGTTGGACAGATGCCCCAACAATGTAGGTAACAGAAGTTTTTGTAGTTTTATTCTGAAAGATTTTCACGTATATCTTTCGACTTACTCCTAAATAGTATGCATTTTTTTTGCTGTTATTTGAATGATATCTGTTATTTTCATGGCTTTGTGTACCTCACTAATTTTCCAGGCTGTTCATTCTTCTTCTTTTCATAATGTCTTCCTTCAACTGATGAGTTGACCACTTGAGACAACACCAGATCACCTTGCCTGGCTTTCTGGGAACTCACAGACCCTCTCTCACACACAGTCTGGCTTATTCCCACCACCTTGACCAAGTATGGATTTCTCAGATTTAACTCTCCAAGAATATCCTGTTCCCAGCCTTGGGGAAGAAGGGAGATTATTGGGACCCTCATAATTTAAGGAAGAACCCTTCTCTCTATAGTAATATTTTAAAATAATCACTATAAGTAATAATTTTTGCTAACAAAATGAGCATCACACACTCACTGTGTGAAGAGACACTATCTTATGCAGTAGCTCACAAAATCTGCCCAAAGAAACTAAGGGTTGAGGCTAAGTAGCAAGTCCAAGTTCACATGACCAGTGTGTGGCTGAGCTGGGACTCAAATATCTTATCTGGTGACTGGGTCTAACATGAGTCCCTGTGTTTATTATAATATAGTAGATTCCTTTGACCACAGAGGATGAAGGAAGCTTCACAGACATTTCCTTTTTCAGGAAATTTAGGAAGCTGCTAGACATTCTTTGGTTCTAGCAAACAGGCCAATGAGTGATGGCAAACCTAGAGATTATATTTTCCTTCTAGAGCTCCCTTAAGATAGAGCCTTCCCAGACCTCACCTCTCTGTGACTCCCTGCAGTGGCGGTGACCCTGGATCCAGACACAGCACATCCCAAACTCATCCTGTCTGAGGACCGGAGATGCGTGAAGCTTGGAGACCGAAGGCAGCCTGTGCCTGACAACCCCCAGCGATTTGATTATGTGGTCAGCGTCCTGGGCTCCGAGCACTTCACGGCTGGCTGTCATTACTGGGAGGTGTATGTGGGAGACAAGACCAAGTGGATCCTGGGGGTGTGTAGTGAGTCCGTGAGCAGGAAGGGGAAGGTCACCGCCTCACCCGCCAATGGACACTGGCTTGTGCGGCAGAATCGGGGGATTGAGTATGAAGCACTCACCTCCCCACAGACTTCCTTCCGCTTGAAAGAGCCCCCACGGTGCGTGGGGATTTTCCTGGACTACGAAGCGGGAGTCATCTCCTTCTACAACGTGACTGACAAGTCCCACATCTTTACTTTCATCCACAATTTCTCTGGCCCCCTGCGCCCTTTCTTTGAACCTTGTCTTCATGATGGTGGGAAAAACACAGCCCCTCTAATCATCTGCTCAGAACTCCAGAAATCAGAGGAATCAGTTGTCCCCAAGCCAGAAGAAAAAGGTCACGCTAATGGAGATGTGGCCCTGAAGGTGGACCCTTCCTTACATACCCCCAGGATGGCCGATGCCTTCCTGCCCTGGTCCTCTGACCTAGGCCCGGCCCTCCAGGGGCTCAAGGCTCCTTCTTTCTAGGGTGATCCTCACTACTTATTTGCCTGCCCATCCAGCTCAGCACTCTGGATTTCAGCCTCCAGGTCCTATATCTGATTCTAGACATCTTATCTCCATCCCTCAAATCCACACCATTTTGTGGCTTTTATTTTTCCCAGAGTTAATGCTAAACAATATTGTCCTCCTGGGGACTTGAAGTTCCCAGTGCCCTGGAATGCGAATTCTTGAAAACTACGTGAGCATCAGATTAGTTTAGGTGGTGATGGTGAACCCCAAGACACAGGGGTTTGCTACTCGAGGGAACATTTAGAAGAAAGTCATTCTGTCTCCTCATCCTGCACTTAGGCTTTAGCCATGAAATCATGGTGCCCAGCCTGATTTCTTATTTGTCCTGTCAAGAATTGCTTTTCTCCTTTTCCCTCTGTCAGTTCAGACCTCTGTGCCCCCAAGCCAGTTTTTAAAAAGTAAACATATTGGGATCACACACTCTTTCTTCAGAAATATGGGGGAGGAAGAAAAGGGACAAAGCATGGAACTGACTAATTCCTCCATGCTGATTACAGCACAGTTTGGTGACATCCAGAGCTAATGTTTGTGCCTTCAAAGCTAATTTATCTTTTGATGCTAATCAGATGCGGGGACTTTAAATGTGGTAGTTGTAATCCCCCAAATCCCAGGAGCACCATCATGCTGCTAGGAATTCATGAACTTTAAATCTGGCCTTGAAGAGACAGAAGCATCCTTCTGGGATTCAGAGAGGGCCAGCTAGGTAAAATGGCAGTTTTCACTGCCAATGTGGAAGTTCTTCTCCCACAAAACATTGTAATGGAAGACTTGGCTATTTGTGTAGCAAACAGCCTCTTAGGTTGCGCGTATTGATTTCAAATAGGAAGCTGGTAGACTAGCTGTGAAGATAAATAATGAATGTGCTTTTGGGGTGTGGATTGCAGAAAGAAACCTAGTGTCTTCCAAGTCACACCACATATGTGACCTGGCTTCTTGGTGGAGATGTTGGCTATCCATTTGCAGAGGGGTCCACAGTTCGATGCAATGGAAATTGGATCTTTCTGTCAGAAGTTTTCTCTATTGGCGCCTATAAGAGGGTTCTCCAACTTGAAGGCTGACAGACTTGACAACCAGGGAAAACTGATATTTCAGTTTGAGTCTGAAGGTAGGAAAAAGCCAATGCCACAGACTGGAGGTTGTCAGTCAGGAAGAGTTCTCTAATTTGGGGGAGGCCAACCTTTTGGTTCTGTTCAGGCCTCAACTGATTGGAAGGGACTCACCCACATAAAGGAGGGCAATCTGCCTTACTCAATCTACCTATTTAAATGTTACTCTCACCCAAAAGAAACACCCAGAATAGTTAATGTTTGATCAAATATCTGGGCACACAAAATTAATCGTCATGGTGCCTAAATGAAATTTTTCATTTGCTTTTGTATAGTTTTTAAATAAAAGTTTGGTATCTGTTGCTTGGTATGTTGTGATTTTCATTGTGAAAGATAGGTTGTGAGGAAACACTTTGGACTTGTAGGAGAAAAACATTATAGGATTGGTTTCCAAATAAACTGGGATCCACCCAAGCAAGCTTTAAATACACTTAAAAATATTGCCACCGTTTTATTCCTACCTTCTCAACATTTTATTTACATCAATTTCTAAACTAATATTATTTGAGGGGTGTTTCTATTTCATTCAGTTTTGTTTCCAACACATTTTCCTGAATACCCCAATCTTAAAACTGACTTACATTATTCACACTGCCTGCACCCAAGAGGATCTGCCAACAGGAAAGAGAAGTGACTTTTGTGAAGGCAATAGCTTTATATATGTTAACTCATTTAATCCTTTCACCAAATCTGCCGGGAGTTTTCTAGAAGGGGAAAACGGCGCTCCAAAATAGCTAGATAGTACAATCTGCCTTCTAAGTCTGGTTTATCTAGCTCTGAAGACAACGACTCCACATGGAAACACTGTGCAGATATGAGAAACCTGTAAATTTTAGGCTACACACTACATTAGATTTTGTTTTTAAAGTTAAATTTGAAAAAACAAAAACAAAACCAAAACAAAGTCCTAGCCTTGGACATAACTCGGTCTTCTCTCTGGGTTGATGAAGAACTGTCAGGTTCAGCTACACAGGACTGGGGAAGTGCCTGCAGGGGCGCTGGGAGAGCTGGAAGTGTTCCCTTGAGCAGGGAAGGTTGAGCTTCTCTGACAAGCGGATTGCGTTACCTCACCTTCCAGTCTACAATCCTCTGACTTTCAATTATGGACTCTGGGCTCTGCGGGAGGCCGACAGTCAAGAGTCACCAGCTCCAAGGAAAGAAGCAACTAGGGTCACGCTCCCCTGGAGAAGATGCAGGTTTACTCTGCTTATTCTACAACTTTCCAGGTAGGTGGTACTGCCCGGTGGGCCTATAACGGGGGAAACAAAAGGAAAGCCAACGACCTAAGAAGGCAAGCCACCGCCCCCCCTACCCCCCGCCCCCCAGCTCGGTTCTAAACTTTGCAAGTTTCTTGGAGGCGACGATCTTCCTCAGGACTCCAACTCCCAGCAGGCCACGCCCGAGGGCCAAGCTTATTGGCGGTTTTGCCTGGGTTTCTTACGGTGTGGCAGCTAGTTCACCCAATGGAAAGGAAGAGCAATTCTCGGAGGCCAATCCTGGAAAGGAGGGGCGGACCCTTCCTGGGTTCCGGCTCCGGCTCCTCCCCCGGGCGTCCGAGGCGGCGCTGTCCCTGACCAAGCGGCGGGAGCGAGGTGGGTCCGGCCTGGGCCCGGGGTCATGGGGGGAGGCGGACACCGCTCCGCGGGCGACAGAGCATGGCCCCTTCCCACTCACCGGGGAGTTGGAGGTTGTGACTTTGATCCCCGGACTCATTGGGGAGCAAAGAGGGCCCCGCGGTCTCTCCGCGGCCACCTGTCCCCCTCTCCTGGGCGGCGCGCCCGGCCTGACCCCAGTCCTGAACCCCCAGCCCTTCGGGTGGGCTTTTGAGGACGCCAGCCCCGCGCCACTGACCGCTGCCCCTCCCACCCCAGACGCGCCGACAACTCTGAAGCCAGGTCCTGTCCTCCAGAGCGGTGCTTCGCTAGGACTCTGCCCCGCTCACACAGCACAGCCTCTGAGGCCTGGGTCTCCGGACACCTTTCCCCCGGCCTGACCTTCTCCTTGGACCCTCTGGCTTCTGTGGCCTTCCTCTATCTCAGCCCTGTTGTCCAGCTCCCCTTACACCCCCCTGTTCTCCAGCACCTTGTCCCTGGCTTTTCCGAACTCCTCCCTCTTCTCCCCAGAGCTTGACTTGGCCCTAAAGATGAGGAACTTGGGCCCTTCAGCCCAGTTTCCGGTTTGGCCCCGTCCCTTTAATTCAGGTCTTGGCCTTCAGCCTCCGTGATCACTACCCCATCTTCTCGACTCTCACTTTGTAGATCTGGCCCCTTCTCCACTCCCTCAGCGCCTTCCGTCCTTGCTTCTCCTTGTACCTCTGGACTTCCTGAGAACACCAGACCAGTGTGCCCCTTTCTCCCACCAAGTCTCTGAAGTGTGAAATGGAAATGCCTCTGTATTTTACCTGCCGCTGTTTTCTTAGTAGATATTGGGGTCTCCATCTGTGCAAGTCCTGATCTTGCTCACCCATCCTGTAAGTCCCACCTCAGATCCCACCTTTTCTGCAAAGCTCCCCATCCCTGACCTCTTCGGGGAGATAGGCCTGTGTCATCAGAACTTGGTGGCACCAGGTTTCCTTCCATCTTCCTTTCATACCTCCCTCCCCCCTTCTCTCCTGCCAATACCAGTGTCCTGTTAAAAAGCACTGGCTTTGGAATGATGGGCATAGGTCCCAGTTCTGCCACTTATTTGCTCTGTGCCCTTGAGCAAGTTATAATTTCCCAGAGCCTCAGTTTCTTCATTTCTAAAATAAGTTGTGAAAATGAAATGAGATGATTCTTACATAGTGCTCATTCCAGGCTAGCACTTGGTGTGAGCTTTAAAAGTATTAACTGTTACTATTATTATTTCCTGTATAATGGGTCAGGTGCTGTGTGAGGCACTGAAGGTTGGATACAAAGGTGATTAAGTCTCAATCCCTGTCCCCCTGCAATTTAACTACACCACAGGAATTCATGGCCTATTTTACTGCTGTTGGAGGGTAGTAAGCACAGTCCTAAATCTTTTAGCTTTTGGCGAAAAGCAGACCTGGTGTTCAGCCCTGGGTAGAGTCAGATCATGGTATATCATATGCTCTCAGACTAGCAGGATTGGGAGTGAGTGGAAGTTGAGTAGCCTACTGCATGCACATAGATACTGGAGCCCTTGGTGGGGTAGGCTAGGCAAGGGGGGAAGTGAGTTAAGATCACGTTCTTCACTCCTACAATCAAAAAACATCTCCATCAGGCTGGAGAGAGCTTATTCAAGTGCCTGCTCTCAAATTGCTTACAAACTGCTGGTGGAAGCAGACATGTAAACGGATAACTGCTAATCACTGTAAAAGCAAGTACAAGATTCTGTAGGTGAATAGAGGAGGGAGACCATAGGTGAGAAGAGACATAAGCAAGTATGAAGTGGGCTCTGGAGATAGGCCTGGCCTTCATTTATTGAACAAGTATTTGCTAAGGATCTACTTTATATGACTGCCACTACTCTAGGAATTGGGTTTCACGAGTGAATAAAACAAAACAAAGACCCTGGCCCTCATGGAATTTATGTTTTAGTAGGGGGAGGTAGGTAATTCATAACAGGTATAGTATGTGGGCCCTGGGACTGGGAGTGTGTGAGGGGGCTGTAATTTTTAAAAGTATGGTTGTCAGGAAACCAAAAAAGCACCAAGGAATAAAATTGTTTTGATGTTTATTTGCATATTTGAAAGTCAGGCAAGCCTGTTATTTTTCACATTACTTAGAATTCTTCAAGAAACACTCTCTAACAGGGACAGGTACAGCATGCCTCCTTTCATTTTAAATAAAGTTTTATTGAAACACAGCCACACTTATTTATATGTTGTCTAGACTGCTTTTTGCAACAGAGTGGCAGAGCTGAGTAGTTGCAATAGAGATCCTGGGGCCCCAAATATTTACTAAATATTTATTTACTACCAGCCCCTTTCCAGAAAGTTCATTAGCCCTCACTATTTTCAAGAGTTTAGGGTCTATCCATATTTTACATTTTAGATTATATCTAGGCTTGTACAATTTTTCTCTTTCAAGATCACCTAAGGGATGGATTGTTTTCATTCTTGTACAGTAACTCCTGTCTTATTGTCCACTGGTTCTGTGGAAACTGTGACTTAAAGCGAAACAATATATGATGAAAGCAGGTATTGTTATCGACCTAGTCACTTCTTTAGTTCTAGTTTGCCATTTTCTTCTCCTCAGTATTACACTGCAGCAAGGTTATTCCAGGACCAGCTGTCTTTGCAGGGTGAGGCTACAGTGTCCTTTTTAACACAGAGTCTTGCATCACTAGTGATGTGGGAGTTGAGGCTCAGAGGGGTTGAATAATTTGCAGTTATGAAGATGGTATGTGTCACCACTGGGATCCAACCCTAAATGTAGTCAGCGCCCTTGCCATTACTCTAGTGCTATTTTCCGAAACTACTTGTTGACTTGAAGAATCATCAGCCCTTCATTTTCTGTCATCGGTGCCCTAGAAGAGTCTGTGCTTCCTTCGCTCATCCCTTTGTTCATGGCGCTCCATTCAGTATCTCCACCAGTTTACTCTGCCTTTTATTTTATTTTATTTTTTTACTCTGCCTTTTAAAATGTCATTACTTCTCCAGGGTCCGAAGGAAATACCACCACAAGGATTTTCTTCCCCTCATCCCTGTCAATGACTGAGGACTCAAAGGAGTCTGAGCAGTTTCGCAAGCATTTACTGATGTTTGCATAAGTAGTACTTGTGTGTGTGTGTGTGTGTGTGTAGCAGACTTTGAGTATATGTGACTCTGTGAGGTGCTGGAGAATGGAAGTGGGTACTGACCAATCAGAACAGACATGGCTCAGACCAAGCAGTAAGTCTTGCAGGTCCCAGATGTTAACCCTGTAATTCCTACAGTATGGTGAAATCTGGGGAAGGGCGAGGTGACAGAACATTTAAGCGGATTCAGAACTGGACCTTGTAAACAACTACGAGAACTTCAAAAATTAGTTTCTGATATATTCATTTTGAAAACAGGTACATAGGTAGATACTTTTAAGAAAGTTTTTTCAAGAATGATTAAACATAAAAGGAGATTCAGTTAATATACAGTTAGGAAGCAAAATTGAGCTCATTCTCAAATGTAATCTTTTCTTACAGATGAATTATAGTCTAGACTCATTGCTTAGTGGTTTTTAGAAAATATTCAAATTGCACAAATACCTGTTGATGGTGGACAAAGCTGAGCCCTTCTTTTTTTTTTAAGATGTATTTATTTATGCATGCAAGAACTGGGGTACAGTCCAGGGGTGTGGGGTGAGAGGAGTCACCAGAGATAGAGTAGGGAACAGAACAGGCAGATTGACCAAAGTACATTGCTGAGGGGAGCAGCAGGTGAGTCAGGAGAGGTCTGCTGTGCCATGTGAGTTGCTCTCTGGCCGGGGATCGAACTTATGCTGCAGAGGCTGCAGACAGCTTCATAGGTTGTATCTTAACCCCTTATGCCACCAGGGAGGCCCCAAAGCTGATCCCTTTTTGGTTTGGGGGTAGCTTTAAATATCTGTTGGAGTATGTCACTTGAAAGTTAGTAAGTAAAGGTATTCTATCCGAATATTCCAGTTACTTGAGGTTATTTCTGCTGGATAGACCCATGGGGAAGGTGTATACCCTCCAGTCAGAACAAAAGATTCTCTGCCGTCTGGCCTGACCCAAGGAATAAAGGTGTTGGCCGTTTGTCTTCACCTGTAGGGTTCAGAGATGGGCAGTGAGAAGGAGCAGAATCCAGAACAGCACCTGCCTGAGGACGGGGAACAGGGTAAGCCGTGGAGAGTGGATGACTCAGAGGGTTTTTGGATTCCGGATGGGGAGAAAGAGCGCGAGCAAGAGGGCGTGTCAGAGGGGCCCCAAGGGCCCCGTCTCCAGAAGTCATGGCAGAAAGACGCGGTCCCAGCTGGGGATCCAGGGGACCCCACTGCTCATTCAAGGCCCGAGGCCTACGAGAAGCCCTTTATCTGTGCCCAGTGTGGCAAAACCTTCAATAACACCTCCAACCTGAGAACACACCAGCGGATCCACACTGGTGAGAAACCTTACAAATGTTCTGAGTGTGGCAAAAGTTTCTCCAGAAGCTCCAATCGCATCCGACATGAGCGGATCCATCTAGAAGAAAAGCATTACAAATGCCCCAAGTGTCAGGAGAGCTTTCGGCGGCGCTCAGATCTCACCACGCACCAGCAGGATCACCTGGGCAAGCGGCCATACCGCTGCGACATCTGTGGCAAGAGCTTCAGTCAGAGCGCCACGCTGGCTGTGCATCACCGGACCCACCTGGAGCCGGCGCCCTACATCTGCTGTGAGTGTGGGAAGAGCTTCAGCAACAGCTCCAGCTTTGGAGTGCACCACCGCACCCACACGGGCGAGCGGCCTTACGAGTGCGCCGAGTGCGGGCGGACTTTCAGCGATATCTCCAATTTTGGAGCACACCAGAGGACCCACAGAGGGGAGAAGCCCTACCGGTGCACTCTGTGTGGGAAACACTTCTCTCGCAGCTCAAATCTCATCCGCCACCAGAAAACACACATGGGAGACCAGGCTGGGAAGGACCCCAGCTAAAGGAGAGACCTGCTGAGAGAGTGAGGGAGAGCGAGCAAGAGACCCCAGCCTAGTGTAGAAAGATCTTTAGGATCTGCTGCTGCCCCTTTGACCTCAAGCCCTTCATCCCACTTTGGCTTCTTGTTGCCAGTAGCTAGGGTCTCCGGGAAGTCCTGAGATGGGCCTCAGCAGAAATCCTTGCTTTTTCCCAGGCCAATTTCTCACCTTGAAAAGTCAAGAGAACCTGGCATTGGTGCCCTCTCCTTAGGGTGATAGAGAACTAGGAAAGGCTTAGTACATGCTCACATCATGAAGGCAGCCATCTCCTGGCCATTGAGCAAACACCCAGGAGATGGGCATCCCTGTCTGAAGGGCCTCCAAATCATATATGAACTGCTTAGGACACACTGCAGTGGCCTGCTAGCTCCTACCTTCTGTGGCCCAACTTCGCTTCCACATCTTTGGGCCAGGAGGAGCAGCCTTCCCAATGGAGGGGGTCCTCTTGGCCTGGAGAAGAGGTCTGAGGTCAATGACCTTCACACTCCCCATGTTTGTGACTTATTACCCCCATTAACCTGCATCTGTTTCCCCATAGTGATTAGCAGTAAAGCCCTTCAATGAAAAGGACATGTGTACTTATTTGGGGACATGAAAGAAGTGGGGAGCTGGGGAAATGGTCCTGTGGCAGCCACTCTAGAAGGGAGTTGAAATCCCAAAAAGAGAATGGATGGCCGCTCTGAAATGCAAAGGAAAGCAGAGAAAGGGAAAGGAGTACCATTAATTGAGCATGCAGTGTGCCATGGCTTCCACAGGCCACGTTTACATTATTGATCATATTTAGTCATCACAACCACCCTCAAGAGAATAAGATGAAACAGGTGAGGAAAGGTGAAGTCACTTGCTGTGAAGTCACACAGCAGGTATATAGTGAGGCCAGAGTTCAAATTTGAGTCACCCTCGCTTTGAACTGATGCTCTTTTCACTACATTCACCATGTTGGTTTCTGCAGGAGGCGTTACTTAGGGGGCTGGTCTAGGGCCAGCTGATTCCCTGGAGGTGGGAGCTAGCGTGGCTCCTTAATGTGGCCATTTGCTCTGTGAGAAGGCAGTGCCAAGCACGGAGAACCCTTTCAACTTTATTGATTGAGCATTTCCTTTGTGTCAAGGAAAAATGACAGTGGCAGGGAGTAGAGATTGAGGGGTGGGAAAAGATGAGAAACCTTGACTCTTACTCTTAAGAATCTCTGCCCCCCAGTAGCAATAATTTAGTTGTTGCCAAGGCTGGGACAGCTTGGCAGGATTCATGCCTGGCCCCACATGGCAGATTTTGGTGCTTTTTCCATGGAATTTTAGTGTTGACCCAGACACTTTCCAATAAATTAAGACCCATCTCCACCTCTTGCTAATCTGGGATCCTGCTCTCCAGAGTGAGGGGTCCTCTTCATTTGTAGCCAATTGGCAGAATGTGACTGGCATCACTCATGACTTGACCTATCACATGGGACTCTGCCACCTGCCCAGGAAGGGATGTACCAGGAGCTTTACACTCCTCATCTTACTAAATTCTTATAACCTTGTGAAGTAAGAATTATCCACACTTGATACATACAGAAGCAGGCTGACAGAGTGCCTGCCTAATCCAAAGCCTGTATTTTTTCCACCTAGAAAATATGTTTCAAACAATTCCCTTACATTTGTGGGTTAGTTTACAGTTTACAAAGCACTTTTATTGCATATACATTTTCCTGCTCCTTGAAAATCTCAGTACAACATACTTTAAATATGTAGCCATCCAAACTTGTAGATGTATGAATTGGCACATTCCCTAGTAATAAAAGTTGCCATCTATCAAATATCTAGTGAATACCAGTTATTGTACATACATTATCTGTGTTTCCCATAACTATCACATAAGGTAGCAGTATCCCATTAATCTGAGAGGTTGAATGACCTGGCCAACGGTAGACTAGGATTCAAATCAGATATATCTGATTCTAAGGCAAAGCTCTTTATTATACTCATTACCAAGCTAGGTCTACTGGTTCACTCTTGATCTGGGGAGCTTGACCTCTTTGTCCTTCCAGACCTATACAGGCTTAGTGACAATTGCTGTGACTTTTTGGGAGTCTTTGGTGCCAATCAGATGCAGGCACAGTACACCAGGTATCTGCTTTTATCTTTAGACATGACTTGCTGGTCAATCTCATTTGCCTTTTTTGGACTAAGTTCATAGGCTAAGGTTTCTATGTTGCTCCAGACGTTGATTCATGACTTTCCCATTTATTTATTCTCTGACTTCCTTTTTTTAACTTCCTGCATTTTCTCCTTCATTCCCTTTCTTCCCCATCTCCCTTCCTCCCTTCTTCCCCCCTCTGGCCCTCTTAGCTACGAGCAATACTGACAGTGACGCGGCTCCTATGTTGTCTGAGTGCAGGAGTTTGGCTTATAAACCCAGTTAAATGAAGGATGACAGTTGTACCCAGAGTTCTGTAGGAGTCAAGGGGAGGACCTTAACTGTGCTCGACTATGGGGTCCAGAAGCCAGTAAGTCATAGTCTTTCTACAAGGACCTAGAGAAAGAGAAACCCCCCTCTGAACAAAGTATTGGGGGGCCATTGGGATTGTCTTAAAGGGGAGGAGAAGGTTCAGATGATGATTGAATTTGGTGTTGAAGAATAAGTAGATTGGTTATTTCAGATGAAAGAGGAAGTCTTCATGTTTTAGGGAACAGTGAAATGTTAGATGTAGTTGGAATGTCCTGTGTGAGGACGAGGTGAAGCCGGTAGTGCAGATGGGGGCCAGATCTTGAAGGGTGTTCAGTGCCAGCATAAAGTGTTTTGGATGGTGGACAATAAAGTTTTAAAGCAGGGGAATGGCATGATCACATTCACCCTCTAGGAAGAAAACTGAGGTTAGTGTGCAGATGAATTACAGGGGGTAAAGGAGGCCGAGTACGTAATGTATATGTAAGCCAGGTATCAGTGGGCCCTCCCAGACCCACAGTGAGCACCATATGATTGACTCACTGCTTTGTCACTTCCACAGAATGGGAAAGTCCAGACCTTCCACACAATTTCAGCAAATTCCTGGGATTGATGCACTCATGGTCTCCTCTTGCCTGAAGTTCCCGTGGGCTGTACACACCTTCTATTTTTGTCTCCACTAACCCTGTCACAGAACTAAGTAGCTTCTTCAACTGTCCCAATAAATTTCTGTCACACTAAGCATTTTATAAGTTTAGAATCTCTTGGGAGCCTTGGGGAGGGGACATACCATGGCATGTTACAAGCTTCTCCTTTTTCTTTCTATCACTGCCCTTATCCTTCTGCAGGATTGGAAATTACAGATTGTCTTGCCCTCTTATAAAAAGCAACCCCGGCTGCCAGTTTGCATCCACAAACACATTAAGGAGCACAGCAGAACATAGATCTCACCACATTTAACAGCATGCACCCACCCCATATAGTAGTTGCAAAGATAAATAAATATCCTTGGAGATTTACAAAGTATATGTGAATATATGAAACAAAAATATATGAAACCAAACAACAGTCTTGTGTTTGTTTCCTCTTCTTTCTAAGATCCCACTGAAATAACTGAAAGGAAGATGAATATATAACAGCAAAGGAAATGGCAGGGAAGAGGGATGAAGGCTGCAGACTTCTAGAAATTTCTAGAAATAGGTAACATACATAAATGACTCAACAGAGTGGCGTAAGCCATAGTAAGTGGAATGAGAAGACGGGCAGTGGAAGTAAGGCAGCTGTTTTCCTGGCAAAACCCCAGAAAGGCTTCTGAGTTTATAATTAGCAAGTCCTAAGGACAGACATGAAAAGTGGACCTAAAAACTAAAGAGTGTAGATTGTCTATGCTGAAGTTGTACTAGTCACCCCCAATTATCTCCAGAAAGGAGAACGACTGGCACTTTCAGACAAAAACAAAAACAAACATAAAACACACACACACACAAACCCAAAAGGTCCATTCTATAGAAATTAATTTCCAGGAATATATTTAGTGTGGTGTTGACATTTCAGAATATAGCTTCTGTCATTCTGACATTTACAAACCCATTTCCCAACAATGACCCATCAACTCACCCTACAGTAAAACCTGCCAGAAGACCCCACTCAGCCTTCCTGTACAAGAGGTTTGTCTTTCAGAGAAACATACAGTAACACAGGAAACCAATTCAGATGAAAACCACATATTAATCATCTTGGTTACTCATAAATAGGCAACCACAAACACCAGAATTTTGAAGACCTAAAAGCATGAAAGAGAGAAGATAAATAGAACAAGTGACTACAGACGATAGAAACTTACGATGGAACAGAATATAAAAAATTCTAATTAGATCCTCGGGAAGATCTGGGAAGATACTACCTCCATTAAACAAGAAAGGTTGCTACTGGAGAGGAGCAATTGGAAAATAAGAAATAGCTTTTGGGAATTAAGTGTGATAAGTAAAATTAGTTATTTGAGAGAAAACTTGGTAGATAAAATCAAGAAAAGCCTCCCAAAAATTAGGCATATACAAAGATATGGAAGAAGGAATAAAGGACATATACATCAATCCTGGAGGGTCTTTTGCTGAAGACTTGGTTAGCCTCCAAAATCTGTTCACCTATTTTCTGAGGCACTTAACTGACCAACAATTCCCAGTCTCCTTTGTAGTCATGTACAGTGATCTGACGTAAGCACAGACCTGCTAATGGGAACAGCACAGCAGGGTATGTGACATTTCTGGGCCTAGACCTTATGCCTTCACCTCTGTCTCTTTTCCCTCTTCACCAGCTGTAACCTGCAGGAACCCAGCTTTGATGGTTGTAGACTACACAGTGTCCAGGGTAGACTTGCCACAGCCTTACTTATGGCAGACACACAATTAAATTTGAATTGTAGGTACACTATGAATATTTTTTTTCTGTAACTTTGTCCCAAGAAGCTTATCCTAGTAGATGGCAGAACAAAGAGATAACAAGAACTGAGTTTTACCCCTGGGCACTCACCTCACAACTGTTGATGAGAAAGAAAGACTTTTTTGTGTGCCAAGTCACTGCTTTGTTGGGTCTCTTTTTTTATAGAACTCACACCTTTCACCATAACTAATATTTAGAGATGAGTTTTTGCCATCAATAAATTGGTGCATCTTACTACAGATGGTATCTTACAATTGCCATTGGTCATTTCCTTCCCCCACCCCCTTTTATCATCCAAAATTGGAATGTTTCCAATAATTGATGCTGTTTTAGATTAAATTGAATACCACATTATAAGAGAGAGATGAGCAGTGATATAAGTCAGATGGTGAAATAGGAAGCCCCAGCCTTCACTCCCCAACAGAGACATTGATTTAACAATGTGTGGACCAAAATGCCTTCTTGAAAACTCCAGAAACCCACAAGCCAAACACAGATCAGTTTAGGTTTTTCTTCTGTAAGGGTGAGGGATAAGGATGAGTGGAACACATGTCCAGTTTTTCTAGATTTTCAGAGGACTTTCTGAGGGACTGGTTTGGTCTCATTTGTGGTACAGATGAGACACCAAAAAACCTGGGATGCCGCCAAATGGAGGTGTCTTGGTGGTGTAGCACCAAAGAACCTGCAGTATGACAGACAGACACCAGAGGGTGCAAGAGATTATGAGCCTCTAAAAAACCAACACATTTCTCTAATGGGGAAATTAGCTGCACTAACTCAGAGAAGTCACATCCACTTAAAGAGTTTTTTTTTTTTTTTTTTTTTAATAGAGGCATGTTTTTATTTATTTATTTATTATATTTGTTTGTTTTGTTTATACATGCACTGGGTACAGTCAGAAGCGCGGGAGGGTGAGAGAATTCACCAGAGCCAGAGCGGGGAGCAGAGCAGGCAGAAGGGCTGAAGTACACTGCTGAGGGGAGCAGCGGGCGGCAGGAGAGGTCTGCGCGCCATGTGGGATCCTCCTCCGGTGGCCGGGGAGCAGCCGGGGATCGAACCGGCGCCGCAGAGGCCGCGGGCAGCTTCACAACCCAGCGCTCAACCGCTGCGCCACCGGGGAGGCCCAACACTTAAAGAGTTTTAAAAGGTCCCCAGAATCTCTAGCCCAGTTGACTACTGAAGATCTTCCCCTATCCAAAGCTAGTCTGTAAAAAATCAGGAAAATTATGCATGAACATAATGAGAAAATCAACAGAGATAGAAACTGTATTAAAAAAGAGCCAAATAAATATGTGGCTAAGGACTATAACAACTAAATTAAAAAATTCATTAGAAGGGTTCAGCACTACACTTGACCAAACAGAAGAAATAATCTGCAAGCTCAAAGACAGGTCATTTGAGATCATCAAGTCAGAAGAATAAAAACAAAAAAGAATGAAGAGAACATACTGTAAAGCAGATCAATAAGCCCATTATGGAAGTTCCAGAAGAAAGCAAGAGAGAGAGAGGCAGAAAGTTTATTTGAATAAATGATGGCCAAAAACGCCCCAAACTGAAATACACAGTAATGTAAAATATATAAATTTTAAAAAAAATTAAAAAAAACCTCCTGGGCCTCCCTGGTGGTGGAAGGGGTTAAGAACCACACTACGAGGCAGTCCGAAGCCTCTGCAGCACGAGTTTGATCCCTGGCTGGCCAGGGAGCTACCCACATGGCGCAGCAGGCCTCTCCTATCTCTGCTGCTCCCCTTAGCAGTGTACTTTGGTCAATCTGCCTGTTCTGTTCCCCACTCTGTCTCTGGTGAATCCTGTCACCCCCTGTATCTCTGGTCTGTACCCCAGCTCTTGTATGCATAAATAAAAAAAATCTTTAAAAAAAAACAAAACCTTCCCAAACTGAGGAAGGAAATGAACATCCAAATTTGGATGTTCAAAAAATGCAGAGGCCCACACAAACACACATTACTATCAAACTCCAACATGGCCCCTGCTAGATGCTAACTCTATCATCGTTGTGCAGTGTTGACCCAGTAATCTAAACCCCTGGAGATGTTAGAACTTCTTTCTCAATGAGTAAGTGGCTTTTCAAATGGGAAAAGGCTTAGAATTAAACAGAGGAGATAAAAAAAAAAAAAAAAAAAATCAAACCTATTATATTAATACTTTGGGGTTCAAAATAAGTTTGCACATGTATATTTGTACTTAAAATGTAATTTAAATATAATATGGCATGCTAAAGAATCTGATATATTAGTCTAATTTTATAGATTAGAACTCTGAGGTATAAGAAAATTTTAAGTAAGCTCAAATAATAATGGAATATTTGAAATCTACTAGATTTATTATATATAATTATATATTATATAAACATATAACATAAAACAAGTCTAGTAGGTAAAATATTCTATTTATGAATGTTATACATTTATAATTATATATTTATAGATGTGTACATTATATATAACAAATTTTTATTAAATTTGGGAAATTACTTAGGAAAGATTTGCTCATTAGTGTGAAAACATGATTGATTGATTAGGCATATGGGGAGTATAAAATGAAAAGAAAATATGTGAAATTTATAAATTCAGTTAAAAATGCTTAATGGGGGCCTCCCCTGTGGCGCAGCGGTTGAGCGCTGGGTTGTGAAGCTGCTCCCCGGCCACCGGAGGAGGGTCCCACATGGCACGCAGACCTCTCCTGCCACCCGCTGCTCCCCTCAGCAGTGTACTTCGGTCCTTCTGCCTGCTCTGCTCCCCGCTCTGGCTCTGGTGAATTCTCTCACCCTCCCGCGCTTCTGACTGTACCCAGTGCTTGTATAAATAAATAAATAAATAAATCTTTAAAAAAAATGCTTAATGAATTACACTGTATAAGTTTATAAATGGGACAAATTGTTTAATAGAGTTTAAGTTGTTCTGTTATACCTGAGTTACTTGAACAATAATAAAAGATCCTCTTCAACTTGCTTATTATTGTTATATAAATAGATTTAAAAATGGGATGGTAAACTTGTATATTGAAATTTTAAGACTTAAATAAAACCAAGGTTTTGAGTTTTTAGGTGAAAAAGTTTAATTCTAATTTAAAATCCAAGATGTTGTAAATAGTCTTTTATGTTCATGAACTCTGCCCTCAGACATGAAAAAGAAATCACACGACATTATTATCTGCATTTAACCAATAAGAAACTGAAGCTCAGAAAGAAACCAGCAATCAACTGCATGCACGTTTGGCTCTAAGACTGTTGTTCTTAACCAGTGTGTGGTGTGGATTCTCTGAGAGACTAACCCTCTGAAAAATCAGGTAACAGTAACAATTAATTAAAATATTCTGAAGTAACTTAAGTGCCTGCTTGTATGCATTATAGGTTGATTTTATAGCTAAGCCATTTTAGCTCAAGGAAAGAAAATTTACTGGTTCATGTAACTGAAAGTCTGGCTTTAGGCAAGGTTGCTATGGAATCAATCCCTGTTTCTCTCTGTGTTGGCTCTAGAGACAGGTTTTCTTTTCCCTTATGCTGCAAGATGACTGGAGCTGTCCCTTTGGACTCAAGTACAGCTAAAAAAAGAAGGCTGCCTCTCAACTGTTCCTCTCAAAGAATCATTGCATCTCATTGACTCTGCTTAGTTCATGGGTCTATTTTGGAACCAGCCATTGACTGGGGGAATGTGATGCGTTAACTGGCCATGCCTGAGGTTATAGGCTGTCCCCTAGAGTTTGGGAGGAGTAAACTCCATCAAAAACATAGGCTAAGAGTAGGCATACAGCTAATGTTCATGGAATAGCAGAATTAACATTGTTAAAATGTCCACACTATCCAAAGCCTTCCACAGAATTGATGCAATCTCTATCAAAATCCCAATAGAATTTTTTTTGCAGATAAAGAAAAAATATCCTAAAATTCATATGGGACCTCAAAGGACCCCTCAGAGCCAAACAATCTTAAGAATAACAAAACTGGAAGCCTCAGATTTCCTGATTTCAAAGCATATTACAAAGCTGCAGTTGTCAAAACAGTGATACTGGCATAAAGACAGGTATATAGTCAATAGAACAGAATAGAGCACCCAGAAATAAATCCTCACAGATAAGGTAAAGCAATCTTTGACAAGGATGGCAAGAATACACACAGGAAGAAGTATAGTCTCTTCAATAAATGTTGAGAAAATAAGATAACTATATATAAAGGAGTAAAGTTGTACCTTGTCTTCACCACATACAAAAATTAACTCAAAAATGGATTAAAGACTGCATGTTCAGACTTGAAAGTATGAAGCTCCTAAAAGAGGAAAAAAATAGGGAAAAGCTTTGTAACATTGGATTTGGTGATGATTTTTTGGCAACAAAAGAAAAAATAGACAAATGAGACATCACACTTAAAAGCTTCTGCATACCAAAGGATACAATCAACAGAGTGAAAGGCAACCTGTGAAATGGGAGAAAATACCTACAAACTCTATATTGGGTAAGTGGTTAATATCCAAAATATATAAAGCTCCTACATCTAAACACCAATGACAAAATAGCCTGACTTAAAAATGGCAAGAGAACTTAGTCATTTCTCCAAGGAAAAACATGCAAATAGCCAATAATCATATGAAAAGATGTTCAACATCACACATAATCATGGGAATGCAAGTCAAAACCATAATGAGAAATCTAACATCCACTAGAATGGCCACTATAAAACAACAAAATAACAAATGTTGGGGAAGATGTGGAGAAGTTGTAACTCTGTACTGTTGGTGGGAAAGTAAAATGGTGCAGCCACTATGGAAAACAGTATGGATGTTCCTTGAAAACTAAAAAATAGAATGACCTTATGACTCTGCAATAATACTTCTAGATACATATGCAAGAAAATTGCCAAAGGAATCTCAAAGAGATTTGCACACCCATGTTCAATCACAACTACTAAGGTGGAAGCAATTTAAATGTACATCAGAGGATGAATTGATAGATGTGATATATACATATGGTAGAATATAATTGAGCCTTACAAAAGATGAGAGCCCTGTCATATACTCCAACAAGGATGAACCTTTTCATGAGTGTTATATTATTATGTTAAGTGCAATAATCAGCATTTGATATATTAAGTGCAATAAACCAGTCATACAAAAAGACAAATACTGCATGATTCCATTTATATGAGGTATCCAAAGATATGAAATATCTAAAGTAGTTAAACTCTGACAGACAGAAAAATAGAATGGTAATTGCCAGGAGCTGGTGGAAAGGGGGAAAGGGAAGTTTTAACTTAATGCCTATATGGCTACAGAGTTTTGGTTTTTTAGGGTGAAAAAGTTCTGGGGTTCTGTTGCCCAACAATGGGCATATAATTAGCACTGCTGTACTGTACACTTAAAAGTAGTTAAGATGGTACATTTAATGTTGTGTGGGGTTTTTTTATTGAGGTATAATTGACATAAAACATTACATAAGCTCCAGGCGTACAACATAACGAGTTTGTATTTGTATATATTGTGATCACCACAGTAAGTCTAGTTAACATCTATTAGCACAGAACAATTTTCTTTCTTGTGATGAGAACTTTTAAGATCTACTCCCTTAGCAGAGATCAAATATGCCATATGATATTATTAAGTATTGTTATCATGCTGAATATATATCCCCATGACTTATTTATTTTATAACTAGAAGTCTGTACCTTTTGACTCCCTTTAACCTATTTCACCTCTGGCACCCAGCAATCTGTTCTCTATATGAGTTCGGGTTTTGTTCATTTGTGGATGCTATATATAATTGAGACCATACATCGGTTGTATTTCTCTGTGTGACTTATTTCATTTAGA